TTGATCAACACTCAACAAGCTTATGCTAACTGATAACAAACCCCATGCAAAAACAGCAGGCCCTTTCTCTGGGGAATGCTGGGTAATTACTAAGGCCATATTCTAAGCAAAATATAAGTTCCAAATGTTTAAGATGATTGAAATCACAGAGAGTATGTTCTCTGCCAAGAAGGAAATAGAAATTCACAATGGAAGGGCCTCAAGAAATGCTCAAATATCTAAACACTAAACAATTTACATCAAATAATCAAGGAGCCAAAGAAAGCAAAGCAAAGGAGCAGTTAGAACAGCAACCTACACGAAGCAACACAATATACAAAGTCGTTCTTGCCGCTCACCCAGATCTTTGAAAGACATTGGAGCTCTAATAACTGATCATTTATGCTGGAAAAGAGACAGGACAGAAATCAATGAGTTGTACCATCCCCATAGGACAGTAGGAAAAGAAGCACAACCTTAAGATCAAGTTTAAAAGAAAAAAAAAAAAAACAAAACAAAAAAACAGCAGCTGCATAGTGAGTTCAAGGCTGAGCCCCTCAAGACTCAGCTCATTCAACAGAAGAGAGATGGGGTTGTGGGAATAACAACAGAAAACAACAGAGGAAAATGGGTTAAATCCAAGCAGTAGTTACTTATTGTTTCTTAATCAAAAGCTAAATAAAACTGGTGCATTTTTAATCAGACAAATGAAAAAAGAAATAAAGGCCCACATAACCAACAGCTGGAATTAGAGTTGCAAAAGTTGCAAGGGTAATGTGCATACTCGGAACTGTATGGACAAAACTGTTGACCTAGATGACCTGGAGCAAACAGAAACACACTTTACCTGAATGCTCTGGAGCAAAGTGATACTTGAGTAGCCTCTATCTGTTTCTAAAGTCTAGAATGTAAACACTTGTCTGCAAAGAAAACTATAGGTCCAGATAGGGTCCCTGGTGAATTCTGCCAATAACTGAGGGGAAATAATACCAGTTCTACAAAAACTTTCAGCAAAGGAATATTTCCTAATCGATCCACAAGGCTATTATTTTGTACTAAGACAAATACAGTCACTAAATGAAAATGTTCAGTCTCTCTTTATAAACATCAGTGCTATAAAATTAAAATCAGAAAGATACAAAAAAAAAAAAAAAAGGATTTTTCAAAACTGCCACAGTGATTAGAACTTAATAAGCTGTTGGGTCCACGGTCAACAAAAAAGTTAGATGTATTCCTAATACTAGCAATGAATAATCAGGAGTTTAAATGCAAAAAAAAAGTCATAATAGCACAGAAATATAACAGGTTTGTGGCTAAAACTGACAGAAATATGATACAATAATTTTGGAAATATTTCAGAGCCATACAATACTTCAGAGAGAAATTGAACACGTACAAATGTAAGGATGGAGTGTGTTTGTGGGTTAGGAGACTCAACACTGTTAAGACTAAATTTTCCCAACCTTGGGACTCAAAGAAATCCCAACAAAATTCACAGTAGTCTGGTAGGAATTGACAAGCTGATTTTAAATTTTATCTATGAAGGCAAATTACCTACAAAGGTCAAACCACTTTGAAAAGACCGGACCATGCCTACTATGACATGATGGTCACATACAATGTGGCATGGAAACAATGTGGCATGGAAGTAAGGACAGCAATGGGCCAGAAGGAAGAACCCAGACATAAACATATACATATGCACCAGCTGATTTTTGACAAGAGTGTAAAAGCCTTTTGATAGGGCTGATAGACGTGAAAAGTTGCTTACCACATGCCTCACACCACACAAATCAGCTCTGAATGGATCACAGGCATGGGTACGGAGAAGAAAACATATAAAAACTGGAGTCAAAGATGTCTGACATAGGGCTGTGCCTGTGTAAACCCAGGCTTGGGTGCTGAGAAAGGAGGACTGGGAGTTCAAGTCCACATAGCAAGGCACTGTCACAAAAGAAAATGTAAGGATGGGGAGGGGGAAGGGGAGAAGGAAGATAAGCGTGAAAGGAAGGAATTTTACATAACTTTGGATTAGGCAAATATTTCCAAGAATTACAACATCAAAATGATAAAAGGAAAAAAAATGAGAATTGGACATCATGGTTCATGCTTGCAATCTCAGTACTGGGAAGATTAGGAGTCCAAAGCCAGCCTTGGGTACACAGTAGGTCTAAGGCAACCTTGGGTATACAGTAGGTCTAAGGCAGTCTTAGCTATATGAGACACTGGAGGGGGGGGTAAGAGAAAGAGGAACTTGATAAATAATACTTTATCAAAATAGTCTAGACAATGAAAGGGCAATCCATATGAAAAATCCTTGAGACCACATTCTAACGAAGGCCCTGTATGTCTCAATTCAAAAACAGAAAAAAAAAAAAAAACAAAACTCAGCCCAATAAAATATGAGCAAATAAAACAGATACTTCACCAAGCAAATATACACATAACAATCAAATGAAAAGACACCAACATCGTCTGTCAGCAGAGAAACACAATTTAAACCACAGCAAGATGCTGACACCCAACTCCCAGAATGACTAACGTTAAAAACTGGCTACATCATATAACAAATGCACATTATGAAACACCATAATGAGGCTCGAGAGATGGCTCAGCCATTAAAGGCTAGGCTCACAACCAAAAATGAAACATCACAATGATAATTACTACACATTATATTGGGTGTCACAGAGGAACTGGAATGCTCTGTACCTTGGAGACAGTCCGCCACATTCTTAGACAGGTCAGCAAACAACCTAGCCATCATTTCTGAGTATTTACCCAGCAAACACAAATCATGCATGCACCAAGATTTATACATGCATACTCACAGTGGCTTTTATAAGACCTCTCTGATGTCCAACTGACAAAAATGGATAAACCGTGTCTATACTATGGACTGCTATCAAACAAAAAAATTAATGGCCAAGTGATGCATGTAACAACATAGATGTATCTTAGTATAATGGTTCTAAGATGAAGAAGGCAGAAATATGCATGCTCAATATGAATCCATTCATAGTAAATTCTAGAGTATAAACAATGACTGAAATCAGATCAATAGTTGCCTGGGGTCAGGAAGTAGCAGAACAGAGAGGCATTGTAAGGAAGTATAAGAATGTTCTGGGGGGTGGCAGCTATGTTCATTTTCTTGATCATGATGATGGGGTCACAGACGCAATTGAGGTAAGACTAGTGGGACATAGTGGGATGTTAGTGAGCAAACATGCTGACCACCAAGCTGAGAACCTGAGTTCAACTCTGGAGACCCAGGAAGTAGGGAGAAAAGGCTTCTGAAGTCACCCTTTGATCGCCACATGTACTCCGTAGAAGTGCACCTACACAGACACACACACACACTCACACACACACACTGATCACACATGTACTCCGTAGCAGTGCACCTACACAGACACACACTCACACACACACTCACACATGTACTCCATAACAGTATACCTACACAGACACACACACACACTCACACACACACACTGATCACAATGTACTCCATAGCAGTGCACCTACACAGACACACACACACACTCACACACACACACTGATCACACATGTACTCCATAGCAGTATACCTACACAGACACACACACACACACTCACACACACACACTGATCACACATGTACTCTGTAGCAGTGCACCTACACAGACACACACTCACATACACACACTGATCACACATGTACTCCATAGCAGTATACCTACACAGACACACACACACACTCACACATGTACTCCATAGCAGTATACCTACACAGACACACACACACACTCACACACACACACTCACACATGTACTCCATAGCAGTATACCTACACACACACACACACACACACACAGAGGATCACACATGTACTCCATCCCCCCACACATGCACATGTGATCACACATGCACTTCATAGCAGTACACACACAAATATAACAACAATGCACATCATAGCAGTACCTACACACATATACATGCACTTAAGATAAATGAATAATTGTAGAAAGAATTGTAAAAGATGTCAAGGCTCATCAAAGCACACAACTTAAATATGTCCAGTGTAGCATTTGTAAATCCATGTAAATTGCACTTTTACAAAACTGCAAAGCATTAAATCAGGTAGGACCATCCAGCTGCCAGTTTTTCTCTCTGTTGACTCTTTGCTGTCTTGAGCTGGGTAAAACATTTCTCGCATTTGAACCAAAGTGTCTGGTATCAGTTGAGGATTCCCTGCACATGGGTGCTTTTCCCCATCACAGCCTGAGGGGGGGGCAACAGGGTCTTTAAGGAAGAGTGGAGCAAGCTAAGGAGGGCAATAGCAGGCTGCAACCTGATGCTCTGCTCTGAGTGGTGATGGTGGAGGCCAGGGCAAGAAATGTAGAGTAGAAGGTAAAGGAAAGATGTGGTCAGGAGAAGTCATCATTGGGATAAAGAGTATGGATGGCAGATAGAGAGGAAAAGGAGGAGCCAAGAGTGAGTGTAAGCTACTGCAGATCTGCCTCTTGGGGCTTATACCGTGTGGCACAGATAGCCCTGCTCTTACCAGATCCTCCTCATTCTTTAATCTGACATCATACTCTTCTGTTTCTGGAAAGATGATGCGTGCTTGAATTATCTTCTTGTACACTTACACTTAAAATAATAACACACGAGACTAAACTGTGTCAGAGAAAGCGGCAGGTGACAAGTCAAGCAATTGCACAGTCATTTCTTTAGTTTTCTGGATGGCTTTTGCATTGTCATAGGGCTGTTTTCAAAGCAATGTTCCCCATTTGTTTTAACTCCCGTGTTATGCACAGCCATGCTCTCTGCCATGAAAGAATGTGTCGCAGCGGTATAGCGACATAGTGAAATAGTCACATAGTGAGACGTTGCAGAAGTCATATCCCCCAGCCCCAACTGCACACGTTTAAACTGAACCTACCCCTTCCTCCTCTTTACACCATACATGCAAAACAAACCCATGCTTATTTTTAGCAGTATGAAATGATCTATAAGAATCATAAGTTTTTCCTACCTTGACAAAAATGGTTGAATTGCATTCTTGCAATGCCTCCATTAAACTAATCACATGGAGACACACCATTTCTACCATCTGAAACAACAAACATCATAGTCAATTCCATTCCCAGTGAACTAGAAACCTGTAAACTCAACAGCAGCCACAGAGGTCCATCCAGAAAGTCTCCCTGCCTAACGACTAGAGACCACAGAGTGGCTTCTGTTCACCTCCAAAACCTTACACCAGAAAGAGACTTTCCAAAGAGCCTGAGGCTGTGGAAAGGTACTTCCTTCCCCACTCAGAGTGGGCTGCCGTTGAAGCTCAGGGATGGCTCTCACTGATATGCAGGGCACCGCGGTTCTCATTGGAGGGCACATGGCTTCACTGTCGTTCTCAGCATCCGTCAGGACCAGTCTCTTTCTCCATCATGATCCTTCCTCAACTCACACGGAGGTCTCATGGTTCAATGTACTACAGATCTTCCTCTCAGATCTTATCCCCGTGGCAAAGGTAGCCATGCTCACACCAGATCAAACAAGATTGTATCCCTCCTTGGAAATCCTTAGGGGTGGATTTTAAATCCCAGGGAGGTTTTACTTGAATGCTTTACCAAGTTGAATAAACTTCCCAGAAAAAGAAAATAAATTAAAATTCATATGTAACATTATCCCTAAGAAACACTTTGGGCGCATGCTCACTTGCACCATTTGGATATCAGGAGGGATTTGGAGAACACTGACACCAAAATGCTGACCCTGGATGAAAATGCTACTCTCTAGCATAATGTGGAAAGCGCCAGTTTTCGTGTCCCCAAAATGACGTAGGATCTGATCCCTGAGTTCTTTCTTGGTCACAGAACTGTGACCCAATAAATGCAATTATCTCCTTACAACTAGGAACTGGTTTTGAACTCTAACATGAGCATAACTCCCTTTTCCGAACCAAAAATCCTTCCATGTGTGAAACCGTAGTACCTCGTTCCCCAGAGAAAAACAAGTGCTTTAATAAAGAAAATACATAGTCTTCTTCCCTTACAAAATGTTAGCAGAAAATATTCCTCAGTTACAACGCCAAGCTGGAATACCTCTGTGGCCAGTGTGGCTGGTGTGGGGTCCTGGGCTCACAGGAATGTGCTTCTGGGTACTATGGATTAGCATTGCGCCCATGGAACCCTTGTAACCAAGACACTGGCTGCTGCCCCTTCAGCTGAGAACCCTCTAAAAACCAACAGAATCCCAGGATCCCTCACAGAGAGCTCCCACACACCTCCAACTGGCTCCAGAAGGACCATCTGAGGTTGCTTAATGAAATGGGAACAGGCTACGCATCCACCAGATGTTTCCAGTGTAATCTGGAATAGCCCCTCTTTTGGCTTTGAGACTCGGGCAAAATGATCTCCTGTGGTTAGTCTGCTCTCAGACTATGCCAGAAAAATTACCCACTGGTGGAAGCTTACATACATTGCTTTGGAATCCAAACCTGCCGTGGCCTTTTCTCCTAATTGCCTGTCTCTACACTGTTTTAAAGGTAGAAATCTCATACAGGGTTCATTTAGTGCTAGGTAGAAAGGACAAAATTTGTGTGCTTTGTATTTGGTTGTTTTGTTTTAGTATTCATGACCTATATGATATTTTGATACAGTGGCGTGGCTAAATAAAGCCACTCAGCACATGCTATGTTGCATACTTATTTGTGGGTTTATGGCTAGAAGTGGCTTAGACATTCTGAGATAGTGTGAGCTCAGAGGGGTCTTCACGAACTCACCACTTTGTTGTGGGCCATCAGCTGGAGGATGCTGGGTGTCACCCTGCTCCAAAACTCTAGTGCTGTTAGTATTGCTGTGAAGCTGAATTCATTCTGATTTTGGACGTTTGTGGCCACGGCACTTTGTTCGCAGTACACTGTCCAGAGCTGAGCAAAGATGAAGGCGTGGAAGAGGGAACACATGTGCAGCACACAGGTCTGGAAAGGAAGAGGACGGGCATTGCTCCACGCTCCCGGCAGACGGCCTCGCCAGGGAGCACAGAGGGCACACGAGGGAACAATCCCAGCTACAGGCTCCCGGCTCTGGGCCTTGAATGGGCTCTTCTCTGCAGTGTGAGTGTGCTCAGAGAAAAGCTGCTTTTCCAGGAGAACACACCTAAGTTTGCAGAGTAAATCTAACCCCTGCCTTGTCCCTTTATGAGACTGACATTTCTGTCCCTAAGCTGGGTTGAGAAAAAGTCATTCTCTGGGCGTTGGTGGTACACGTCTTTAATCACAGCACTCAGGAGGCAGAGGCAGGAGGATCTCTGTGAGTTCGAGGCCAGCCTGGTCTACAGAGTGAGTTCCAGGACAGGCTCCAAAGCAATACAGAGAGAAGGAAGAAAGGAAGGAAGGAAAAAAGGAAGGAAGGAAGGAAGGAAGGGAGAAAATAGTCATTCTATTTTGCCAGGTCAGCATGTTTCCACATCTACAAAATAGGGATAAGTAAGGGGTTGGGCGAGGAGTACATGAGAGGCAGGCAAGACCCTCTGCCCTGCCCTTAGAATCTCATGGTGCAGAGCAGTGTCAATGGAAGGCCTATCTGTGGATCTGTGGCACACATTGCCACGGCTCCTACAACACGGAGGCTTTCCACAGACTACCTCCACAGTCCTTAAGCAGTCCTACTATGTGCTTCACCGATGAAGAACTGAAGCTGGGAAGGCTAAATAAACTCTTTCCAGTTCACAAAGGTTGTGAGACGCAGAGGAAGCCCTGGCTGACTGATGGATGTCTTGAGCCAGTGTGTGTTATTGACACGGGCATGGCAATGTCAAGGAGCATAGGGATGGCAAAGCATTCGTCTGCTCCATGTACAGATGCTGATAGTGAATGCACAAAACGTCCACCATATCTCCCTGTCCCCAGATGTCTATAGCTTGAAGACTGCTCTCCTTACAGAGACTGCTCCTATGAGATTGGTTAAACTGGCCTCCTTGTCCAGCTGTACACCACAAACTGCCTCCATGTTTCTCTGTACATAATAAGCACACCTCCTGCTTCAGCTGTATGCAATAACCCTGCCCCTCTGGTCAATTCTAATAAAACACACTGCACTTCTGGGCAGTTTAGGCTTCTCTATCAGTCCTGTCTGCCCAATCCGACCTTTTCTTAATTCCCCCACTATCCCATCAGGTCAAGTCCCTTGAGCCATGCAAGGATGGGACTCAAAGGGACAAGTACCACCCTTAAGGATCAAACATAGCTTTGGGTGGAGACAGTCCCTTTTGCAAGCATCATGTGTATCAAACCGGTAGGCATGCTTACTTTCTCAGAGAGCTTGCTCAGGCCTAAGTCTCAGCATCTCTTAACCCCCTTGGCTCTTCTAGAGCTTGCCTAAGCCCTGGGACTGGTCCATAGCTCTAGGTAGCTGACTTGGGGTGTCATGACTTACATCTGCCTGGGCTTTCCTACATTCCCTTAAGGCTGCCATCTGTTTGCAGTTTGCACACTCGCTCTGTATGGGTGACTACGGGGTGCTCTGCTGAGTGACATGCTGGCCCTAGCCTTATTTCCATCCTGTGTGTTCATGTGTCCTAAAGGATTTGAGTTGAAAGACAGTACACAAAGGACGAGATGGGGCATACATCCCTCCAACCATCCCCCCTCCCCACACTTCATCCTTATTTCTGAAAACTGAGCACAGAATTTGTATTGTATTTGTAGCCTGTTATTTCTCTATATTGTTTTGAGACTTTAAAAAAAAAATGCATGGGAAACCAACTCTTTCTTGCCTCTATAATTTATCTCCATAAAAGTAAGCCAGAAAACAATTTAGGGGGAGAAAAGACAGCCTGGGAATTTAAACAACTCTAAGTAAGGCATTAGCACAGAGTTACTTTCCCAACAGCCACAGGAGGGTGAGCTAAAATGCCTTTACTTCTCAGAAGAAACTAATTGGCTGATAAGGGTCCCATTAGCAATTCCAATGCACTTGGTCTGAATCTTGCAGAAATCACTCACCTTTGATTGCTCTGGAAATCCAATTAGGATGACAATAAGGTGGTCTGCGATGTGGGAGCCCGCATCCAGGGGTATGGGAAGGCAGGGGGAGGAGGCATTGGGACAGACTGCATTGTGTGTGAGGGACCCCAGGAGCAGCCAGGACAGCAGCCGGATGTGGGAGACACACTCAATGAATTCCTTAGGTCTGTTGGAACAGAAAGGAGGACTTAAGGGTGGCTTTACACTTTCTCTTCCCTTCAATGCCAGGGAATATTTAGTGAAAGAAGAAACCAAGGTGTGGTCTCACAGGCAAATACATAAAACAAAATACCAAGGCAATCATCTGATCTATTTGTCTTGCTTTCTGCTCTAATCCTGGATTTTCCCTTCAGGAAGGAGCAGCTTTGGTGGGACAAGATTCTGTATCCTCCAGCCGGTCTGGCTGTCTCTTTGGCCCTTTTCCAAACTCCTTTCTCTCTGCTATTCAGAAAGGTCTCCCCAATATTTCCATAAAGCTTCAGCACGGCCATGAGCTCCAGCTAAATCTCAGGGATTCAGGACCACGTCTGCTCATCTGCCCCTCCCCCCCATATTAAATTTACTTTATGTATGTAGATGTTTTGCCTCCATGTTTATGTCTGTGTACCATGTATGTGCAGGGCCCACAAAAGCCAGAGGGTGTCGGATCTCTGGGGACTAGAGTTACAGACAGCTGGGAGCTGCCGTGTGTGTGTGTGTGTGTGTGTGTGTGTGTGTGTGTGTGTGTGTGTGTGTGTGTGTGTGTGTTGGGAATCAAACCCACAGGCCCTGTGGAAAAAGCAGCCAGTGCTCTTAATCATGGAGCTGTCTCTCGAATGCCCACCCCTTTAAAAATAAGAAGCACCTCACCCTTGCTGCATTGCAGAGGGAGGATGGTAGAGCCAAGGTAGATAGCGGACCACAGCTTTGTTATCCCTGTGGTTGCCCCGGGAGATTTCCATAGCTGCGATCTGAGCCAGGCCAACTTTCAGATGGCCACCAAATGTATCCTCATGCAGAGGCTGGGAGCATGTCTTCATGTGGCTCTGTAAAATCAAATGACACTTGGAAGTCAGGCTCTTCTCAACCCCACCCCATAGCACTCTGGGCATACAACCTACTTTACTTCTTAAATGCCTTCCCACCATTCTTAGGTGAAGAGCTGGGGATCGGCAGTGCGTGCTGCAGGACAGGACCAGTGGGATCAACCTGTGACCTATAGAGCCAGAGTACCTATTGTCCAGGCCTCTGCATAATAATGGAATACCCCACCCTCCATCCTGGGCTCCATCATGCTGGCCCTGCTGCCCACTTCTCTGACTGAAACATTGCCTTTCTTTGATGAATTGTTCAAGTATCACTTTCCTTAGACTGTCTTCCCTGAGCTTCCTGGCCAGGCCCACGCCACTTTCTACTGCTTCTGTATAGCAGTGTGAAAGCCACAGCTTTATTCACTAAACCTGGCTTCCTAGCAGACTCTAAATTGAATGAGATAGATAGAAATGGGTTAATATTTAATACAGAACTAGCCAATAAAAAGTGCTAATAACAGGCCAACAGCTTTATAGCTAATACAGCGTCTCTGCGTGTTATTTGGGGCAGACACAGCTGTGGGACCAGGATGGGGAGAAAACTACATGTGGCGTAACAAAACGGCACCTACAACGTGGGACCCAAAAACTTTCACTTAAAACTTGACAAAAACTTAAGAAGAGTTTTAGAAACAAAAAAACAGAGACAAGCACAGCTTCTTGTTAGCAGCATTTTTCTCGGGTGGGCTCTGTTTTGCTAGAGACAAGCAGAGATTTGTGAGGCTCCTTTAAGGGAGGTTTCCTAATTCAACATAAAAGACAGACTCCAATAAAGAAAACCTCTCAAGGTTTACAGTGTGTTTAAAAATATACATAGGCTTGGGAGAGAAAAATAAACAGGATAAAGTAGTTTTTAAAAAAAATAGAAAGAGAGTAGCTGGGTGTGGTGGCACACGCCTTTAATCCCAGCACTTGGGAGACAGAGACAAGCAGATCTCTGTGATTTCAAAGTGAACCTGGTGTACAGAGTAAATTCCAGGACAGATAAAAGTTACACAGAGAAACCCTGTCTCAAAAAATAAAAAAATAGAAGTAGAAGAAATAGAGTAATAAAAAAAAAGCCATGTAAAATGGAAAATACACAGAGAGTGGACACTGTATGCTATTGTGCTGTCTCTGAATTGCTCAATTGCTAAGGAAGAAACAACAATTGCTACAATACACTTGATTATCAATGCTGCTGAATTAATCCAACTTATATATTTTAAAAATGCTTTGACTTCAAAATTTAAATCTAAGGACAGATTACTGGGGAAAAGAATTTCTATTTTTGTTTCCACAGAAAATGAAAAGCTATGCTTTCCTTCTAGACTAACATGGTTTGATCAAGCAAGACTCCCTGAAGCAGTGTCCCATGTGATCCAACATTCAAAACAGCTGGGACAAGGCAGCCTTGCAGACCACTACAGCCAGGATTTCTGCATCTTCTTAGGATCTCCAAGACAGCGCCCCCTACCAGTAGGAAGCAGTTTGAAAAGTACAATGCCCAAATTCCCAAATATTGTCTATAAATGTTTGTTTTCATTTAAATGGGATTGGTCATAAATGGTTAATGATCACAAAAAATCTCTTTTTAAAGGTAAAAAGGGAATTATGGTATAGAAATGAATACTTTGGAATGGATTTTCATTTATTGATACAAATTTAAGGTCAATTTTGTGACATGTATATTTCTCTCTTGTTTAGGTATTGTGTTTATATAGCTCATTTAGAAATGTAATGTATAATTTAGCACAGATTATAGATAGTTGCTTATGATAGTTAATACCTAGTTAAGTTAGTTAGGTTTCCTAGATATACAGAGATATATTTGAGATGGAAAATATTCTCCAAACCTTTCAAAGATCTACAGAATATGGCATTTAAAATGGTTTAAGGTTTTTCTTAATAGTGAGGCACAACTGTTCCTGGCGACACTACCTGTATCAGAAAGGAAGATGGACATGGAAGAAACTCGTTATGGAGTTTACTTCCAATATGGCAAGACTAGCCATTTGGGCAAGATACTGCTCTTGTCTGGAGTGTTTAAGTTTATGCTGTATAAACTGGACATGCAGGACCCACAGGAAAGTGACTGCTGATACATGATGGACATTGCTACAGGGTTCCTGCTTCATGGAAGAGTCTGCCAGACATTCTACAGGACACAGAAAAAAGTGACTAACAAGCTGCCAATACAGGTGGACAGTTTAAAGTTTCCTGCTTTGCTGAGGAGTCTGCCATACACACTATGGCCTATAGGTTGAAGATGGAACATTACAGAAGAACTTCAGGTGATTGACCAGGTAGCAAGATGTCTCTGTCATTTCTAGAGTTTATATCCTTCTGTGGTCTTTGATGGAGTTGAAGACAGATAGTTATGGTTATAGTTTTCCTTAGTTAGGATTAAAGATAAGTTACATATAGGACTTTTGACTCACAAAGATAGGATATATAATAGGATATTTTCTTTAAATCTTGCTAAATGTTAATGAACTAAATATTGTTAACTGTAGTTCTTATTTGATAACTGTTTTGTTATATATTTTGCTATATATATTTGCTATATATATTTGCTATATATATATATATATATATATTAAGGTTAAAACCCTTCTTTTTATTTTGGACAGAAAAGAGGAGATAATGGGAGATGTCATTCTGTAAATATGTTTCTTTTATTGCTTAATGAATAAAGTACTGTTGGCAAATGGGAAGGCAAGATAGGCGGGACTAGAGGACAAGGAGGATTCTGGCAGTTGTAGGAGGAGATTCAAGATGTAGGGACTTCAGAAGAAGGTAAGATAAGACCACATGGAAACATTTAAATTAATAGAAATGGGTTAATATTTAACAGACAGAGCTAGCCAATAAGAAATGCTAGTAATAGGCCAACAGCTGATGCGGCTGTGGGTACAGGCTGCCAGGAAAACTAGTCATAACACCCCTCACCCACCACACCCCTCACCCACCGCCACACCCCTCACCCACCACACCCCACACCCACCACACCCCACACCCACCGCCACACCCCACACCCACCACACCCCTCACCCACCACACTCCTCACCCACCACACCCCTCACCCACCACACCCCTCACCCACCACACCCCTCACCCACCACACCCCACACCCACCGCCACACCCCACACCCACCACACCCCACACCCACCACACCCCACACCCACCACACCCCACACCCACCACACCCCACACCCACCACACCCCACACCCACCACACCCCACACCCACCGCCACACCCCTCACCCACCACACCCCACACCCACCACACCCCACACCCACCACACCCCACACCCACCGCCACACCCCTCACCCACCACACCCCACACCCACCACACCCCTCACTCACCACACCCCTCACTCACCACACCCCACACACCCCACACCCACCACACACCCCTCACTCACCACACCCCTCACTCACCACACCCCACACACCCCACACCCCACACCCACCACACCCCACACACCCCACACCCACCACACCCCACACACCCCACACCCACCACACCCCACATCCATCACCCACCACACCCCTCACTCACCACACCCCACACCCACCACACCCCTCACTCACCACACCCCACACCCACCACACCCCACACTCACCACACCCCACACCCACCACACCCCCTCACTCACCTCACCCCACACCCACCACACACACCCCTCACCCACCACACCCCACACCCACCACACCCACCACACCCCATACCCACCGCCACACCCCTCACCCACCACACTCCTCACCCACCACACCCCACACTCACCACACCCCACACCCACCACACCCCTCACTCACCTCACCCCACACCCACCACACCCCTCACCCACCACACCCCACACCCACCACACCCCACACACCCCACACCCACCACACCCCTCACTCACCACACCCCACACCCACCACACCCCACACCCACCACACCCCTCACTCACCACACCCCACACCCACCACACCCCTCACTCACCACACTCCTCACCCACTATACCCCCCAAACAAACAATAAACTCAACAAATGCACTGGGGTTTTGCTCATATGTAAACTGAATTTTGTTCTATCCCCTTCATTATTTTTTTAAAGAAGATAGCTTCAAAGTATATACAAACAATGACTGGCTTGTGCTTGTGCAATGGACCACAGTCTTCCTGTATTGTCTTATATCCATCTTGAGCACGTTAGGCAAGGGAGGCGCCTGCTGACTCCCTTAGCAGAGGAGGAAATGGAACTGGAGGCATCCAGGCAGCTCTGGCTGGGTAGAAGGGGAATCCACAGGGCTCCCTCTGATGTCACCACTCCCGAGGAATGTGACTTTGATTGACATCAGGACCACATGGCTCAAGCCTTAGCTTCTACATTTTTAATGGGACTTATATTGAATAAGGACATTGTCAGAATGGAACAAGTTGACACCTCTTTCCTCTTTTTATTTTGCAGAACTACTGGACTCCAATTCTTCATACCCCCCCCCCCCAGAAATGGGTTCATTCCTTAAGTGCTGCAGCTGCTCCTGCAGGGAGCAACAAATTGTGGCTCTGCATTATTCTCTGAGCTTTGTGACCCTAAGGGGAGAGTAGGCAGACGCCAGCTTACCTTGAGCTTGGTTAGGGTGTGCATGTCCGCCATGAAGTCCAGTACTTCACTGACGTACTGCCGAATACACTCCATCGCTGCCGTCCCACACTGGAACACAGGGACATGGCTCAGCCACAGTTCCATTTGTCACTGTCACCACACTGTCACTCTGACCCTGTGCCATTCTCTGCCACTCCCCCTACCACTAGCTTCAGTACAAAACCGGTTTAAAAGTTTACGGTAGAGACCAAAGAATCTGGGAGGCCTAAAAGAAATGAAAATAATGGCCATTTCCATCAGGCGACTGAAGCGATGCTTGCTTGCGTTTGAACTGGTATAAACACAAGAGTCCGCCTAACTGATGCTACCAGGGCCTCTAGGGAAGTCTTGCATGCACGAGACGAGATGTGCACCATCAAGGTTAACACTAGCATACTCATTTTTATCTGTCCTGTACACATATCATGCCGTATTTGCAGGGTCGAAAGTTCTTTTCAAGTCGAGTCAAATAACAGGCACAGTCGGCAGTGTTATTCAATAGATACTTGTATTCATGTTTTCTTCTTCCTAGGCTAGACAGCTGGAAGAAAGAGGTGAGGTGGGTGCCTGCCCCTCTCATACACTTAAAGTGTTTGGTCGGTTTTAAAAGAAAAGGAAGAGCATGCTGTGTGGCAGGTCACGGACTGGCGGGGACCTGCTCTCGGGGAGCAGCGCAGTGAATCTGGGATTCGGAGCCAAACAGAGGAAAGTGGATGGACAGGCTTGCAGCATCAAAGCTGCGCCTGCGAGAGAACCCACATGTCAGCAGCATAATGCGGATCAAAGGCAGGCGGTCTTTGAAGCCCCATGAATACCCACTAACGGCCTCTCTGGGCTTCCTTTAGGAAAATCTGGAACATTACAGACTTAACTAGCTCACCCAGAGACTTGCATTTCCCCCATATTCATGTAAATCTGCACAGCGCTGAACTGTATCACCTCCCCTCTCTTCTAGAATGTTCCGCTTGTCAATTTCTCTGACAGGATAACAAATAGTAAAATAAGGTCAGTGGCCAGTCTGTCAGTGTTTTCCAAGCGTTTCACGTGTTCTAAGGTTTTCTCCTTTTAATTTAAATCCAGTGGCGGAATTATAAAAGGGTATTGTGCCTCGGCTTTGCAATATGAATCCTTCAATGCAAAAACAGGGTTCCCCCACCCTCGATTTATTCCACTCTCTCTGACCTTTCATGCAAATAGGATGGGAGACTCTGCTCTTGAATTTCTTGAAAGGGATTTGTTTCTTTCATAGGCGATATTTTATACCAGTTCAGCCAGGCAAATGTCACTGAAAAGAATCACTAGGAACATTATTCAATATTTACCATTGCACAGTCAGTCTGTACCAGTGGTAGGCAGCGACTCCATCCAGCCTTAAAACCCACCCGAGGCCATCTATACTTTAAAAAGCACAAGCTGGTAATTTCTAACAGCCCCCGTTCCTTTGTAAGACGTGAATGTATCTTTAGATGTGTTGCCAGAAAAAGATCAGGGGGCTGTGCTCTCTCTGTTTCAGAGGTTGCTGGCTCGATGTGACAGGAAACTGATGACAAAGTATCCGGACTCTCACTAACCTCAAGCTTGTGAGCTCAAATCAGTCTTGCCCAGCTCTTCCATCCGGTTTAAAAGCCACATTTCTTACATTATAAAAATGGCATGAGTTCATTGCAGAAAGGTGGAAAATGCAAAGTATCAAAAGGGGCAATTTAAAACCCCATGATCCTGTCTCTTCTGAGAAAGCCACTACTCATATTTCCTTTCCCAAGACTCTGCCGATGGCACCTAACACACTTGGAACTGTTGGGGGACTGACATGGCCTCAGCTCCACAGTCCTTTGTTTAAACGAATCACAAGCATTTCCTGATGTAGTAACGTTCTCTGAAGTCTTTGCTTGATATCCACATAGTAGTCTACCTTCTGGGCGGACCTGACTTCAACCAAACAGCAGGGTGATGTCCGGATTCCCCTTGTTCCACACTTTTGTTATTTTAAATGGTACCTCAAAAATCACACTTGATTGTAAGATATCTAGGCCCCTTTGGTTTTCTCAAACACCTTTCCAGAAGTAAACTGTTCCCAAGGTTGGCTTCATTCCCATCAGGAGCTTGTCAGAATGTCACTTGCCCTTTGCCACCAGTGAGTTCCAACAGAGTGCCACTGGGAAACAAAAGTGTCTACAGCTGGCATACTTTTAAGACTTTGCACTGAAGGTTGATCCTATGTAAAGTGTGATTGTAATAGTGAGGTCTTATAGAGATGATGCACACTCATAGGCTGTGGTGAGGGATCCATGGGTGTCAGCTCATCTCCAAAACCATCGAGTTTCATACATCAGAGATGCACAACCTCCTACACGTCAATCAAGCCTTAAAGTTCTTTTTCTTAAGAGAAAGTAAAATTCTGCTGATTAGCCATTTTACTTTTATGTTTTAGATACCTTACATTTTATTCTTATTGTATTTGAATTTACTTATTTATCTTTCATTGGTGGCAGGTGAAAGTAACAGATGCCTTTCAGGGCTGCGGAGTTAGCTCAGTGGCACTTGTTGTTGCTAAGGTCCCAGGTTCAATTCCCAGCACCCACATAGAGGCTCACCACCTCCTCGGAGACCAGACATGCATGTGATGTATAGCTGTGCATTCAGGCAAAACATACACACAAAATAGAAAAAAAATATTTTTTAAAAAGGATGTCTTGAATGGCCTTGTTTGTGTCACTAGAGAAGGCTCTGGAGGAGGGTGCAGTGACTGCTGCTTTGTTGGCATTGTTGGTAGATCCACCTTCTTTCTATTGGTTCTCACAAACCGTTTGCAGAGTAGGGGTACATTTTCTTTTAATCACTCATGGAGGTAGAAAATATAAACCTCTAAGGAATTAATCAACACAGGCAGAGAGTGTGCAGAGCCAGTGGCTGCCCAGACCCCCTCTTCATTCTGAGCATATCCCTGGACCACATCTTCTCTTGCAGCCGCGGTACCCTTGTGTCAGGCAAGCAGAAGCGATATGGAGTCTAGACCTGACCTATGAAAGCCTCCCATGTTTGGACTCGCCTCTCTTCCCTGACCTTACCAGTCGATCACAGAGGGCTGAAGGACAGAGGAGCCTACTTCTGAAGTAGTTGCCATCCCTCACTAGTCGGGATGCCCATGCAAATTTCATGGGAAAAAAAATTTTTGTGTGCTGAGCTGCTATGAAATGAAGCTTGACCCCTTCTCATATTATACTAGCAACTGTCCAGAGCTCTTTAAAAAGGGTGCAGCAATTCTCTCCCCATGAGTCTGTCATAAGAGTCTGAAGTCTGAACTCAGTTTTAAGGATAAAGATGTTAACTGCATCTCAGTTACAAAAGTGACATACTGAAATAAAACACCCATAGGCTGTTTGTTAATATTACTTTGTTGCTGGGGTTTTTTTGGGGGGGTTCTATAAAATCTCCCCTAGTCTGTCATTTACTATATGAGCCACCATGTCCAGAACTAATAAACAACATTTACTCTGCACTATGTTCAACATGCATTATCCTAGTTAGTTCTCAACATACACAAGACCCTGTTGCATCTCATTCCAGGGGTGACAGAAAAGCAGGGAGCCAATCTACCCTAAAGTCACCACAAGTAAATGGCAAGCCTCAAACTCAGGTCCCAGTCTTAAAGCCTACATTCCCAAATGCTGTCCATTGAAATAGGAAGACACAGACTATAAACTCGGCCAGGACTTACCCCAGGCACGGAGGCTATCATCTGCTTGCTCAGGATGGTGGACTCAGCTAGCTTGGTTCCAGCATCCGCACAAATAAACTAATAAAAAAAAATTGAAAGGTGAATTATTTTTGAGTACTTGGGCAGTCATCACTAACTTATAATCTTCTTAACAGGATTTAAATTCATTCATTTTTTTATTATGCACCCCCCCCCAAATACTAGCCTTCCTAATCATGATGATCCATTCCTATCAGCGTGTAAACAGCATGAACATGTGTATGCTAACTTCACATAGAAAGGCAGGATTGAATCAGGGGAGAAAGCACGTTGTGGGGGAGGGCTCTTAGCGCTCCCAGTGTGCCCAGCCCGTCCTGCCGCATTTGACAGCTGTTGGCACACATGACATGTATCATGACAGCACAATTCACAGTGAAAACAGAAAAACACCAGGTGTCAGAGAAAGTGCCCTGGCTCTTCCCCTCCAAGGACCCACCATGCCCATCTTCCTCCCCCTCCCCCCACATCATCCACACACACTCCCTTGTGCTGGGTGCCCGAGTCCTGCCCTGAGCACCCACAGGGCTTTCCACACACTGATCTAAGCTGCCATCACCTCAGACTGCAGTGACTTGTCACTTGCATTTCAGTCTGCTGGTGGCTCTCCACAAGCACAGACCTGACCCAACCCTCTCCAGGGAGAGCTAGCCTGCTGTCCCAGAGCAGCCCAGGAAGGTCTATGAACTAATCAGTCAATTACGACTAAAGATCATGATGTGGATGGACTTGCCAGATTATAATTTAATTTGTTCTCATTATAGACTCTGATGGGTGTTTTCTATTTAATCTAACATTCATCTATTTATGTTTTTTTTTGGGGGGGAGAGTTAAATGAAGCCCAAAGATTGCTGAATAATTAACTCCTGTTTGATTTCTCTTCTTGGCCTCTGGCCAGCTCCCAGCAACTTTGGAAATCTGCTGTTTGCAGCATTCAGGGACTCCAAGGAGTTTTTGACAGAAAGCCTCTCCATCCTTCCATTTGGAAGGTATAGGGAACCTGGTGGGTCAAGACAGGCTTCATCCGGTCAAGCTGGAAGAAGAAAAGCTCAGGGAGGCCTTCTGAGAAAGTATGCAACAACAGAATGGAAACCAACATCTGGGCAAACTACTCAGGGCTCCAAATCTGAGCATGTTGACTGGCAGCAGGTTTTAGCTAAGAAGGAGGGGCTCTAAATCAATGGTCTTCCAAGGCCTCAGCCTAGGGCTCACTAACACTGTACTTCAAGTGTGGGAGGCACAGCCGTTCATGAAAGGAGCTTAGCTTTAGTGCCAAGCTGTGGGGAGGGGGTGGAGAGCTGCCCTGTGGGCTGCATAGCAGGAGTGCACACAGAACCTGGAATTCCTTTCTGCTACCTAGCCTGCTCCTTGCTAGTGCTGTGTACAGAAAAATCCTGAATCAGATTTGAACACCAGAAGGCCTTTAACTTTAGCCAAAGCTTGTACACAAAAACAGTGAAATGTGATAACTTGCTGAGGGTAACATGTAACAGACTAGCAGAGCATAGAAGTAAGTTCTCCCGTCCCAACGCCTGGCAGATGCTGCATGTTTTTCCCATAAGACGACTTTTCCGAAGCTTCTGAATCTGCAGTCTGAGACGGATGGCCTACAGTCAAGTTCTAAACTCGTCAGAATACTAGCATTAATGTCCAGTCTTTCAGTAAAAAGGAGACTGTGGCAAAGAAGGCCCAGTAAGATGAAGCCATGCCTGACACGTGACATGCAGGCTCTTTAGAGTGGCCTCTCAAGACAGCACAAGGTCCTGGCCCTCAAAAAACGCCCTTGTGTGGCCTGGTGGCCACTGAGCAAAGGAGTCAACACAGATGCATAAAGGTGACCAGTAGGACCCACCCTTAGCAGGTACCTGCCACCTGCCACACAATGTGCTCAGATTCAAAATTGTCATGTGACTTCTCTTGGAAGGGAGTGAGAGTGTACAGTCCTCTAAAAACCCAGGTACCATTATCAGCATGCTTCAGTTCAGTGTGTTTTTACAGAAGATGAGCAACTGGGATCAGTAAATCCGTTATTTTATTGCAGCACCAACGGCAAACTGGCAAAGCCCTCCACTGTAACTGTCTGCAACTGTGCAAAGCTCAAGATACAATTAAAATCAGGGGAGCTGACGTTAAAACTCTATACTTCCATGAAACAACAATGAATGAGAAAAAGAGGCCATGAATTTGAAAGAGAGCAAGGAGGGGTGTATGGGAGGGTTTGGAGGGAAAGGGAAGGGGGAAATGATGCAAGTATATTATATTCTCAAAAACGAAAGCCCAAAACCAAAACCAAGAGAATTCTATGCACTCCTCCGTAAGAACAAAAGGACACAAAGAAGCGAGGGCTCCATCCACTATGCGTCATTACTAAATTCATCATTACCAAAAGGATACCCAAAATAGCATGTCTATGTCTCCTCCCTCCCATAGGGAGGGTAATTAGTAACTTAGATAGTATTAACAACTCGCAGCGGTATGAATTGAAAACAGGAGCCATACCTTTGTTCTCAGCCCACAGCTAACCTATTTTTAAAAGAGAAGCTCTTACCAACATGATCCCTCAGCACTTAGCTGTGCAGGTATCCCACAGCGTGGGAGAGGTACATGCAAATTAGCAGAGTATCTACTCTCCACATAGATTTGACTTGAAGTTAGTCTTTCCAGTGACCTTTAATGAGTTACTGTTCTACTGTGGAAGCTTTCCTTTAATCATCAAATATAAGGAGCTATCTCTCACACATCAAACATCCACAATACGGGGAGGAGGGATCCCAGGATGCCACCAGCAAGGAAGATTTTTTTCTAAGAATTGTGGAATATACCAGTACTGTGATCGCCTTGAAAGTAGGCAAGCGTTTACTGTTGGGTAGGAGTAGGGATGTTTTGGAACATTTGTTTAACTATGTAAAGATATGCTGCATTTGTTTATGTTGCAGTATATTTACTTATGTAAAGATTTGTTGCATTTGTTTAACTATGTAGAGATGTGTTGCTGTTTTTCCTTGTGGCCAATAACAAGGGAGGGGGTATAGGTGGGAATTCTGGGCTGGGGAATAAGTCAAGGGAGGAATTTAGGCTTGGGGAATTTAAAAAAATAAATGAGACCCACCAGGGAGAGGCCAGGAGCCGGACAGACAGAGAAAGCAGTGAGATAGGACACACAGAGTGACAGAAATAAAAAGCCCAGAGGCAAAATGTAGATGAATAGAAACAGATTAAGTTAAAATAGCTCAAGCCTAAGCTAAGGCCAAATATTCATAATTGATAAGTCTCTGTGTCTTTATTTGGGAGTGGTTGGCAGCCCAAAGGACAGTCCAACTACACAGATTGCCATCTAACTGAAACAATTAAGGTATGGCCTACCTGTGGGAAGAATGTAACAGTTCCATTTGCACAGACTTACCCATCTAACTTCATCTGGGGTAGGACCCCAGGGTGGAGACAAGAGTTACACTGGCTTTATGCTACTCCTTACTTTGATTTACCTCACTAATAACTAGAATGATTTATTCTAACAATGTGTAGATGAGTTACTTCAAAATGGCATAATGTTTAATTTTTTTTTTGTTTTTGTCACAGAAGGATGAAATATTATTCTCAAAGCTATTCCTCCAGGACAAGATATCAGAGTTTTCTAAATACCTCTTCAACCTGAATAATTTCTAAACTTAATGACTATATATGTGTGTGTGTGTGTGTGTGTGCATGTATACAAACCATATATATAGTTTGTTTGTTTGAAAATGTAATTCTAGTCTTTGGGAGGCTAGCCTCTAACTCCTCAGTGCTTCTTACCTCAGCCTCCCAAGTACTTGGTCTTTAAAATGTCGTATTTGTAATGGCAGACAAACATTCCAAAGTCACATTTAAAAATGTCTACTTTTATCCTTCTTTCTTGTTAACACAAATTTGTTTTTGTTATTTATTCACCAAACAGTGACGTGATAATCACTGTTTTCACGGTTGCCTTAAGCGCTGGGTAATTGAACCTGTCAGTGTTCTTTTGCTGTCTTGGGATAAGCGCTTATTAGGGTTGACTCATGCACTTCATAGAAACTAGCCCGCAGCAGCCACAGTGTGAGGTGACAGACCCCAAGAAGATCAGCCACACAGCTCAAGACTGAGGGGACATTGTCCAGTGCCATGGAGAGAACCCAGGGTCCTCAGGCTTGTTTCCTGCCTGTATTGTTTGAAACCATTCAGTCCCTGACTACCTGACATACCAAGCAGACACTTGTCCTTAGTGACCTGGGTATGAGGACAAGTCAGCAGTAATTTTTCCCTGATTACACACTACACGGGAGGGAATCCCTCCTGCTCACAACTTCTCGCAAGGACTTTTCTTATCTCTCTCTCTCTCTCTTGTCTGGCACTAATCACAGCCTATTTTGGAGGTTTAAATGGACCTCCCTAAAATGCTACTAAGAACACTGGATACAGAAGGCCCCTCCCATATAGCTCAGTATATAAGCAACATAAACATTGTCATGAACTCTCCAGTGGTTGCTTTCAAACCCTGTTCCTCAGTGGACCCATGGGAGCTGATTCTCTTCTTTTACCCCATGGAGTCAGCACATCCTGCCAGTAGGTTGTGTCTGGTCTGGTCCATCCTTGAGAATAGAGAAGATTCTAGAGCTTGTACGTGCTGATCAGAGCACAAAGGAAAACTTCAGCCTGTAGCCTTACTCTTGACTCTCTCTCTCTCTCTCTCTCTCTCTCTCTCTCTCTTTCTCTCTCTCTCCCTTTCTCCTTCCCCTTCCCTTCTCCCTCTCTCTTCCCCCTATCTCTGTGTGCACGCTGGATCTTCTTGAACTGAACTGAGCCAGATATGGATGCTAATGGAAGAGCAAACCACTGAGCATCTCTCCAGCCCTATTACAAGTTTCTTGATGACAAAAATTGTTTTATTCTATATTTTTATCATTTACAAAAACTAGGTCTACAGTGGGATTTAAAAAATTGCTCCTCTTTTGTTTTTTTTAGCCAGCAGAAGCACCAAGTGTCCTGTGTGTATTGGAGCACCTGTCTCTTGACAAAGGGTTTGGCCTCGAGCACATGCTCCAGGCTCCATGAAGTTTTGCAGATGCAGCACAGCTCTACCTGGACAAGAAGCAGGAGGTTTGTATCTGGCAAAGGAGACTTGAGCTTCAAGGCCTGGAGAAGTTCCAGAACAACACTACGAGACAAGTAGAATTTATCCCGTTCCTAAATAAAACAAAATAGAGGGGGTCAGTCATTTCCAAAAAATCAGTTCCCAAGATCTACGCCAAACAAGCTTCACAAGTTTGCAGATCAGAAGTTCACAATGGTGTTTAAAATGCAATAAGCCACCTTTCATACGTAAAACTAAAACTATGAGAAGGGCAGTTCTGTGTGTGGAACAAGTCCTATGCTGCAACAAGGACACGTCACAGGACGGATGAGAGGCAGGCACAGCTTCCGGAAAGCTCCGTGTTTTCTCCACGACACTTCTTTCTTGACATGGATGGTTTCGGGAGTACAGCAAAGCAGAGAGAATGGGACACTTGTTGTACCCTCCACCCCCTTTCAACATTTCCTCCCTTCCTGGAAGTCCTCTCTGCTCGGAATCCGTTGCTTACTCTGTTTTCATATTTTGACCACACATGCGCATCTCTGTCATAAAATACATTTTTAACCTCAGTACTATACATATCTTTTCTTCAACTTTGAATTATCTATATTGTTTAATTATCCCTCAACATATGGAACTTGTTATTTTGAGTGGACAATCTACTAATATTCTATTGTATACCTGTACCACAATTTACCGACGTCAATTGTACATTAGGTGGACCTTCTTTATTATCAAGCCCACACTGGCTGACCACAGCTACCTTAGTACCCAGAAAGCCTTGTGGATTTAAAGGAGTCAGCACTGTGCTGGGTCCAACAAAAACAAGTTTACTCTGGGATTTCTTAGTCTGTGGCCCTAGACAGAAGTACATGCCTGGAGGATGTGGAATCCAGGTCTCCAGTCTGATTCTGTCTCCTCTGCTCCTGAAACTGCAGCTCAACCTCTCAAACACATTGTGAACACTGATCAACATTCCCAGGGGGAAACTGGCCTTCAGGGCCAGGCTCACCACCCTGCAGGACTCAGGGCTGGGCTCACCACCCTGCAGGACTCAGGGCTGGGCTCACCACCCTGCAGGACTCAGGGCTGGGCTCACCACCTTCCGGTATTGGGCTCCTCTGGCCCCTAGCCTCATGATGTCTGTATATTTGGCTAACATTTATACTTCCAAGAAGCTTAAAAGAAAATAGACTGTTTATTTAAAAAAAAAAAAAAACTTTCCATTTTAAAAAGTGTGTGTGCGTGCGCGTGCGTGTGAACTTTCAGGGCCTGGTAACTTCCTTCCACCGTGTGGGTCCTGTCAAGTTCAAGTTCGTTGGCTCTGTGCCCTATTACAACACCATTTCACCGGCCCTAAAACAAACCCTTCAGAACATTAAGTGGAAGTCTAGATTCAAATGACCGAGCTCACAACTTTTTAAACTGCACATACAGCGTCATGTAACTCAATGTAAGGCTGGCAAAAGGGGCTAGGGAAGGACATTGGCAGCAGCAAGAGGTTTCTTGACCAAATCTTAAGGTTACACATGTGTTGCATCATGTGACTCTGCTACAGCTTCTGTTCTGAACACACATACCACACACACATCACACATATCACACACACACACATATACACACCACATACACACACCACACACACATCACACACTTCACACACACACACACACACACACACATATATACACACACACCACACACCATACACATATACATACACACACCACACCCATATCTGCTGGCGGGGAACTAAGCCCAAGAACATACATGCTTGACCCTGGATTGTTTTTCACTGTGCTGTGAGTCAGTATATAAATCTGCTCCTTCCCCTCAATAAACAGCACTTGACATTAATAAACAGCATTCGACATTCCGGCGTTCCTGTTGCATGAATGACCCACTGTCCTATCTTTCATTTAAATCTCCAGGCCTTCACCCAATTACTGGAACAGATTGTAATGTGGGCACTATACCACAGAGACACCACATCTCACACACACACACACACACACACACACACACACACACACACACACACACACACACACACACACACACACACACACAAACGCATGCACGCACACCATACAGACACATACTGTGCATACCGGACTGCACTGCCTGAAACATCTGGGCTCAGGCTGTGGCATGCTAACAGTGTTGTGTTTCTGTTGTACATACAAAGGCTCTGCTTTGGCAGAAATCCATGGTTTGGCTGTGGAGAAGAAAGATTTAAAATTGCCCCACTTCAATACCTCAGTATGTGTGTACCAAGCGACTGTACCTCTGAATCATAGAGTCAGAATGTTTGATTTAAAATCGCTGTTTCAGCTGCTGACTTATGTTTTGTTTTTAAAAATACTGCATAAATTTTATTTAGTTTGGGATTAGAAAAATATTTCCAACAATTTGAGATGGCCTTGAACATACTTCCATAATTTTGTGCTACATATTTATGCAAAGCATGGCTTTCAGAGTTGATGAGAATAAAATAAAAATACCAAAAACTCTGAAAAACATGGAAGATAATCTATATCCTACAATATCAAGTATTCTGGCAAGATTTGATTCTGCATATAAAAATAAATAAACAGATCTATTTCATTAATAAGAATTTTTTACATAAAAAAATTTAAATGTGTTTGTGCATGGATCTTTGTGTGGGTATGTGCCCGTGAGTACAGGTGCCTGCAGGGACCAGAAGAATCCCTCTGGAACTGGATTTATAAGTTGCTGTAAACCACCTGACCTGGGAGCAGGGAACTAACAAGTCCTCTGGGGGGGGGGGGGACAAGTATGCATTCTTAGCCAAAACTTTCTCTTATCTGTAATAAATTGTAAAAGTATATGTACACTAAATAATCATTCTTTAAAAATGTGTTATTGTTTGGTTGTATACCTATTTACAGTCCTAGTGAGCCCAGCTGGCTCACGAGGCTCTCCTTTGAACACATTGATTTGTATTGTTCATTAGAAGCTTTTCATGTGTGATGGGCACTGGTCTGTCATCTCCTTCCCCTGCTGCCCTTGTCCGGGTGGAGTCAGGAGTCTGCTGCCCGCGTGGAACGTGTGGGCAGGGCTCAGTGCTCCCGTTTCTGTTCTATTAGTGTTCAGGCGCACACCAGTCTGCTTCTAAACACGGTGGGCATCAGCCCTAGTCTTACAATGGCCTTCATTCCAGAGGGGCTTTCAACCTCTGCCTCTGCTTTTTCATCATTTAAATATAATCAACTTTTTTTCCTTTCCCCTTTCCCCTTTCCTCCTTCCCCCTTCCCCCTGGTTGTTAGGCATTCTGTTTCTCTAGAAAACTGCCCCACTGTATAAGAATTCAAGGCACTACTGGCTCAAAGTTGACATGTCTGCCATCATGCTTCTTTTTGCCAGTACTCTTTATCTGTGCCGTTTATGTGCTTTTCTTGATCCCTGTGTCAACAGTCTGGCCACAGGGCCACCTTTCCTTTGTGGGTCTGTGGGATGCCACCTTCTTCACCTCTTTCCCTATACCCCTACTCTTTCTTGTTAGCCTGTTCAGTTCATTTAGTTTTTCTTTCCTTCTATAAAGTACTTAAGACAGGTCTGAGGACATGCTCAGTTACACTGCGTGCTGTGTAAGTATGAGGACCTGAGTTCACCCCCCCCCAACATGCATGAAAAAAAATAACAGTAGCAATGAGGATGAGGATGGTGGTGGTGGTGGTAAAAAGCCAAGCATGGCAGCGTGTGCTTCTAAACCCAATGCTAGGGAGGTGATGACAGCTGGATTTCTAACTCGATGGCTATCCTAGCTAATCGGTGATCTTAGGTTCACTGAGAGGCCCTGTCTCAAAAAACAAAGTGGTGAGCCAGAGGGAGACACCTATGTCAACCTCCGGCCCCCAGATGCACATACATGCACATGTATCTGTACATACATACAAATGTGTAAGGCATTAAATGTGCTTTTCAATACACTGTGGCTACAATGCTCCATTTCGAAGGTAGTATTCTCACAATCAGTACTAAATAATCTCCTAAACTGTCTTAAACATTTCTTTTTAATTTTAGACATATTGAAAAGTATATTGTAGCTGCCAAATATAACAAGCCCCAGGTACTCCTTGTAAGAACTGGGGACAGTACATTTGACCACAGGATTGCAAAGTCTGAGTTTTCAGAGCCTTTCCAGTCAACAGTCTCGGGTTGTGTGCATAGACACCCTCATCCACTCATACACCCCCACTGCCAGACATGCACTCATCCTACACAGGGGTGCACCCATGTCCATGATGTGGTGGGGCGCTGGATCTGACAAGGAGACAGGACCCACACATCTGAGAATAGGGAATGGCAAGGAAAGAATTTCACTCATTTTTCTCTGTAGCTGGGAGGATACACCTATCCATGTACCAATGGGGTGTGTGTGTGCGCGCGTGTGCACATGCATGCACACACACACTCTTCCCCAAATGTAGGGCTCTGTAAGCTGATATATCTGTATTTTCATGAATAGTAGGAACCTCTTCCAACTTCTCTGGGGTAAAACATGAAGCCCTAAATATTTATACACATTTTAATGCTCAAATGTGTGACTGTGAACTTATCAATCTCCTTTTACAATTATATTAATTTTTGAGGCTGTATTCTTAGCTCTATAAAGCTATAGAATTATCAAGTTTTTCTGATAAAGTGTTCCCTGTTTCAGTATACAATGACTTTATAATAATGCTAACATGAAAATTCTAACTTAAGGTCAGCTGACTGTCATTTTTTTCTCATTAGTATCTGTCTACATATCAGCTATTCGTTTTCAAACTTTCTTAGTGTTCTTTAGATGTATTTTAGGAGCAACTTTTATAGATGACATGTAACTCTGCTTTTGAAATCCAGTCTGGCAATTCCTAGTGAGTTGTGATAGTTTGAAAGAAAATGGCCCCCAAAGGGAGTGGCAATATTAGGAGGTGTGGCCTTGTTGGAGTGGGTGTGGCCTTGCTGAAGAAAAATTGTCAGGGAAGGTGGGGGCTTTGAGGCCTCTTTTCTCAGGCTTCACTCTGTAACAGTCAGTCAACTTCCTGCTGCCTTCTGGTCAAGATCTAGGCAGCACTGTGTCTGGCAGAGCGTTGCATGCCTCCAGTCATGAGGATAACGGACTGACCCTGGGAAATTGTAAGCTACCACCTCAATTAAGTATTGTCTTTGTAGGAGTTGCCATGGTCACAGTATCTCTTCACAGCAACAAAAAACCCTAGGAGAATAGTAGCATTCGTCATGATTACTGCCATGTTTAGGGTTCACTCCTCTTTCCTTAACTGAACTGGTCTCAGCTTGTTCTGTGTCTTTTGCCACTATTACGTTTTATTCTTATTTTATCCTGTACTTGCTTGGAACTTACACATTGTATTTCTGACCTCTAGAGTTTGTACTTAAATTGCTGGCATATTCTCTCTCTCCCTCCTTTCCTTTCTTCCTTCCTCTCTCCCTCCCTCCCTCCCTCCTTCTCCAACAGGGTTTCTCTGTGTAACAGTCCTGGCTGTCCTGGAATTCATTTTGTAGACCTCAAACTCACTGAGATCCGCCTGTCTCTGCCTCTCAAGTGCTGGGATTAAAGGTGTGAACCACCACCACCACCCAGCCTGACACGTACTCTTAAGTTTAAAGTTACTGGTAATTCATGTCTCTGTGAACAGGACCTGTGAGAAAGTGTTTTAACTCCAGCCCTCAGCTATTCACACACACACACACACACACACACACACACACACACTGTATACAGGTTATTGTTAGGTGCTATTTTATCATCCTTTTGTTTTCTGTTTAGTTAATATTATTACTACTGTTGCTTTATATTGTCAGCGATCACTTAGATTTATATATTTTACTAATTTCCTTGGTAAGTATCCTTCATATACTTAAAAACTTCTCTGTTGGTTCAATTTCCTTCTTGTTGTAATAAATCTTGAAATATTATTTCAATAATAATATATTCACATTTTCAGAGTCTGGGGAGATGGCTCAGCAGTTAAGAGCAAGTAGAGCTCTTGCAGAGGACCTGGGTTCAGTTCCCAGCACCCACATTGAACAGTTTATATCTGTAACTACAATTCCATGGGATCCAATGTTCTCCTGTGGCCTCCTCAGGCACTAGACACACACATGGTACACATGCATGCATACTCACACATACATAGAAACTAAAAATTAATGACTCTCCAAGAAAATTACTACTTTCTCTTCCTCGTGAATACCCTCTTAGCCTCCATTCTTAAAGGATGCCTTAGATGTAGAGAATTCTGAGTGAACAAAATTTTCAGATCTAGTTCCCTCTGTGCTGCTGAGAGGTTTGCAGTTAGGTCTGTCTTCAGAGTGCTTTTTTCTCAGTTGCTCTTCAAACATTTTCTCTTTGGCTTGCTTGTTCCAAATCAGAGCTGGTCATACAAACTAATGTGCATGTAGGTGAGTGAGTGCAGGTGGTGAGTACAGGTGAGCGGGTGCAGGTGGGCAGGTGCAGGTGGTGAGTACAGGTGTGCAGGTGCAGGTGGACAGGTGAGGTGGTGAGTACAGGTGAGCAGGTGCAGGTGAGCAGGTGCAGGTGGTGAGTACAGGTGTGCAGGTGCAGGTGGGCGGGTACAGGTGGGCAGGTGCAGGTGGGCAGGTGCAGGTGGGCAGGTGCAGGTGAGTGGGTACAGGTGAGCAGGTGCAGGTGAGTGGGTGCAGGTGGTGAGTACAGGTGTGCAGGTGCAGGTGAGTGGTAAGGATGTATCTATTAATATTTTTGGACACATTGCATACCAAATCATAGAACTGATGATTTTTTATTAATTATGGAAATGATAAAAGCCTAGTCTGCTTTTCTACAGATTTTCTTAATGTGTGTTAGATCTTTTTATATCTTTGATTTTTTTAAAGATCTGTTTTTTCTGCTTTCCTATGTCTCCAATTCCCCCTTTAAGCTATGTCTAATTTGCTAGTTAACCTGTGGATTGAGGTTTTTGGGTTTTTTCTTTTTCCAACATTAGTGGCTATTCTCACTTTTTGATCAAGTTTAAATTAATCTGATTTTTTTCTGAAATAACTAAATCTCTTTTTAGTTTCTTTTTAAATCCTTTGTATACTTATAGTATAGAGCATACTCTGAAAGCCCCTGTATCACAGTTTTCATATTCTTGGGAGAAATAATATCACTATTTATTGACTCTGCTAATCCAGGCCCTGGGAGGTTGTTTTTCCTTGGGGAGAGTAGAGTTTAGATTGCTTATGCTAATCAAAGTTTTAGCCTCAGAAATAATGCTGGGTGGGACTGAGCTGCAGATTCATTTCTCTAGACATGCCTGGGATTTGTTTCCATCTGCAAAGATGCCAAAGCTGAGCACCTGTTGCCGTGTAACATCAGAGTCATGTGACTTCTGCTTGCAGGTACTGTTGTTCCTTAACAAAATATCAATTGCTCGAATTTACCAAAAAGACCTGAGAGCCAAATGCTGGGGTGAAAGCCTACTAGCTCAGAGAGGCAGAGAAAGCACCCAACTGACCTTCCTCCTCTGCCACCATGCCCAAAGCTTCTCCTCTTTCCTCCTACCTCAAACATGACTCCTCAAAATTAATGTCCCTCCCTTCTACTTCCTGTGCATTCCTCTATCCTTCCTCCTGACTCCCTCTAACTCTCTATGGTTTTTGTTCTTAATATTCTTATGTTCACTTCCTGTGAGATGATTGCTTCCTCTTGCTCTATGGTTGACTTTATTTAACCCTGTTAACAACATCCAAGCAGAAGCTCTTGGGTTGAGGGTGTGGACTAGGGCTGAGCCACACCATAACTAGAAACGAGTTTCTCCAGTAAACAACACAGTGATCAAATATTCTGCAACAAGGTACTATGAATTCAAACCATCACTCTTTTCAATGACCAGCCTGTGTTTACTAATTCTCAAGGGACAATACATCCTTTCTCTACTGGAAGGCTAAAACACATAGCATTGCTTGTTACTGCCACATTGCAAATGTATTTCTCCAAAACTACCCTTTGAACAGGGTATAGCTTTTCAAGGGTTCTGACTTCCTAGGGGGATGCCTTGGCTCCAACTCCTGGAATGGGGCTGTCCTAAAATCATCATCCCCTGTTCTTGTGTGGACTTCAGCAGTCAAGCCACTAGGGTGCTAAGGCAGAAACCCCTTACACAGACCTGCTGATGGGCTCAAATCTGGGTTCTCAGTTCCCTTTTCCTTTTCCCTCTGCCATTCTTATAATGTTAATTGTACATTTAAAGCTAGTATCACAAATTAAGTGTTATTATATTTCACCCAGGATTCTAGTCTTCTCAGTGGGGGTGGCTCTGGATTTTCTCAGCTTCCAGAAAAGGACGCCACCAGGACTCTATGCATTCCCCTGTCTTTTCACTGGATTACATAAGGAGACACTGTTAGATATCACTATTTTAAATAAAATGACTTCTAAAAATAAAGCATTTTACTGTGTTTGGTGCTATGTTGCATAGCTATACTCTTAAGCATAAAATAAAAAGGAGGTCAAGTTACTATTCAAAGAAAATGTTCATGGAAAAAAAATACTATCTTGAGAGGCGGAAAATATGGGCTCCAGGCAGGGCAGTAAGTAGCTTAGGATGTGCAAGGCCAAAGAGAAAATTATCATGGTACACTTAACATGGCAGAAAGGATGCAAGTTGGTAAGAAAGATGACCAGGGCACTTCTTATAAATAGAATGGAAGCTTTGTTGTAAAATGAGTTTTAAGGGGGTAGAGAGGGGGGAAATAAAGGGCTCATAGCAGGAGGCCACACAAATGGAGAGCGCTCTGAATGTTCAGGAGGGACCCACACACACAGAGGCCCCATTGAAGACAAGCCGTGACACTGGGCCTTAGAAGGGAGCATTTGCAGTGTCCTCAGAATGGGAAGGAACCCTTTCCCTGATGCCTGCATTCCCATGAGGCCAGCACCTATGGGCTCTGATAAGGTGGTCATATCCACTGGGCAGGATGCTAAAGCCAACCTAGCGAAGGAGGCACCATTAAGATTCTCCTCACAGAGGCCAAGAACCCAGAGCTAGAGACACAAACACAGGAGCATTAAGGAGTACTCTAGAGGATCGTGCAAGTCGTGAGCTATTTTTTCCTCCTCTGGACATTAAAAGAAGACATACAGTGGTGGTCTGCCCACTCATGATGCTACAACAAGCTTTAAAAAGTCTTAGGAGATCACGTATACCATTAACTCGCTCAAAATGTCTCTCTTTTTCTTAACCACGTGGCCTCAGTCTCCAAATCTGCCCACTTCAGAACCAGGAAATGTGTGCTCATGTGAAGTGTCCAACAGATCACTCGTCTTAACAATAGTATAGCAGGGAAACCCACAGGAATTTGACATTGCTGTCTCGGGCTTCGTGAAACACACGGGCAGGCTCACCTTAGTGAATGCTCGATAGCACAAGCCACACAGCTCCACCAGGTAGGCCAGAGTGAAGACAGCATTCTGAATGACAAAGCTGAGTAGCTTGGAAAATGGTTCCAACAAACTCTGCAATGAGATTGGAGCCAAATAAATCACTTGTTCCTTATTATTATTATTTTTTAAAAATGCACTGGTCTTATTACACTTTAACTGCTAGAGTTGTTTCTTAGAAATCTGATGCAAGCCGTTGTTAATAGTCACTCTGTTGGTCTAAGAAATCAGCCCACAGTTCAAAGAGAATCCAGAAAAACCAAACCCCTTATTTTCCCATGTGGCATCATTTACAAACCCTCCTAACTACAGCCCTGCACTCCTGTCAGGCTAAGCAACCCCACCTCTACGAGGCTGTCCCTCTGGACCCTCAAGTGTCTGTGGCTCCTCAGATTCACATCCACCAGTTACACTCTGATAAATGCCCTGTGTGCACCAAGTGCCTTGAGCTCAGAAACGGTTCCTGCTGTCCAGCACGTAGTTATCGGAGGGACATTGTATGTTTGTTTCCCTGTCTACATCCCACCATCGTTCAGTTTTCGTCTCGCAGGCTCTCACAAAGACACCCAGAATGTTTAGTGAGCACCCACTGAGTGTCAGGCAGAGCTTGGCGCTTTTGTATTGTTTGTCCTAGTCAAACATCTTCCTGCCCAGGGGCAGGAAAGAAAACAAGCTCCAGCCTTCCATGCTTCTCTTCTGGAGCCTTGGATCTAGATAAATGATTCGTTCTCTAATTGATAACGTAAGAAATTCAAGAGCTATTGAATCCTCCAGAGCCATGAATCTTAATAGCCATACTGCAAATGCCACCTCAGTAACTGTGTTTACATTAAATATTCAATTCAATGTTCTGCCTTAGAGCAGGCTTCTAGAAAAGGACTTACTCAATGAGAGGATACAAACACTTGGAAAATATCTACTTTTTTGTGTGTTCACGTGCGAGATGTATTTGTGACGTGGGGTCCACCCGGGGGTCGGAGGAGAACCTTGGGCATCCATCCTCACCTTCCACCTTGTTTCAGGCAGGATCTCCCTTGCTGTTCACTACTGTGCTGCATCCAGTTTCTTTGTGGATTCTGGGCATGGACACTCAGGTGGTCACGCTGTGTGCCAAGTGCTTTTTACCCTCCAAGCATCTCTGCAGCCCCAGGGATAAATTCATTTTTAAAGATTTATTTTTATTATTACTTGTGTGTGTGTGTGTGTTTGCATGCCATGTATGTGCTGCGTGTGTGTGTGCCTGTGTGTGTGTGTGTGCCCGCGCACGTGCGCCTGTGTGTGTGTGCGCGCACGTGCCTGTGTGTGTGTGTGTGTGTGTGTGTACGCCATGTGTGTGCAGGAGCCTGAGGAAGCCAGAGGAGGACATCATATCCCCTAGAACTGGGAAGTATGAGCTGCATGGAACCAAATTTGGGGTCTGCAAGAGCAGCAAGCACCCTTAATTATTGAGCCTTCTCTTTAGGCCAGATAGGAAACTCTCTGAGGTTCCTTATGTATTTACATAAAAATCAGTTCAGTTACCTGCTCTTTGCCCCTGAGAATAGATGTGTTTTTCCATTATTGGTACCCGCTACAGAGACTTATGTATGTGGCTTTTTGTTGTTGTTGTTGTTGATATATATATATATATATATATATATATATATATATATATATATCCTTATATATATATATATATCCTTAAGGAAACTTTGAGATGGTGCCCATAGATAGCTAAGTTCAGCAGAAAAACCTAGGAACTTGTTCTCTTACAGACCTATGCTCAAGTCCTAGGCCATTCACAAACTAGCTATGACCTTGAGCAGACACGTTGCTTCTGAGTCCATGTCTTTATCTGTACATGTGCAGACTGGCTCACCTCTCTTTGTAACAGGCCAAGGTGAACTGTGACTCCGTGAAAGTGTAAAGGTCAACAGCTCTAAGAAATGTGTATTGTTGGTGGGTGAGCCAGTAATTATTATGTACATTGTAATGTAATCTCTTTAGGCTGCACAGAAGGCAGCCAAGAGGTGTGAGCAGGAAATGAGACACAGCCCTGAACATCCCACACAGCTCATGGTCTTACTGGAGAATCTGTAGGACACTGTACATGTTAATACTGAAAGCTTGACCAAGGAAGTGGTTCCTACAGATAATACAAGCATTTAGGAGTTTTAAATGGAGTCTTGAAGGATGAACTGTGGGCTCACTACACTGACAAGGGTCTAAAGTGTGTCAGGCAAAGGAAACGGCCTGAGCAAAGGTGGGGGTCTGAAACTAAACAGGATTAAATGTGTAAAGCAGGAGGAACAAGACAGGAGCATTCAGCAGTGTCCACTGTCTTCATGAGGATAATGATGCTGACCTGAAGATGCTTGAGAGGCATTGGAGGAACGGGACAAGTAGCAGAGATTAAACTGGAAAGGTGGGCTGGTGAGAAGGACGTGAATGTAAGCTATATCAAGGAATTTGGATGTGATCCTGAAAGAAACCGGAAGTTGTCAAAGACTTTTAACTAAGGAACCAACATAACCCTACTCAGAAGGCTCAGCTAGCTGGTAACCTGGAGGATAATCTGGATGGAGCGGTGGGCTTGCCCCAGACCAGGATGAATAGTTACAAACGGTAGCATTGCAGTATTTAGACGATGACCCAGCACGATGTTAGAGGGAGGGGGACATTCTGTATGCAGCGGCCATATCTTCAGGGTTGCTCCCTTTCTGCCCTGCAGTTAGGAGGTAATCAAATAACCAACCAGGCAAGCTTTTCTGAAACACTTTAAAAATACGTACCCTCGTGGCATTGGTAGAAGGTATCTTCAAGAGACAAATCATAATTCTCAAACTGGAATCTAAAGAACACTGTGAACAGATAGGAAAAGGCAAAAGTCAGCGTCCTTCTCAATGTTTCCATTGCTTCAAATATTCCCTGCATGCATTTTACAAAAAGAAGTTGTGGGAGTGGGGAGATGGCTCTGTCAGTAAGGGGCTTGCAACCTGGCATAAATTCCCACACTTGTTCCCAGGACCCCGAGAAAGAGCTGGGTGTGGTGGCCCATGCTTTTAATGTCAGAGCTAGGGCAGTAAAAGCAGGTGTATCCTTGGGGCTCACTGGTCAGCCAGGCTGGCCAGCTCAGTGAGCTCTAGGAAGAGAGCCAGTCTCTAAAACATAGTGGACTGCGCCTGAGGAGTGACACCCAATGCTGACCTCTGGCCTCATATGCACACATATCCACAGAGATTCAAACACACACACACACACACACACACACACACACACGCCCGCATACACATACACACATATACACACACCATACACTTATCACATACAAGTCTTCCTGTGACTACTTCTACACTGTATATCAAAAACAATTGCTTTCAGATTTAAAAACTTTAATGAAAAAGTATGCAATGTTAAAATAATTATTAAACAAATGAATTAAATAAACACAGCTCTGAAACTATTTTTTCAAAGATATAGTTCCAGAATTACATGATATAGAAGTTAGATGAAGGCCTGGATGGATGGATGGATGGATGGATGGATGGATGGATGGATGGATGGATGGATGGGCAGGCAGATAGGTGGATGAACAAGTGGATAGAGAGATGGACAGATAGACATGTAGGTATTAAGGCAGATGTTAAATGTATACCAGTCTAAAGAAGTATACTAAGTTAGGAAAAGCTTTCTTGAGGGGAAAAACTAATAGAAATCATTAGTCCAAAACAAGAACCAGTTTCGTCACCTTCCTCTGGGATTTGTTTCTTATTTTAATTTTTCACAAGAGCAGGGGTTAAATTTGGTCCTTGTGTAAAGCAAGGTGTGGTACCACAGAACTAGGCCTCTCCAGTTTCCCAGGTGGGAATTCACCTTCCCTTGGTCATGCAAAGACATGACCCAGAACCTGGAAAAAAGGAGCAAACTTTCCCTCTAACATCCATACGGAGAGAAAAAAAAACACACTCTGTAAGATTGGCAGAGCGCGAGTAACAAGCGCTAGCCTATCATTATAGCCACATTCCAGCTTCTACAACTGGACAATGACCCCCTTCGACAAACTAGAAACTAAGCCACAGTGTCTCCTGGTGGATCCCTGGACTGGGGCTTGTCTGGCACCTGACCTCACTCCAACCAGTCACAACCCTGTGTCACTAGCAGGGACAAGGGTGCACACCGAAGTCTGAGACAAACTGCGAGATTTTCAAGGGGGCAATATTTCCTAAGAGATGAAGGACAAGACAGAATAGTTTTCAAGTCTGACTTAGTTGGGAACTTCCTTGCACAGATCCTGGCAGTATTTTCTAAGAATCTTCTAAAAAGAGCCTCGGCCTGTTTAATATGCCAACGCCCTTCAGAATTGACATGACATTTACCTACTTTAAACCAGGAGCTGAAGCCCAGCTGCTGATCAGGCCAAACCCTGGTGACTTAAAGCTCAGGAAATGTCATCTTGGTGGTGGTGGGGGGAGAGACCCATACGCTGAGGCTTGTTCCCACATAACCACCGTCAGCAGGGGTGGAGTGCAGACCTCGGTAGGAGCCGCGCATTAACACTGTCAAGGGCCTCGGTTCTCCTTATGATCCTGTGTCACACCGCTCCACTCATTAACCTTTGGGCAAACTCCCTGCGGGCACAGCTGATTGTCACAGATTAGGCAGAGCTGTTGTTTACAGCAGCAGCACCCCCTGCTGGTCAGCGTCCAGCTCAGCAACTTCACTGCCAGGCTGGAGCCCACGCTACTGAATGTGTGTGGCTCATCAGCAAAGGATGGTCCTGAGTGACACTCTGATCTAAGGGGGCCATGCTAAAATGTGTACACATGCGTGTGTGTGCATGCACGTACGTGTACGTGCATGTGTGTGTTTATGCTCAGGCACCATGGATGGCACACATAAGATATTAAAGAAAAATCTTTGGGAGTCGGTTCTCTCCATCCACCATGGGGGACTTGGGAATTGAACTCCAGCTGTTGGGCTTGGTGGCAAGCCCCCTTACTCCCTGAGCTACATAGTCCTCTTTGCTTGGATTTATTCATCTGCTTTAACTTGTGAGCAAACAGGTATCACAGAAAGAGGTAATAAAGAACCTCCCTTGTTGCTCTGCTTGGCACAATTACTTTGAACCCTAAGCAGCATTCAGCAAGATAAAGGCTCCGGGTTACCATCCTCACAGCATCCTTGCTAGCACCCACCAGTGTGGCAACAGTGACTACCAGGGCTAGTTGACCTTTGCAACATTTTGCATACATGCACAAGTACCATCATGTGACTCTATTGGCCAGAGGAACAAGTGACTCATTTTTTGTCTCAATTTAAATATTCTTATCTGTGAGTTACATTTTTTAAAAATAAATCACAAAATTACAATGGAGCAAGGTTCAAAAACCTAACTCTGCCAAGGCCAGTGACTTCCCGGCCCCTGGGACACAAATGTCTGCAGCTTTCTTAATTTACAACAGTGTGCACTTCTACCACACATAGAGCACCAGAGCATGAGTTAGAAGATGTGGGCTCTAATTTCCCCACCACCATGGAGCTATTTATTACCAATTACACCAGACCTCTGAATTTGTATTGGTATCGCCAGCTTTAATAGGATAGGCTCCTGGGTTGGTTTTTTATTTTGGTTTTGTTTTGCTTGCATTTAATAGGATTTAATTGCATTTAATAATGATCTTTGGACCACAAGATTAACCAGTTAGGTGACACAGCACCACCCTCCAACCAGTGTGTGTGTGTGTGTGTGTGTGTGTGTGAGAGAGAGAGAGAGAGAGAGAGAGGTGTGTGCGTGTGTGTGTGTGTGTGTGTGTGTGTGTGAGAGAGAGAGAGAGAGAGGTGTGTGCGTGTGTGTGTGAGAGAGAGGTGTGTGTGTGTGAGAGAGAGAGAGAAAGAGAGTGTGTGTGTGTGAGAGAGAAAGAGAGAGAGAGAAACAGAGGTGTGTGTGTGTGTGTGTATTCTTCCCAGGTGCTATACTGTTGATCCAAACACTAGAAGTTGTCCCACATAATATTGTCTTGGTCTTTCCTGAACACTGTTCAAAAACACTTGTCACTTTAAATAATTCTCTAACTCCATTTAGACAAAACTATCAATTTCCTTGCCTATTTGATATCCACTCGAGGAAGAAACAAACTTCTACAAAAAGACAGTCTAAGTCTGGGGGGTAGAATGTTCCCAAGCATGCACAGGATGCTGACTTCTTGCCCCCTCACGGAAAAGGGAAACAAAAACAAATTGAAAAAGAAAGTCAGCAGAAAGGAAGACAGAAGACGGGAACAAACCATTCAACAAAAACCCAAGCAGTCACCAGGTAACTTCGTTATCAGTGGGTAAAATGTCCACTCCAGGCTTCTGTAACATCGCAGACTTAATGACCTAAATAAGTCTCATCACTCAGGCTGACAGATGTCCCACAGCCCTTTGGGATCTGTTGGATCGCCTGACCGTGCTTCGTCTGTTTAAGCAGAAAGTAAAGAGAGCTAAGAGCTTGGGCTGAACTCACCTTCAAAGGTAAAACACAAGGCAGCTTGGCAAAAAAAGTCTGAAACTGGTTGCTGATTGTGGCCCAGAGGCTACTAGGAGAATCCATGGGCAGAGCTTCCATGAACGTGGCAATGTTTTCCAAACAGCGTATCATAGCACCCCCTGCTGGCAAATTCTTTTTGTTATTTAGACCCTAAAAACACAAAAGCATAGGCAATCAACTGCTGAAAGCAACACCCGAATTTATAAAGCTATCCAGTGAAGGTGTGTTTAGAAATCATATATTCGCACTATAAATATGCTGGACCGCCTGCTACACAGGCTGGTCATTCTAACAGGCAGGAGGATCAAGGAAGAAAACCGGACTTTTAAGTCCATGAGGTAAATCGGATCGTGAAGTAAGAAGTATGTAAGAGCATAAAACTGGGGTGGTTAGATGCCAAGAAGACAGTGAATGAGCATTCTGGGAGAATCTTCCAGAATAAAGACTGGAGCTATTGATAACAGCAGCAGCTGCTTTCTTCCAAGCAACAGCTTGTCATGGTGAAGTGTGGGGACTTCTTGATGTAGCTTACATCCTAAAGACTTCAAGCCAATCTCAAGACACAGTATAGCACCATGAAGCGGTCCAAGGGTACTGCATGGAGGACATGGGTGTGGTTCATGGCCTTGGCTGAGGCCTAGGGTACTCTTCGTACAAACCTACCTCCAAGAGCTGACTGAGGGCAGCGATTGAACTCAGCTCATTGAAGTCCATGAGAGATGTGGCTAAGGTCCGTAAAAAAGTCCCGTCTATGAAGCAAACAGTCACAGTTAGTGTTTTGGGGGACTGGCCAGACTTGCGGTATCTGCATCCTCAGGGGAGTAAGTTACCTTTGATGGCGCTCTGGAACAGCTGGGGGAAGATGCCGTTGGGGGCCAACTGGTGGAAGATGCAGCGAAGGAACTGCTTGGCCACACCTGCTGCATTTCCTGGAACCATCATGCTGCATTCAAACACAGGGGAGAGAGTCACAAGCTGTGGGCCCACAAGCATGTGTGTGTGTAGTGACTTAAAGTTGAGGCTTTGAACACCACGATTTTATGCACTATCTCTCCATTTCCCTCATTGAGATGAAATTACCACAGGCAAACAATTTTTTTAAAGACAGATCCATGAGGTGCTAAGTGGCCACAGAATTATTCCAGGCCTCCCAAAGTACAGGTGAGTATTCCAAAGCCAATGATTTGCAAAGGCCCCATGTCCAGAAATCGCCAAGAGAGAGCTGCCCTGAGGGAAACAGTGAGGGATGCTTCACTTCTTTTGGGAGGCCCAGGATGTTTTCTAGAAGTGTCTGAGCTGGTAAATGCTCGCTTAGGCAGGACTTCCCTTCGCCTACTATACACCCCCAAATGGCAACCAAAGAGAGCCAAGAGTTTTATGCGGCTCTGCCTCGCAGACAAAGGCACCAGAGAGGACAGGTCTTGAGGAAGCGAGGGAGGAGGTTACCAGAAGGAAGAAATCAAAGGTCCAAAAAGGATGGCAAGCAAGAAGTCCTCCTAATCCATCAGCTCTGGTCTCACTACACCAAGTCAGCTCAAAGATTTATGCCACAAACAGTCTTCAGCAGAGCAAAACCCTGAACTTACAACTAACTTAAGAAAACACATAGAGACAGTTAACCTGAACAAGGAGGAGCTAACGGGCCCCCAGACTGATAGCTGGGAAGCCAGCATGGGACTGACTCAGGCCCCCTGAATATGGGTCTCAGCTAGAAGGACTGAGCAGTCTAAGGGACCTCAGACAGTGGAGCCAGGATGTATCCCTGGTGCACAAAAGGACTTTGCGAACACATCCCCCATGGAGGGATAACTGCCTTAATCTAGAGACAGGAGAGAAGTCCTTGTCCCTACTTCACATGACCTGACAGATCTACACAACCCCACCTGGATGGCATTGCCCTACATGTGGAATGGGGGTGGGGGGATGGGAGGGGAGAGTGGTCAGGGTACATGTGAGAGGGCAGAGAGGGTAAAAGGGAGGAAGGGAAGGAAGAAAGGGAGGGAGGGAGGGAGGGAGAGGGAACTGGGATTGACATGTAAAATAATAAATTAAATTAAAAAAAGAAAGAAAACAGAGCAAGGGTTAGTTTCATGAGGCCCCCATAGCCCTAAAACTAACATAGATAAAGCTGTTATCTAAGTAAGTAAATAAAAACAAGGAGGGAGGGGAAAGAGAAAACGCAGACTAAGTCGGGTTTATATTATATTACGTAGAATATCAGAAAAATTCCGCAGTCCAGGCAGTGTCTGGGGAGAAGGCAGGGACGAGGACCAGAGCTCACATCCTCCCCCTGGGCATAGTGCTACCTCTAACTGCAGCCTCAGATGATAGAGATGGGGGGTCCCCCAAGTGAGCAAGCTTCCTGTCCAGACTAGTTGCATCAGCAAGCTCAGAGGCTTGATGGAGAGACCCTGCCTCCAAGAGTAAAGCTCAGTGGCTTGATGGAGAGACCCTGCCTCCAAGAGTAAAGCTCAGGGGCTTCATGGAGAGATCCTGCCTCCAAGAGTAAAGCTCAGGGGCTTGATGGAGAGATCCTGCCTCCAAGAGTAAAGCTCAGTGGCTTGATGGAGAGATCCTGCCTCCAAGAGTAAAGTGGAGAAATGAACAAGGAAATTCACTGACAACAACTTAGAGCCTCCACATGCCAATACACACATGTACACTTACACATGCAACCCCACACATAAACACACATGCTAAATACTTTAAAAAAAGAGGAAAAACACATGATTCAATACATTAAAATAAAGACACATGATTTTTAAAAACTCAACATATTGGAAATAGAAGGAAACATTCTCAATTTTTAAAAATTGTATCTGTGGAAAAAAAAAAAACTATGGCTAACATATAACCAGAATGAGATGCTGAATTCAGGCAACAAAGCAAGAAAGGCCATGCCCATGTCTCTTATGGCTCCACCTACTTAGATAAGGTAAAAAAGACAAAAATACCAGAGAGTGAATAGTAAAGCTCACTATTTGCAGGTGACACAATGCTTGCCAAACACAATAAAGCTCCAAGGAATCTAAGAAGGAGCCTCTAAAACATGTGTGTAAATTCATCTAGGATACAACAGTAATTCAGAAAAACCAATTTACCCACCAGGAAAAATTTGAAAATTATTTTCTTCAAAGTTCAATTGATATTGAAATTAAAAAGCATAAAACTCTTAGCAATAAATTTAACAAGATGTAACCAAAAAATTATAAGACCATTCCTAAATATTGCTTGGGGGAAGGGTTGATGGCTCAGTTGGGACAGCACTTGCTTTACAGGGCCAAGAGAGGGTATGGCAGTGTGCACTGGGAATCCCAGCATGGGGGAGGTGAAGACCAGATCACAGGGGCTCACTGACCAGACAGTGTAGCCTAACTGGTGAACTCTAACCCAATGAGAGACCTGTCCCCTAAGGAGCTAGATGACATTCCCAAGGTTGCTTACAGACTCTACACGTGTGTCTACGCACCTCTGCACACATTTCAAAAACATAGCTGAGAGAAATTTAAAATGTAATGAAATGGAAATATATTCCATGTTCATTAGTTGGACAATGCAGCCTTTTTCTATGGGTAATTCCCAAACTGATGCACACTTTCAATTTCAGTAAGCATTTTATCTAAACAAGGTATGGTGTGGTGTGGGCGTGGTGTGGGCGGGGTGTGGGCGTGGTGTGGTACTGACACACGATATCTCAGCACTGGGGAGACAGAGGGAGGAGGCTGGCTAGGCTCACAGCAAGACACTGAGCTAAAAAGCCAAAACAGAAGAAAGGGGGAACTAATTTGGAAATTTAAAAGTCTAGAGAAACAAACAAATCTTAAAAAAGAAAAGAAAAGAAAAGAAAAGAAAAGAAAGAAAGAAAGAAAGAAAGAAAGAAGGAAAGAAAGAAAAAGAAAAAGACACCAAGGAAGAGAACCCTGCTACCTGACGCCAGGACTCAACACTGTAATCCAGACTGTGGGGCACTGGATCATTTGTTCTCAGCCTGTGGGATGTGACCCCTTTGGGATCTGAATGTCAGATATCCTGTATACCAGATATTCATTACAATTCAAACAGCAGCAAAATTATATTAGTTATGAAGTAGCAATGAAATAATTGGACGATCGGGGTCACCACAACATGAGGAACTGTATTAAACGGTCACAGCATTGGGAAGGCTGAGTACCACTGTGCTAGACTAAAGGAACCAGGTGACAAGTTCAGATACAAGCGGCCATGGATGGAACTTGGAGTTTATCCCATGGACCAATGAGGAAAAGAGTCTTTGAAACAAGGAGGTGCTGAAATAGCTGGATATTTGACATGAATAAAGAGAATGTCTCTACCACAACCCAACAGTATATATAAAAACTAATTTTGCTAGATCAGGTTAAATGCTAAAGTCATGAAAGGTTTGGAAGAAAACAGTAGAGGATACACGAGTTGGAAATAAACAAGTTCTCTTAGCTAAACAACAAAAGCCCATATCTTTGAAGCTTGAATAAATTAGAGTTTGTCTAAATGTTAACATATTATAGCATCAAGAAACTGAATGAGTAAAGCCCAGTGTGGGTAAAGATATTCTTAAAACATATTTATACAAAGAAGCCCTATAACTATAGAATAAAAACAAAACATCATGATTAAAAAAGATGGAAAAGATTATTTAAATAGACACTTCAGGAAAGAATATATAAAAATCAGTGAACACTTAGAAAAATGTCATCAGTAGATGCAAATGAAAACTACAAAGAGATAGCCACCACATATAGACCCCATCTGCTACAGTTAAAAATACCAACAGTGTCAAAATCTGGCAAGGGCATGGGACAGCTTGAAGTCTCACTAATGGTAGGAAATATAAAATAATATAGCCATCTTACATAAGAGAAACACCATAACCTCATTTAATATTTATTTTTACTTAAGTCTCTGTGTGTGAGTATGAACACAAGTGTTCAGATGCCCTCAGAGGCCAGAAAAGGGCATTGGACACTCTAGAACTGGAGTTACAGGCAGTTGTGAGCTGACTAACATGGGCACTGAGGGACAAAGGCAGGTCCTCTGGAAGAGCAGCACCTTTCTCCAAGAGACTGTCCTTGGCCATTAAGTCTACAATACCTCTCCTGGGCCTCCTCTGTCACCTGGAAATAATTAATGTTTGTAACACATTACAGTAAGAGACATTCAATTACACTGTCAATTTCTTATTGGTTAACTTGTTTGTTTTCTGCTTCTTCAACTTGAACGTAAGTTCCATGAAAACTGGGATCTGACATTTAACCCCTCATGCCAGGATCAGAAACTAACTCCATAGATAGTCACTGAAGGGTCTATAACAGTACAAGACAGGAAGGAGACAAGAGGGTCCCCTGAACTGACTGAATAGCCATTAGCCAACTGGTGTGGGCTGAGTTCAATGAGAGACCCTGCCTCAAAAGATACGGTGGGGCGTGTTGAGGAAGGCACTTGATATTGACCCCTGACCTCCACACTCTCCACACATGCATGCACACAAGCAAATGAATCAGCACATAATGAGTCATTATGGGAGACTATTTTCTTCACAGCACTTAGCACAGTTACCACACTTCCGTGAATACTCATTCATGGTGGCCACCTTGGTAAGACTGAAAGCCTAACAAGGCCAGGAATCATGCCACCTGTTGCCTTCAAAGAGAGATGGGGTGCAGCTTTGCAGTGGAGCATTTTCCCAGAATGGTCAGCTAGATTCACAACATAACAAACACAACAACAAAACCCCACTTAACCGGGCTGAAGAGATGGCTCATTGGGTAAGAGCACTGGCTGCTCTTCCAGAGGTCCTGAGTTCAATTCTTAGACCTATGTGGTGGATCACAACCATCTGTAATGGGATCTGATGCCCTCTTTGGACATGCAGGTATATTGCAGATAGAGTATGCATACACAAATTATAAGTAAATAAATAAGCGAACAAACCAAACCACTTAACTAGTACAAGTTGGGCTGCAAAGTACTTGTTGACTAAAATGAGCGAATGAGTAGATGCACAAGTCCAATCAGAAACTAGTAGGGCTGCGGTGGGCTAGCAGCTGTCTTCTGGAGAGCTCCTGTCCACGGACAGTGTCAGGACCATGTGGGCATGCGCAGAGAGCAAAGAGAAAGGACACCCACTTAAAGTTCTTACCTTTCTGCTTGACTGGAAAAGGTAGTACTGGATGCCAGCCTGGGGAGAAAAGGGAACAGTCACATAAGAATCGTAGCTTTCCACGGTGAAACACATTAGCGTTGAGCTAGGCCTGTGATTCAGGTTGGCAATCCCTTTGATGGGCATCAGAGCATCCACTCAGCGGTCATGTCCAGGGTTAAACAAACCCAGTCTCCCACACCTGTCTTCTGTGTCAGTCACAGATTCCCATGGGAAGGCATACAGATAAGAGTTTACTGTCCCCCCATCCCCAACCTAAACAAATGACAGTATTAGCCCAGCTGGACAGACACCAGAACCTGCTATCTAGTGATCCCTGCATTAACTCAGATTCATTTCTCTGTCACTGATCTTTGAAACCCAATTACAAGCGAACCACACACTGTAAAGCCCTCTACCACAACAGAACAGACAGCAGAGGCATCCTTAGTTTGGCTGTTGAGTAGGAGTGATGAAAAGGGAAATCTGCCTTTTGGAGATGAAAACTATGAATTAAATAACCGAAACTGACATTTTGAAAAACTATAGTGTGGCTCCATAGACATGGACTTATGTTCTCTTGTGACAGAGAATGAACCAAATTGGTGGGTTCAAAAGAACATACTATAATCTGTAAGATAGTGAAGACACCAGAACCACTTTTCCGTTTTCGTAGGACAACTGAAGGAACCAGGAGCTTCAGAGAGGGACAGTGGCTCTGGCAGCTGCCATAGCAGCATTGTCTCTAGCTGCCTTGGATACAGGCACTTTTCCTAAAGATTTTACAATGGGGAAAGGAGCATGGGCAACTCAACTAAGCAATGATCAAGGATGTGAGAAACATGAACTTGAAGGATTCCCCTGAAAGCCAGAGGGCTGAAGCTTGGAAAGGTTCCAAGCAGACAGCTCTGTTTGAGATGGGAAACATTTGAAAGAGAAACGAAAGGGATTGTTGAGATGACAGACTCCTAGAACATCCGGAGAGTGCTGATAAAGCCACACTGGCTCATCTTGTGTCCCTCACAGTGAAGGGGGGGGTTGGTGAAGAATGCCTCACCTACATGATTTCAGAATCTGCTTTCTTGGCAGCTTGATGGTGAAGATTTGGCTACCAAGAGTCGTGGAAATTTGTACTAAATGTTTTTCAGTCTCTTGCTAGTCTACCCAAGGGAGCTAGGTAGTCAACATAGGTATTCATATGTCTGTATATGGAGTATGTGAATGTAAGTGGTACTGGTTTCCATGTTTTTCTTCAAAGCTCACGTTTCCACCGTAACAGTTGGTAGTAATCAGGTCACGATTATATACACTTTTTATATTAAACAACACAATCTCTTCTCTCTGTCCTCTGTGGCTTAGATCGGCTGTGCCAAGACAGCAACAGAGTAGAACCACAATTCTATCTTCTCTAAAAGCACAGAGTGGTGACAGGAACTGTGGTCAAGCCTTAATAAAAAACCTGCAACTCCATGAGTGCTAGAGAGAGAGGACACAGCGTTTATTCTATAGTTACCAAGGTGAGTTAAAATCAATGGCTCAAATGAAGCTGTCTTTTCCTTATCTCTTCCAGTTCCCATACTCATCATGTACTTTTTACAATGGCTTTTGAATTTTGGTCAGACTTAACTTTATGCTGTGTCTAACTAAGTAACTCTAAAGATACTCCAAAATTAATCTGGGTGGTCCACCTGGGGAGACAGCTCAGTGGGCACTCGAGCAAGCATGAGGACCTGGCTTCGAATCCCTGCACTCAGGTTAAAAAGGGGGAATGTTTGTATACATCTGCAATCCCAACACTGAAAGTGGAGACACTCTGGATCTAGAAAGTCATTGTCACTCAGCAAAGCATAATCAGCAAGCTTCTAGTGCAAGGAGAGACCCTGTCTCAAAGGAATAAGGAGGAGAGTTATAAGCAAGATATCTGAAGTCCTTGGCTTCTGAATATGCAAATAGGCATGCCCACATACTCACACACACAATACACATACCACACACACATATATACCACACCATACTACACTCACACACACTACACACATATACCACAGCACACTACACTCACACACACCACACACATATACCACAGCACACTACACTCACACACACCACACACATATACCACAGCACACTACACTCACACACACCACACACATATACCACAGCACACTACACTCACACACACCACACACATATACCACAGCACACTACACTCACACACACCACACACATATACCACACACATATACCACACCTTACTACACTCACACACACTATACACATACCACACACACATATTCCACACGACACATACCATACATACATACCGTACCATATTACACTCATATGTACCATACCACACACCATACACATAACATACACCATACTACACTCATGTGCACCACTCCGTACTCCACTCAGACACACCACACACATACCATACACATATACACCATACCATACTACACTCACATGTATCACACACATAGCAGCATATACACATATGCCAATACACACATAAACCACACCATACTACACTCACCATGCATCACACATGTACCATATACACACACATACTACACCATATTATACACACGAATGGGGGTGGGGAGCAAATAACAGGGTTACTTATTTTTGTAATCAAGTTTTTAATGCTTTTAACTTGATACCCAAACTATTTGTACTACTGTGTATGTATGCAAGTGTACATGATATATATGTGAATTGTGCACATATGTACAGATGGTGTGCACAGAGGTCAGAGGAGGTTACCAGTACCCCCTGCCTTTTTTCCTGGAGACGGGGTCCCTCGCTAAACCTGGAGCTCCACTGGCCAGAAAACCCCAGTGATCTTCCTAACTCAGCCTCCAGTAGCACTGGGGTTACAGACACTTGCCTGTGCGTGCCTGGCTTATGTGGGTGCTAGAATTTAAGCCCAGGCACATATGCTTACACAGCAAGTGTCTTACCCGCTGGACCATCTCCAAAGCCCCTGTTTTTATTGTTCTTAAAGTTAAGTTTAGCTATTTCTCAGTAGGTGTGATGGCACATGCCCACAATCCCAGCACTTCGGAGGAAGGAGGACTGTTGATTGAGGCAGCCTAGGATACAGAAGGAAACCCTGTTAGAGGCTGCCTAGGCCACATAGTGGGACCCTATATCAAAACCCAAACAAAAAATTACAAAACAAAATGAAACAAAAAAGCAAGCCACAAACCAAAAAGTGTGCTTTTCTCTCCCTGAAATCCCAAGTATCTGGAAATTCCAAATCGTCCAGACAGCTCCACTCCTGGCTTCTCACAGTGCTTAACCAAGCTTGCCCTATCTGGTGTGGCCACCCAATGATTTCACACAAAACTGTCCCTTTCAACAACCAAACCACAGCCAGGTATGGTGGTACATGCCAATAATCCCAGTTCTCAGGAGGCTAAGGCTGGAAGATCACAAGGTCAAAGCCAACTGGGGCTACACAGCAAGTTCAAGGTCAAGCTGGGCTACACAGCAAGGCCCCTTCTACCAAAAAAAAAAAAAAAGCTCCACAAATTTCTCCACAATTTTTTATAATATTGCTAATCTTTAATTTTATTTTATGTGTATAGATGTTATTCTTGCATACCTGTCTGTTCAGTGTGTGTGTGCAACACCCTCAGAAACCAGAAAAAGGCCACCAGATTCCCTGGGGCTGGAGTTAAGAGACAGTTGTGAGCCACCACGTGGGTGCTGGGAATTGAACCAACACTTCCTTTATCTGTGCCAGAATGGTGAAGATGATGTATGACACAATGATCCCTGGACTGATCACAAGAGAGGTGTCAGTTCACCACAAACCATGTCAACGGATGACACTATTGTCATAGTAATGGTTAGCACAAAGCCTACTGTGGACAGCCCATCCAAACACTATCACACATCAGCTCACACAGCTGTAGGGAGCAACAGCCCTACCCTCTTAGTGCAGCCATCTACTGCTTGACTCATGACCTGGTACAGCTGAGAAATGAACCCGGAAGATGCTTCCGTCCATTTTTAAAAACTAGTCTGAATTGATCCCATGGGTACCGGGCATTTACAAGGTGACTGGATGTTTCACTTTCAAACTGATGGCTTTGATTTCAAGATACAGCTTTAGGTAGGGCTCCTTCCCAGCAGATAAAGTAGAAACTAAGGTTCACCTTCCCACAGACTGCATGATATCAAGCAACAGTGGGGCCGCCAAGTCTGGGCTGAGATGGATGAATGTGGAGAGGACCACAATGGCTAGCCCCAGGGTTTCTTCATCGTATTCTTCGAGGATGGCCCCGCAGTCATGGCATCTGCAAATGAAACAGACGGAAGACATGTTAGAAAGCCAACCACAGTTGACGCTAACACACAAGCACAGCCCTTTGTCAGAGTTTTGGGAAAGGGCCCCAGATGGTGATAACTGGGCCCACTCTAAGTGAAGACTCCAGTGCCACTGTCACCATAAGACATGGCGGAGGTCATGGATGTTCCTTCACCATGCTGTCCACAAGCATCTGGCCCCACGGGGATTCTGCTCCTTTACAAAGAGCTTCAGGTAGAATAACAGCCTCTAGTGAAATTATGTCTAAGAATAGTCAGTAGCTGGATCTTCCTGTCAGTTTTTATGGTTTTATTTAAGCAGAGATAAATGTGAGTGTGTGCCATCCACTTGTTTTTCTTCGCTGTGCAGCTTGGCAGTGTTTGCTGGCTCCGACAGCCAGCTGTGCTGCTCTTTCTGGACGGTTTTGAGTTCCTTGGGTAATGCTGTGAGTGATCTCACACAGTCAGTTGCTCTCACCAGCAGCTCTTCCAGATCCTTGATGCTATGGACCAGGAGCTTCTAGAAGCCACTGGGTGGCATGTGCCCAGTTTTCTTGTTGTCCCATAACCAACGCTGGGCATCTGGCTCTGTCCCTGACACTGAATCTCCTCACATCTTGTTGCTGATAGCTCTGTGCCCCCCACAGATGCACCCAGCTTTGACATAGTGTTCTGACTGGGACAGGACGACCAGTACTCAAAGGGCTACACGGTGGACAAAGTGCTTGTCACATATGCATGAGGGCCTGAGGTCGAGTCCCAGCACCCAAGTAACTAAGCTGGGTCAATGGCGAGTGCTTGCAATCCCAGCACTAGGAAGGCAGGGACAGCAGGACTCAGGGCATGACCTGGCAGATGCCTGGCCTCCTCGATGAGTCCGAGACCGATGGGAGATTTTATTTCAATGAGGTGAACGGCTCCCAAGGGAGTGCAACTGAGGCTGACCTCTGACCTCCACATGCATGTTTACACAAATGCATGCATACCAGAGTACACACACACACTCACACACACACACACACACACACACACACACACACACACACACGAGCAACCAGAAACAACTGGGGGAAATGATAACTTGAATTGGAGTGGGTTATGACACAAAATGGAGAAATCATGCGAAGCTCTGGGGATATTCCAAGTTAGTACAAGCCAGGCCAATTTGCTTCTCAATGTAGCCACTGTGCTGGCTAATTTTTTTTTTATATCAATTTGATACAAGCTAAGGTTATCTGAGAAGAAGGGATCTTAACTGAGAAAATACCTCTACAGGCTCACTATGTAGGTAAGTCTGTGTGACATTCTCTTGGCTGATGATTGGCATGGGGGCACCCAGCTCACTGTGGGCAATGCCATCTCTGGGCAGGTGTCCTAGGAGCATGTAAGAAAGGACCTGAGACAGTGGTGTGGGGGAGCTAGCAAGCAGCATTTCTCCATGGCCTCTGCATCAGTTCCTGCCCCCAGGTTTCTGCCTTGGCTTCCCTAGATGATGGACTACAAGTTGTAAGATAACTTTGCTTTTAGTCATAGTGTTTAATCATAGCAGTAGAAACCCTAAGACAGCCATCAGCCTACTTCTGAGTGTGCAGTGAGCGACTCCTCTGTATTAGATATTTGCACCATCCTTTAACCCTCACTTTCCTTTAATAGATATGTGAGCCACCTCTGTCCAGGAACTATCTAGTCCCAGAGATATGTCCAGGTTTTAAAATCTACAAGCTGATGGGAGATGTCATTCTGTAAATATGTTTCTCTTATTGGTTAATGAATAAAGCACTGTTGGCCAATAGGAAAGCAAGATAGGTGGGACTAGGAGACTAGGAGGAGAGAGGAAGTAGTAGGGAGGAGTTCCAAGATGGTAGACTGGGAGAGAAGAACGCCAGCCCCTCTCTCTAGTAAGATAAGACCACGTGGAAGTACTTAGATTAATAGAAATGGGCTAATATTTAAGACAGAGCTAGCTAATAAGAAATTAGTAACTGACCAACAGAATTATATATAATACAGTGTCTCTGTGTGTTATTTGGGGCTGGCATGGCGGTGGGACCAGGACCGGCAGGGAAAACCTACTCCTAACACAAGGGGAATGCTCTGGAATCAGAGATGGAGCTGAGGAAAGAATAATAAGGACATTCACACACTAGAATGCCTTCGACTTTAAAATGTGGGCTTAATCCTAGAACTCGGGGCTACTGGCAACTGATAGTCTGTGCAGTGACAAACCAGTTTGAGATGCAGAAAATGGGTTTTACTTCCAGGATGGAATAAGAATGGAGTCTCAGTCAGGCGTTGGTGGAGCATACCTTCAATTCCAGCACTTGGGATGCAGAGGCAGGCAGATCTCTGTGAGTTCAAGGCCAGCCTGGTCTACAGAGTGAGTTCAAGGTCAGCCAGGGCTACACAGAGAAACCCTGTCTCAACCCACACACACACACACACACACACACACACACACACACACAAAAAAAAAACCAGAATGTATCTCTTCTTTGTTCCTAGTGTAACAATTGGATGTTCCCAGGCTGAAGAATGTATGGGCGTTAAATTGTTTTTAGGGATACGCTGTGGAATAACCCTCTTTTGCCCTGTAAAGATAAGATGCTGAATGGCCAATAGCCAGGCAGAAAGTATAGGTGGACAAGCAAGCTAAGGATGCTGGAAAGAGGGAAGGTGGGGTCAGGAGTCGCCAGCCAGATGCAGAGGAAGCAAGACGAGAGCGCCTTACTGCGAAAAGGCACCAAGCTGCGTGGCTAAACATAGAAGAAAAGTCTAGGTTAATTTAAGTGTAAGAGCTAGCTGATAATAAGCCGGAGCTACCAGCCAAGCATATATAAGTAATATTAAGTCTCAGTGGGTTTATTTGGGAGTTGATGGTGGGACAGAAACTTCCATTTACAAGGATAAGTGGGATTATCATATTCTATCCAATTAAAAAAAAAAGAGGGGGATATGCCAAAGCATGGACAAAACACTGCTCCTAGTGTATGCATTTCTAAAACTCAATTGTGTACCACACAGCTTCAGCCCTTTGAAAAGTAAAGTGTGACTCAAAAGCAAAGAGCGTTTCCTCACCTGGGGACCAAACTCTATAACCAAAGCAAATGAGAAAACAAACAAACAAACAAAAATTGGGAGCTTACTTGTCCGTCATCACCGTTGGCTGCTCATCCGTGAATTCTTCAGGTGCAGGCACAAACATACTGGCTATGCTGGGGGCTGACAGCAGGCTGGATTTAGTGGCACCTGGGTAAGCAGCAGAGAGACGAGCATGAATACAGACAAGCTTCTGGGGCCAGGAAATTCTCCGTTCTGCATTCATTAACTCTCAGAAGATCACATTTATGAGACTGAGACCTGGACATCCCACCCATGGCCCAATAAAGACCCGACTGCGAAGCAAGGCCAAGAGAGAGCTGGCTGTCTAACCTCTCTTTTGCTCCATGACTTTAAAACAAATCAGAATGCTCAGCTGGCCAATGGGATCTAAGATGAAGATGGACTTCCTAGCATTAAAGGAAATTGCCTGAACAATATGGCATTTCTAATGCACAAATGCATACCAGCATTAAAGGGGGTACTGTGAGAAGGCAGTAAGACCCCAGATGTCATGCCTCAACAAATGGGAGGCAGTGAGACCCCACATTTCACATACATGAACAAAGGCAGGGGTGAAACACCAGACTTCACACACATGAACAAAGGGGACACGGGGGCTAGAAAACTAGCAAAAAGACTTCATTTTTAACTGAAGTATTAGTGGATGCTATGGTGGCTGTTTCACTCGGTGACTTGCTCCACTTCACCCAGCCAATAGAACACTTTGAGGTTAGATCCTTTCAAGGAAATCTGAGGCCAGAATCTCAGCAACAAATTGCTGTTGTCTCTTGAGACAGCAAATTTGGGGACTGGAAAGATGGCTCAGCAGTTAAGAGAGCCTTCTGCTCTTCCAGAGGATCCAAATTCAGATACCAGTGTCCATGTGAAGGCAGCTCACACCTGCCTCTGACTGCGGCTCCAGGGGCCTGAGAGGCTCCTCTTCCAGCCTCCATGAGTAGCTGCATATCACACACACACACACACACACACACACACACACACACACACACACACACACACACTCCATTAAAAAAGCCACCAGTGCAGGGCAGATTCCCCTGGAACTGTGTAAATGAGGCATCTAAGAGGACACCCAAAGTGACAATGTGAAATAACAACAAGCTCTGAGTTCTTCAAGCAGACCAAAACAAAACAAAACAAAACAGAAGGAAATGATGATCATTAAGTAATCCACTTCTCATCAAGAGACTCATAAATTGGTTCAGAAAAATATGTATGATTTCTCCTCAGAAAGACTCACAGTTGAGAGAATAGTCATTAAAGACATAGAGTACAAGTCTTAAGATGCCTAGCCTGGAGGGCAACGCTGCTCTCTGAGGAAGAAATGATGCTGAAATTCTCCCTTCCGTGTTATAGACCATTCTTCCCCTCCAAGATAACATTTCCAAAGTGTATGTCTGAGAAGCAAAAACCTGAAAACACAGGTACCAACTATCCAAGGCTATCTTCAACTTACCAAGATACCAATTGGGAAAACAAATCTTGCTACCAATCTATCGGCTGTTTCTGAGCTGGCATTCCTTCCCAGAGTTATCTAAGTGCACTGTTAACAAAGGATGGCCATAAAGATGTTGCACGGTGTCAGGACATAAGGAACTGACAGTCAGTAAAAGCACGCAACTTAAAAACAACTTTCCACACTTCATGATCATTGCGAGGCACACAAGCCAAATGCAAAAATGACTACGCCAGAGCAGAAAAAAAAAAAAAGTCAGTCCAAAAATATATGGAGGAATAACTCCAAATCAAGATTGCAGCCAAAAGGATGAGAAGGATTCTGTCACTTTTGTGACTTCCAAACAAGCATGACCTAAGGGGAGGAGTTTTTGTAGTAACCCCATGAGGTTGTTTTTTCTACGACAGCACAGGAAGTACGTTGCAATATTTATGGCAGTCATCTAGCAAAGCAAATAGGCTAGATGATTGGGCATTGGTTCTTACAGGACAACTTAGCTGTACAATGGATTGCTAAATCCTGCTATTGAAGTAGAAACAGGGAGTAATATATGGGAAGGTGACAAATATAAAAAAGAAAGCCACAAGCCTCAGCAACCTTTCATTGTAAATGACCCACAACTGAGCTGGCAGCATTAAACTGAGCCTCCAATTTTGTCTCCCCACTTAGCGGTAACAATTCTAGACAAAGATAAGGACCATCTGAACTCGGCTCAGGAAAAGAATTTAGGGTGACATGGGAAACTGATACATCTTGGAAGGAAGGCTAAAGAGCCCAGGGATGCCTGGTCTTGAAACACCTAAGAGGGTTAAGAAATGGGCAGTAATTTTCAAACGTCCAAAGTGTGAGGTGAGAGATGCTAGAGTTGTTTCATGTGGCCCTAAGCTTTAGGAAGGCACTCTGCTGCTGAGCTCTTGCTCGTCACATTCAAAGACAAACTGTCACACATACCCCGACCCTGCAGGTTGGAAATACATGGAGCTGTTGAGATACAGAGAGCTGTGTGGATCTCTGAGGGACACATGGCCCTTCAGTTCTACAGTCTGAGACTCGGGGACCCAACCAACCTCTTGTCCTCAGCGGCTGTCCCTCCACATCAGGGTTTAGGCACATTGGCACATTACACTGGCGTTTCCCGGGCTGTACCTGTTCTGTGGATAAAGAAAGCATTTCAGTCTTCAGTGTGGTCAGCTCAATATTAGTCCAGCACAACCGATGCAGCCAACCACCACATGGGACCATTTCTGTCACGGTTACTTTATTAACACAGAAAGATTAAATCTGGGGATAGGGAGGGCTATTCAAGGTTTTGTTACAAACCTGTCACTCAGTTAAATGAACTGCATCTAAAATGTAGAGGATGTAAGGCTAGCTTTTTAAGCTCTAGTCCTACTCTATTTCAAAAGAGTGAACACCCTGTGTCTCCCGACATGAAATGAAGGGCCAACGCCATGACCATGAAAGAATGTTTTATGCAAATCAATGGTACTCTGGGGTAACAGCCAGGCAGTTCATACAGGAATCACATGGAGCAGGTAGAGAAAACGATAGATATTTGCTTGAGAGATGGAGAGTGAGGATAAGGAGCAGGAATGGAGAGACACTTAGGGAATGTTCATTCACACAGATGTGCACAGTGGAGAAGAGGCTGGCTGTCTATGAACGAGCTGGAGAATGCTGAGGTGGATTTATCATGACCCTGTTTAAGCTGTCTCTCTCAGTATGTCTATATGACCATAGTCGCTCTTGCTGGAAACTAGAGAGTCGCTCAATCAGTGCATGTGGTTCAAAGTGACATGTCGCCTATCATCAGACTCCACAGTAAGACTCTTCTGCTGGGCTCAGATAATCAGCCCGGGGAATACTGAAGTCAGGTGACATGTCAGCTCAACTGCAGGAGGCTGAGGCAAGATCACTTGAGCTCAGATGTTCAAGACCAGCCGGGGTGGCAAAGAAGGATGCCGTGTCCAAAACAAAACAAACTTGAGAATAATGAGATAAAGCTTTTATTAAGGGACCCTGAGATAAGTGAACTAAGTAGGAGGATGGAAAATAATAATAATAATAATAATAATAATAATAATAATAAAACAACTCTGGCAAGCTTCAGTGAAAGAAACATGGACAACATGGAGTCTCAAGAAGATGGGAAACATTAAGTCTGGTTGAAAAGTGAAAAATGAGACTAAAGGGGTTATTTGGCATCATGCAGGGGTTTGTAGCTTAAAGTTCAGATCAGAAATTGAGCTCAATTTACATTTTGTAACTCTACTTAATCAAATTAGGGCGCAGCTGTGGACAGAATCCACAGTGGCTGAGGCTGAGCTATACACTGAGCTACACCAGTATAGTAAAATGCCTTTCAGGGCCCCCAACTCAACACGAGCATTTAGTACTGAAGATCTAACTAAGATGTGCTTCCCAAGCTACACAGCTCCATCTCTGGAGAGGAGAGGTTCAGTCCTCCATGGTGCAGATAGAGAAGGGAGACAATGCTCAAACCACATACAGTCTGGGGGTGGCTAGCCAGCATCTTTGCCCCCTCTCTCTCGTCTGTTGCCTCTTGGCTACTCATTGCTCACTCCCTCATGCCACTGAGGGGAAAACCACCAAGCCTTTGACGTGTCCGATACTCTTCTAAGTCTAAGGAGACTGAAGATGGCTTGACACACGGGGTTGGGTGTGGTATGTGGATCTCTTCTTGAAGAACAACAAAGGTAAATAAGTAGGAGGACGTACATACAATTTGAAAGACTGCACCCTGTGGTTGTGCATCCTAATGAGGAGATTAAGAATAATCTCACAGTTGAAGCCAGAAAATCATAACCGTGACGCTAACGTGTGCTCCCACAGCATGTTGCGGTAATCAGCCCTTATACTTTCACAGTGCGTGCACACTTCAAGGTGCTTTCATGGCTGTCATCTTGTACCTCAGGTGACCCATTTAATTAAAAAGCAAAGGCAAGGCAGGCACTTGGGGTGGGGGCGCTGCTGTGCTATGAGCTGAGAAGGCAGCGTAGTTAGAAGATGCCATAGGGTTCAGGAAATGCAAAGTGGTCGTATTTAAAGCAGGTGTTCCGCGGCAGTCAGCCTTACAACAGGTTAGCCACAGTTCCAGCTTATGAACACCTGTGTGGCTGCCACCTGGTGACCCTGCTGGCTAAAATGTACAACTCATTCCCAAACGTGCAGATCGTGCTACCCCAAGCTGACATTTGTTATTAACTCTACGATTTATGAAAGAGGTCATTGATAATCTGGTGCCTTTAAAGCTCTGTGCCATGAAATCATAGATCCACCCTCCTCCCCAGCCATATAACCTGGATCTTACAGGAATGAAGAGCTGGGCATGCCTAAACGGGGACCAGTCTAAACAGAGACCAGCCTAGACAGGGATCAGCCTAGACAAAGACCACAATGCTTTAGAGCACTTGGAAAAATCTGAAAATATGTTAATTACTTTCAGGTTATTAAAAAAGAAACCATTTTAACCAAAGAACACAAGAAGTGGACACAGAGAAAGTGGCATTAGCTAATCTGAGAGGCAAAGGAGAAGAAAAGGCTTGACCCACCAGTGTCCCAGTTGCTGATGTTATGGGGGGCTCTAGACTGATGCTCCAGCTGCCGCTTCATTAACTGGCTCATTGTCAGAACTCCCAGGGATCCCCTTTTCATCTGCCTATACTGAGCTATACGGAGGAAATTAGGAGATGATTACTGGGGGGAATGTGTTTCCCGTCACACACACAGGCTCTATACATCCACACAGATCTTAGTTGAGTTCTTCGTTAGCTATTTGTAACTTTTTGGTAAATCATATGCTCCGAATCAAGTGAAAAACTTAAGCATTCCATCATTTCCGGTGTCTCTGTGGTACAGGCAATAGTAGTGATCTTCGACATTAATCTATCAACTGTACATATTTACTCAGTTACCCATGAATGCAATATGCTTATTGTGTTAGCCTTTTTACTTATGCACTCCGCCACATTCTAAAAAGAACTCAAAACCAACAGTGCTACCTTGAGTTGAGTCAAGAGCAACTGAGGCAAGCCAAAACCCTTGATTTAAAACCCTGCACTGTTTCCAAGCTATTTGAGCCCCCTGTCTACTATTTGGAAAATGAATTAAATAGCATCCCACTATCTTCTCATACTTTGTTTGAGAAAACAATGGCAACATTTTTGTCCTGCAATTAAGCCCTGACACGATTCTCAGCAATGAAAAGTTGTAAGCTTTTCCAAACCCGAGACAATGCCAGTTGTGTGCTAACTTAGAAAGCCACCCTCGTCTTTGCTCCTGGTCGCCTGTGAAACACTCAGTGCCTATGACCAGCCTAGTGTGAGCACTCGGCCCCTCTGAGATGACTGTGGGCCTGACCCCAAGCACCTAGACATTGACAATGTGGGTTGCCCCACCAGACTCACTTGAAGGGCAAGTTCAGAAACCAATGCTGAAGAACTTGCACACTCTAGAAAGGAATGCAGGGACCAGGATGTCCACTAAATAGTCCCGGGGCTGCTCTGAATGCTATGTATAGGTTTCACAGTCACTAACAAGGCAGCAACGAGGTGTGAAATGAAATCATTTATACCAGCACCTGGAGTGGGCAGCATGCTGTTTGATTTATGGTGGTCATGGCATGTTTAGTTACAGAACAATCAACTGGAAACTTGAGCAAGAAAGGCATGTGGTGGAATTCATGAGTCTTGGAGCCCACATTCACTGAATTTGTGGAAATAGCTGACAGACTGAATAGTAAACATCGCTGATTTGTTGTTTGGTAAATTTTACCAATTTCCAATTCACTTGAAAAGTAAAGCAAGTTTTAAGAAAAACTCAAAAGCAGAAATATGCTGGGCTTTGAACCCAAGGCCTTGCAAATGGCAAGCCACCTTCTCACTTAACTCTACCACTAGCTACAAACAGAAATCTTTTAGAAAATGTTTAAAAATTGAAAACTAAGTGGCATCCTACAGACTCAATCAGCCTCTAGTGCTAAGATAATTTCCCCAATTGTTAGTTTTGTTTTAGTTTACAGTACTGGGGATGTAACCCAGAGCCTCACACATGGTAGGCAAGGGCTCCATCACTGACCTACATTCCCAGTCTCTGGGCTGATTTTAAAGACTGCAGAATTCCTGAGAGCAAAAATACCAGTGGAGGAGGTTTCTGGCATTATACCTCCAAGAGCACACCACCAAATCCTATGATGATGCTTTTCATGACAAGGGCAGGAAAGATGGGGGCTAATGTGCCAAACTCACCCACAAAAGGCTAGACTCAGTCATGACTATGGGATCCTGACCCTCTTGACACACTGGGATTGAGGCAACTTAACCATTCTGGCTATTTCAAATCATACTACTTAGAGTTCTAAGGGGAGGAATTCAGTGTCCTTTTGTTTTTTAAAGATGACTCATGTATAAAGAGAAAATATTATATTGTGATTTGTCATTATCAACCATTCTTCGTGTTTAAAAAATAAATAAAATATTTAGCTTTACAACTAGACATTCTATTTTGCAGCCAAAGGCCAAACATCTGCTACTTAGAAACTACTTCTTAAAACTTTTACAGTCTTATAATTGATTTAGAATTATTCAAAGACAGTGTAGAATACTAAAAATAATATCGACTTGAAAATCTAGTAGATTTAAGAATCCATGTCCATCTCTGCGACTTTAGACAAGCCATTCAGCCGTTCTCCTCAGTCTGCCATGCAGTGTTTATGGATGGAGTGGATCTGGACTGTGCTGTGTATGAGCCATTCATCACGGTGTCAATACTGGAGGAAAATCAAATGAATGTATCTAGGGTCACCATCAAGACTGTAGTCTCCTTGGGGGAAGGAGGGCCTATTTATTCCCCTTTGATCTCCAATGACAAGCACCCCCACCAGATACGCATGGAATAAAGAATGAATAATGAATGAAAGAATGTACAAATGGATAAGAGGTGTGACAAAGATTCCTTTCCATACAACAAGACCAGCATTTACATTAAGGTCTATATCTGGCTTTTCAGACCATCCTCCTTTCAAAAGATGGTCCACGAAGACTCACTAACTCTTCAGGCAGCATCCACATGGAACACAAATTTATCAGAACATGAAAGATTTCCAGAAAGCACACTTCTGTCTGGGTCGCTGATTCCTTCCAAGAATTTCTCTTTGCTGAAAATCTCCTGACACCTCTGAACTGGATAGACGCCTTGATTGAACAGCAATGGAACTCAGGTTTCTTGTGGTCAAAACCTAGCACTCAATTGCAGGGGGATGTTTGAGAATACCTCGTGTAGACTTTGCAATGTGCTAGGCCATTTTTCTTCTTCAGACTAAAAAGAGTAGCTTTAGTTGTAGGGTTCTGATACATTTATTTTAAGATAACCCAGATAAAGCTGTGTTCATGATAGGAGACCCAGATTAAGCCAATGAGTCCCAAGTAAGAGTCTGCCATGAACAAAGCTTTGCATGTATCACATGGTCAGGCTAGTAGTAATGTTGATTTTGTTGAATGATAAAAATTTGTATTTAATCTTTAATAAATTAGGGTTCTTGAACAATCAGTGACCATATGACTAATCCAACATGTGAGATCTCTAAAGCAGGCCCTGTTACCCACAAGAATTTCATAGAGGACACAACACTGTATCACTGAGGAAGCTAATCAACATTTTTTTAAGTAGGAGGGCTGTCAAAATGGAAGTACAAAATAGACACGCACAGAAACCATCGCTGAGAAACACTTACTTGATATTGAGGAGTGGCTGCCTGTTTCAGGTGCGCCTGCTTCTAATGTGGGGGCAGACGAAGATTCCCGTGGCATTTCCAACGTTGAAAGTCCTTTGCCAGATGAATCTACAATTGGAAATACTGTTTACAGTCAAGGACAATGGTGGAAAGTGGTTGAAGAGCCTTCCTGGGTCCTTTTCTCTCGTGTCTACCACACCCATTCAAATCTTTAGGCATGTTCTGCCTCTAGCGATGACCTTAGAGGGATTACATATATCCTACATCACATTCTGCATGTGATGCATATCCCTTAGGAAAGCAAAGCCTGCATTACTGCAAAGCTGATGCTCAAAATGTCCATGGAGCTAACTAGTGAACCAGGCACTTCACTTCCATAGTTAATACCTAATAATAGGTCAGTATCCCATTCCACCTCTCTCCACCTTTGTCTGAATGTTTCCTATTCTTCACTTATATCTCAGTCTTCAATAGAAGATTTCACATCCAAAGAGATTTCCAGGACACAGTTTCCCTCCTCCCCCCCCCAAAAAAAAACTGTCAGGTGACTCTTTTATGGAGTGTTTTCCCTTAATTTTTTCCAAACTTAGCACACTGCAATGTTATTATGTACTTATTTGCCTATAAATGTTACTGAGCAGGAATCAATTTAAGAGCAGGAGGTGTGTCTGCTATGAAATAAATAGTGCTAAGTGAGATTCGTTTTCTTTAGAGCAGTGGTTCTCAACCTTCCTAATGCCGCAACCGTTTAATACAGTTCCTCATGTTATGGTGATCCCCAACCATAAAATCATTTCATTGCAGAGGAGGAGTGAACATGGGGGAGGGGAGAAGTAAAGAAGAGGGAGTAGGGTTAGGGTTAGGGAGGGGAAACTGTGGTCAGCATGTAATATAAGAGAAAAGGAAAAAGAAAACATTTAGTTCATGACTGTAATTTTGCTTCTGTTATGAATCATAATGTAAATATCTGATATGCAGGATATGTGACATGTGACCCACAAAGGGATCGTGAGTTGAGAACCTCTGAGTTAGAGGGACACAACCTCTATTTTGTTTTGTTTTGTTTCTATTGAATAAATGTCCTCTCTGATGTGAAATACTTTCTGCATTGTCTTGTTAATACTGTCTTATTAATCTGTCAACACTGGGAAATGAGCCCTCTTACCCGTTCTAGATTACTGCACAGTAACCTCTCAAGTTTTCTGAAAGGATTGTCACAACAAGCCTACAATTCTTTACAGCAGCAATTGGCAGTGAATACACTGGGCCTCTTGCTGGCTCAGAGTTGCCAGCCTGGGTTTCCATGACTACCGTGCCGTGAGTTAGAGATAGCCATCTTAAGTGGCTTCAAGCTCTTAAACTCGAAATGTACCATCTCCTCTTTTTCATAATGCAACTGTTTCTTCTTGCCACCGAGCAAGCCACAATATTTTATAATCGGCATCTTCTGCTCTGACACTAGATGACATTAAACCCGTCAAGGTGTCAGATACAAAAGGCCCCAGGGCAGAATCTGGGACAAAGTTTGGGAGCAGTAGCTTTGAAACATCTACTTTACAGTTTTAGAGGTCTTTCTGATACACACAATATGGTTGCCATATTAATAACTTCGCTTGTGTTCTGTGTGTGCGTGTTCATGTGGGTGCGTGTAGGTGTGCCAGAGCTTGATGCTGAGTGTGTCCCTTGATCACTCTCTACTTCTTTTCTCTCACTGAACCTAAACTCAGAGATTCAGCTAGGCTGGCTGGCTAATGATCTGTCTGTCTATGCCCCCCCCTGCCCTACCTCCGAGCACCAGGGCCATGGAAAGCGCACTGCTTTGCTTGGCACATGGTTGTCAGTTTCCAAACTCAGTTCCTCACGCTTTCATGGCAGGTAGTTTACCAATGAGCCGAACCATCACTAATAAGTCCAGGTTTTCTCTTTTGTAGCTCTCTCTCTCTCTCTCTCTCTCTCTCTCTCTCTCTCTCTGTGTGTGTGTGTGTGTGTGTGTGTGTGTGTGTGTACAGGTACCCGTAGAGGACAGAAGAAGGTACTGGAACCCCTGGAGCTGGAGTTGCAGGTGTCTGTAACCCACTTGCTATAGGTGCTAGGAATTAAATCAGGCCCTCTACATGAGCAATACACACTGTTACCATGAGCCGCTCCTCCAGCACCTCCCTCCAATAACGTCATGGCAACCAAATAGTATCACTGCTGTAAAGTTTCCCACACACTCTATAATAAGTAGTCATTTGGAATCACCGTAGTCATCAAGATGAAAACATGAGGTATTGTTTTTCTATAATGCAAAATTAGAGAGGTTACCAAATGACCTCTCTTGCCCTTATTCACCTGCCTTCTCTGTGTTACAGCCGTGGATTATAGCCCACAAATAACATGAAATGAGGAAAATGAAATTAATCTCTAAGAACCCACTGAAAGATCATTGTGACTTCTGGGGATTTGAGGGTGTGTACTTAAATCTTTGATGTAACCTTAAAGAAACTACTGGGTAATCGTTATTAATGACCTGGTTTGCACAAATTCTTTAGACTAGGCAATCCTTTCTTAGTTCTCAATCTTTTCTGAAGCCTCTTATCTACATGCAGTTTAAAGCAAATATTTGAGAAGAGCTGCCCACTTGTTTTCAACACATCTGCACTCAGTTTTCTAGAGTCGTGCACAGAAAACTCAGCGTCTCCCCTTCTAGCCCTATGTGCCAGTGCTCTGTTAGTCACTTAGGAAACAAACAAAAACATTGCATCACAGAACTTTGATTTGCTTTCATGTGGGGAGACACATATAAAAGGGAACACATTGTTACATGTTGAGTTAACACTAAAGAAAAGAGAGTCAGGATGCCAGCTGGGGGTGTGGCTAAGCTCAGGGCAGGCATCATTGGTGAGAGAGTCCATCAAGTGGGTGCTGGACCACTCGAGCTTTGGAGAACGGAAGGTATAAGGCCCTGAGCTGAGAGCATGTAGGGGCAGTCAAGAAATGGCAAGAGGCCACCGTGGCCATGGGGGTTTGTGGGAAGAGCGGTGCAAATGAAATGAGAAGACTCTCTAGGCATAGGAAGAAAAAAGACTTTTACTGGAAGGGATGTGGGAAGGCCCTGGAAGGATCTAAGCCAGAAAAATAAAAGATAATAGTGTTCTATTCTGAAGGACCACTCTGCCTATTGTATAGAGAGGACTCAAGGTAATGGCGGAAGGCAGTGAGAGACCAGTTAGGACACCACAGCAGGTAAGACAGAGAGAATGTATTGACCCCTTGAGCCAAGAGTAACTATGGAAATGGCGGGCATAAGGAGGACATGGTGTGTGTTATGTCTTAAAGGAAATTAAAGTTTCCAGATGAAGCTGATGATGCTCAGTTAAGGTTTAATTTCTGATGAACAGCAAGAGCTCATTTTATAGTGTAATTATGTCCTGTACAATGTGAGAGACGAGACTCCGTGTCCCTACTGCTCTCGGAGACAACTCCTATCACTGAGTGACTCTGACATTTCTCCACTAATGAGGAATGTTTATTTCCCCCTTGGTTTGGTTCAGTCTTGTGACTTGCTTTCCCTAACAAAGTGCTTGCAGGCATCCTGTGACTGTTCTGGTAAGATGCGATAGTCAAGTTGATACAAACTAGTGCCACCTGGGATGAGAGGACCTCAAATGTTGAATTGCCTTGATCAGACTGGCCTGTAGGCATGTCTGCAGATCATTTTCTTGAATGCTAATCGATATACAAGGACCCAGCTCACTCGGTGATGGATCCCTAGGCAGGTGGGTTTAGGCTATATGAGAAATCTAGCTGGCCATGAGCCAGAGGGAGAGCAAGCCAACAAGCAGCATCCTCCTATGGTTTCTGCTTCAGTTCTTGCCCCAACTTCTGTCAATAGTGGATTATGACTTGGAAATACCAGCCAAATAAACCCTCTCATTCCCTAGGTTAATTTTGATCATAATCACAACAACATGAAGCAAACATTAACTTGAGCTTTGATAAGCAGTTGTGCAATTCATCTTGCTGTCTGAGGCTGCACAGCAATAAGAATAACCCTAGACTTTGTTGAGAAGGTTGGCAAGCACAAGAGACAGAGGTTGGCCACGCATCCAAGTTTGGTCTAGCTTAGTTCCTCTCTAGATGACCAACACCCTCAGAGTAGATAAAAGCTTATTGCTGTATGCTGGTGATTATCATGGCATGGCATGGCATTAGTCTAGCAACGGGTAACTGACAGTTGTCTTGGTAGATGAGATCACCAAGAGAGTGGGTGGGGGAAGGGCCAGCAGTGGTACTCCTCAGGGAAGGGAGGAAGAACCAAGAGGAGACTGAGATGTAATGATCAACAAATAGAAAAGGAAGGACAGGGTGTGTGCAGTGTCCTAGAAGCTCCTTGAAGTGGGATTCATCAATTATGTCAAATGTTGTAGTTATGGCAGAGGGTAAGCTTCCACAGCTAACCATTGGATTTAGCAATGGAGGGCCTTGGTAATCTTGAAAAATAGTTTTGCTATTTAGTAGGGGAAAATGAAAGAAAAGTATCATAGGAGACAACTGGGGGGGGGGGGAGTGGTAATGGTTGGGTACCTGTGGAGGTTTGAATGATAAATGTCTCACTGGCTCCCGTATTTGATCATTTGGTCCCCAGTTGGTGGCGCTGTTTGGGGAAGTTGTGAAACCTTTAGGAGGTGGAACTTTGATGGAGGGAGTGTGTCCCTAAGGCTTTGAGGGTTTATAGCCTGGCTTCACATCCTGTCCCCTTTCTCTCTGATCCCTGTGTATAGATAAAATGTGATCGGCCAGCTTCCTGCTGCTACCATCACGCCCTGCATTGCCCACCACGATGGACTCTAAACCCCCGGAACCATGAGGCAAAATAAACCCTTTCTTCCTTTAGTTGCTTTTGGTCATAGCATTTTTAATCACAGCAACCGGAAAGCAAACCAAAACACTGCCTTTACAAGGCTTTTTATTTTTAAGTAAGATTGTGTCTGCATGCTCAGGTTAGCAGTCCTTTAAAAGAAAATCTGGGGAGCAAAGGGTGGAGAATGTTGCCTATATCCCAGGGTAGTTAAGAGAATCAGGATCTTGACAGGAAACCAAGTGTTTAAATGTAAATGCCAAAAGAGGAGGCAGGTGTAGATGTGGGAAGCATATAAATAAAGCATGGAAACTCGTTATGATCATGTCAGGTAGGAGGAGTTCTTGACCTCTGAGAAGAACAGAAGAAATAGTCAAGCAGGAGAATGAAGTGTGGGTTTGGAAAATACTGTATAACTGGTGAGTAACTTCCCAGTTGAGGTTTGTCACCACAAGTTAAAAATGATAGAGTCTACATTATACATTTTTTCCAGACATAGTCATCTGTTAGGGGCAAGTGCTAGTGCCTGGAGAGTTTGATTTCACGAAGGATGCATTCATGCAAGAATGCTTGGAAAAGGAAATGTCGGAGAGGATAGAAGCAGGGGCGAGTTATGCTGGTGGACTTGAATTTAAGGTGAGAAGGAGAAAAGACAGGAAGTGGGAGCTACTAGAAGACAGTAGGATCAGTAAGCCCTGGTTGAAAGAGAGAGAGAGAGGTAGAGGCAGAGACAGGGAGAGAGGGGGGAGGGAGAGAGAGAGAGGGAGAGAGAACCATAATCGAAGAATAGTGAATATAATTGAACTCTCGGAAGGGCCGTAGCTGTTGGTAATAAGTCTGTGACATGATTACAGAAATGAGTAGCTGAGCTAAGGTAGAGGCTGAAAATGCAGGGGGTGGGGGGAGGCCAGTTCAAGTAATGCAGAGTCCTGGGCATCGGGAGGCATCAACACATATCACTGCAATAGTACCAGTTAAGACAGGAACATGTGTGGCTCAAAGGGTCAGGGAGTAGTAGCGAACAATGAGACTGTGTTTGATGCCCTGATAATAGCAAAATCAGAGCTGTGGGTCTTAAAGATAAGGGCATAATGGTCTGAGGAGGGCCATGGTGAGCACCAATAACCCCAAACCCTAGCCCAGCGGCACGTGTTAGTCACATGGGCTCTCAGAAAAGCTGAATCCTCAGGATGAGCCAGGCTTTCATTAGGTTAGGAGGGTGAAGGAAATGAGAGCTAGACAGAGAAAGACAGACAAAGGGTTTTGCTACGAAGGACCCATGAATTTCTGAGGGTATGGGGGAAGACAGCATGGGAATTTTTTCAGAACTGGGGTGACCAAGGACTTATGGAAATCTGTCGAGGTAGATGAAGGGCATCCCGGGCCATGGGTCTTCTCACAGTGACTGACGCCAGAGCTCTGGACAATTTGCAAGTGAGGCTGTCACTGACAAGGATAAGGAAGAGGGGTGTCTGGGCCTCTCTTGCTTCTGCTGGTGGAAGCAGGAAAGCCTGACTCATGCTCTGATTGTGTGGGCCCCTCCTCCTTCCAGTGCCCCCAGTAGGGAAAGATGTGTATGCTTGTGGGAAGTGGAGTGCTGAAGAGCTAAGTGACAGGGAAATATGCACTATAAAAAATTAAACCATCATCTTCATACACTGTTCTCTTGTTCTAGGATCAAATGTATGACTACAAAAGTACAACCGTTTCCCCCTGGGACCTGGGGAACAATTAAATACAGGGGGAAATGAAGACAATAAAACGTATTCGTATACTAACATGTCTTATGAGCTACATTCAGCCTATTCATCATAAATGTTTATCATGCACAACTCATTCGTTCTTGACACTCCCCCCCCACACACCTCTGCAGTTTCTGGACAATTCTGTCCTTTACACACATACAGCAATTTCCCTGGCCCCAAACAAGTTAAAGATGCCCAAGTTCCTTCAAAACCGTTTTAGCTGGCTAAACTTTCCTGACTTGACAAGACCCCACCATACCTGGCTAGAACGTGACCCCTTCCAAACATGCTAAGGCTCACTCTGCTGTTTTCCAGTGTCTCTGAGGTAAACTGTTGCATTCTATGACCAGAGAAGAGCTAGAAGCCCCAACAAATATCAGTACAAATACAGGGGTCTGGGTATTTCTCTACGTAGCTTCTTCGGGGCAGAATAGTGGAAGAAGCTGGACTAGGATGGAGAGGACCACCCAGCATGGCCTTTGGCAGATTGTGTCACCTAGGGAAGGTGCATGACCTAAGCCTCAGAATCCACAGGCTGGACTCACGGCCACCCCCAATTGTCAATGGTCTCTGGTTTCTAAGAAGACTGATGTAACTGTAGCTTTTCTCATATCTTTTGATCACCATCATCATTCAGGCAAGAAGGAGGAAGCTCCCCTGTCGGTGTTAATGTGTCAGGAGGCTAGTTTGGGATGAGTGAGGTGACCAACGGAGGGCCACTTTTTATACTACATCTTAGAAAGGGTGCCTCAAAGAGAACATAGGAAAAGACAACACTTAAGGATGAGAACACATCAGGTGGTGTCTGTGGATCAAAGTCTAGACTGTAACTGGAAACCTGGATTTGCTGATGTTTGGTAAGTGTTCTGACAATGCACTGTAGCCCCTAAGTGATTATCCAATCAGTTCATTTACTCTGCATATGGAGTAGGTACTTCACTAACATAAACAGAGGTGTCATGGCTGGTTTTGGTTGCCAACTTTACATTACATATCTAAGAAGAGGACTTGCCAATCACATACCAGTTGAGGAACTGCCTCCATCAGATTGGCCTGTGGGCATGTCTACAAGGGGTTGTTCTTAACTACTAATTGGTGGAGGAAGACTCAGGTGGCTCTGGGCAGAGCCACCATTGAGGAAGGTGGGCTGGGCTATGTAAGAAGGGTAGCTGAGCCTGGAAACAAGCCAGTAACTCAGCGAGCCCCTCCACGGTCTCTGCTTCAGCTCCTGCCTCCAGACTCCTACTTGAATGGTTGCCCCGACTTCCCTCAGTGATGGATGGTGACCTGGAAGTGTCAGATGAAATAAACCGTTTTCTCCCCAAGTTGCTTTTCCTTGCTGTTTTATCACAGAAACAAAAAGAAAATTGTATCAAGAGAGGGAAAAAAGCAAAACAAAAAATAATGCAAAATTATTTCTGTTGCTTTAGGAAGGCCAAAGTTATTTTTGAGATATCCTGGTATCAATTAGCCACTGCCTCTTACTGCCCAGAACGGTCAAGACTGATGGTAAAAATTAGAAACAACAAATACAAAACATCGATGGAGCCAGCACAGCCACATCAGAATCCAGCACACTGTGGTGACCAGGACAGATTCCATGCTGTTATGAAGCAGTTATAATGTCAGCCCCGACATTATAAGATTGCCAGTTTGGTGCATATTTTGCATCAAAACCCTACCAAGTAAGATGCACAAAGCTGAAGGTCTGAAAGAAGAGAGACAGGCTTACCTGAGTCCTTCTGGTCACCCAATTTGTCTAGAATGTTGAAGGAGATGTCAAGGTACTCTCTCTGGATAGCGCTAACGGCAATCTTCCTTTGTTTCCTCTGCCTGGGGACGATCTGAATCTTAAACTCTGATTCCTCGGCCCCATCCTCCTCCACCTTCCTTTCGGGGTTCTGTTCTGTATCGGACTCAGCACTGGCATTGGGATTCTCGCCTTCTGTTGGATTCTCGGCATCTTCAGGAAGTTTGAGGAGCACCGTTTTGGCCCCCGATGTTGGTGTCTGCCCTGCCTTTTCTTCAGCCGGGCTGAGGTCAGGGTTATAGTCCACTGACATCTCAGGGACAGCCAATGACTTCTGGAGGAGGTCTCGTTTTTGCTTTAGTGTTAGTGGGCTGCCAGAGGCAAACTCTCTTGGCTCCTCTGACTTCGACAGCTCTTCAGAGTCTGTGAGGTCATCTAGAGCTGTGATGGTAGAGTCATCGTTGCTCGCTGACTGGTGGTTTCCTGAGTCCTTAGAAGAAAAGTCTTTGGAACAGTCCTCCACACTCACCTGCACAAGGGGAGTCGTGCTCAGGCTGAGGACAGAGGGCTGGCTGGGGATGGAGGAGGAGGCAGCATTTTTACCCGAGGGACCATCATTCCCTTGGTTCATCATCTCGTCTTCTTCATCACTTTCTACTATTCTGAGAGGCGGGAGAGGCTCGAATACAAGAGAGTCGCTGTCAGATGTTGAGAGTGCGGAGTGTTTCTCTGGCCCAGACGTTGAATCTGAGGACAAATCTATGAGATCTAAGTCCTCTTTAGGAGCAGGCTTTCCTGGAGAGTCAACTCTCACTTCGAACGTCTCCATGCAGTTCAACCTAACTTCTGGAATCACAGGCCTTCGTGGTTCTTGAAAACCTTCAGCCGCTGGATTCTTGGGGATTTCAGCATTGTCCGGCCTCGTAGCAGAATTCTGTCTAGAGCGCTCGCGGTGGTCGTTTTGCCGTTGTGAGATATGAGCAGCTTGGGCGGGAGGCTTATCTATGTCACACCGATCTATGCAGGACTTCCTACGATGCTCATCTAATGTAAACAAGAGGGAGTCTGCATTCCCTATATCAAGAGATTTTTGTTTTAAAGAGCGTAGCTTTTTTTTCTGAATGCTCTCTTCTCTCACACAGTGTAGGACGCTGTCTTGTAATGCACCCGTCTCTCTATATTCGGTCAGCTCTATTTCACCTGATCAAAACAGAAAGAGCTAGTACTGTTGCCCTCCAGAGTTTACCATTCCCCCTCATACTTGGGCACACAATTGGCACATATAGTAATCATAATCCCAGCTCTACCAGAAGGGAAAACTGACTTTTTGGACATGTACTTGTAAGATTGATTCTGATTTCAAGAACTGGGAAACTTGGGTATGAAAGAAACCCAAGTAGTGGTTTAAGATTGGATTTCCAAAAGTCAAGCTTGGAAGTAGCTCCTCAGCTCTGATAGCCATTAAACATAAGAGAGGGGTTTTGGTTGGTTGGCTGGTTGGCTTGTTTATTTTGTTTTGTTTTTGGCTGAGGCAGATCTAAGAACATGTATTCAAATTGTGTGGAAGAGAAGCAAACATTTTGCAACAAATCAAATCAAGCAATGGCCCCTGAAGACAATCATGACATTAATGACATTATCTGTCAACTCGCGTATATATATATAAAAATGGGTGTATATATATACTGTTTGTGCATACATATATATATAAATCAACAATATCAAAATATGTGGTAACATAATAAAATTAAGATTTCACCCCAAACAAACGGTAGAGTACAACATTTCTGCATAAAATTACTAAGAGGAAAAATTCATACTTCTCTGAACATTCATTTCAACCGGCTGGTATTTCACCATTTTGCTGCCGCCTATCCTTTTCAATCTTGCAAAAAAAGTTTGAGACTCTTTATTGCAGGGTCCAGTAGGTGTATCATGAATATCAGATTCATCAAAAACACTATCTTCTTCTAATTGGGGAGAGAAAGTCAAAATTACACTTAGGAGGTTACTCTCTCTTAGGCTGTGTCTACACAAGCATTCAGTGAAAGCATTCAAGAGTGGTCTAAGTGGTTTCTGCACCAGCAAACTTTAGCTCTGGGTCTGTACTCCATCCAGACCATCCAGATCTGAACTGAGCAGCCTGCTACCAAGCTGTCCACCATGTTCCAAATGAGAGCGGACAGCGTTGGGAGAAGTGTCTCAATGGTCTGTCCACAAGAGCCTTCCTCGGGGAATGCGCCCATTACACTTAAAAGCAAATGACTCACAGATGGCAGCACTCTGTCCAGGAGTCCAGACATTGTTTGAACTTGCCTGTTACTTTCAGGCTAATCTGACAAGGAGGACATTAACATGAGTGGGGCTTGACCTTCCTAAAATATATATATATATATATATAAATATATACATGCCTTCTTGGGACCTGGGAACTGGCATAGACACAGCCTAACAGTACATGCACCTTATAGTTTGTGAATGCAAAATACTGTACTCTACATTTGGTAATGAAACACACAACACACAGAGAAAGCTTAGAGAAGCCACTTGTCATCTCGGAAGCTCCATGGATGAGTATGGACTGAAAGAGTAAACAAAGGAAAAATAAAACGGAAAATCACATTTCTACTAGAATAATAAGACTCTTCTCTGAAGCATATACTGTGCATCTGTGATAGATTTTTATGAATCCTAGAAAAAAAAGACAACAGCCTTTAGCTCTTGTGATCCTGGGCTCCACAGACAAGTTGGTTGCTTAATGTCTACTAAGCTTGCTTATAGGTCTTCTCGTCTATCCCTACTTGGCTGCTCCGAAGTCAAAACAATCCAAGTAACATATAAATGAAGAAAGAAACATCCTGCTACAAAACCTCAAGTTTACTTCCCAGCATTTCCTCTCTCTCCATCTGGAAAGGATGAGGTACACAAAAGCAGCAAGAAAAAGACTGGTGATGTGCACTTCACAGCACGGTCAATGACCCTGCCTGCTGCCTGAGGTGAGCATCTCTGGAACTGTAAAATTTGGGCTTTCTGGATACCTACATGGGACAGGATGCAACCCATACATGACGATGGTGAGTCTAGATTTCTTGAGTCTAGGAAAACGCCAGCCCTAGCAAGAGCAATCTTGTCCTAATGCACAAGAGTCTAACGGTGAATGAACCCAAGCAGTAAACGTTAGTTGATGTCACCACATAAATCTTTTTATAAATAAATAAAAAAATAACAATCAAAATGGATACAAAGCTCTATGTGAACGTACACAAAGATGAGACATTCCATCAAATTTCCATACTTCTGCAGAAATGCATCTAAATGACTTTATTTCTTTTTTAGAAAAGAAAAATCTCCTTTGAAAACTAGTTTTCTAAGCAAATGGCAATTGTGACTTGCATTTCATAATTTTGGAATAACTCCCAAAATGGACTGTGTTGCATGATAAGAGATGAGAGGACAATGAATTGTCCCTTCTACCCAGGAAGTCATCTGGGGTTGGGCCTGTCTGGACACCTAGCACACTGAAAATGCCACAGCTTAATTGAGTCTATGGAATTTTCCAGAGACCTACGCTGACAAACACCACTCTGCAAGAAGGATATAAACGGTACCAGAAGCTGGTCCTCCACTCCGTCTGAAGCCAGCCAAGTGCCTTAGTCTTCACAGCAACAAGCAACAGATCACTGGCGTCCAGCCACGTGCCTTCCTGCCACCGCCCCACTAGTTCAGGCTGTTCTAATGCTACAGGGTCAATAGGCACTTGTTTTTCTCCCAAGATTTGTGTCAATGATGTCACCATTTATAATTCTAGTTACACTGTGACATTTATCAAAGATACAAACCTCGGTTCTCCACCTTTGACCTGTAACTTCACTCAATTTAGCATTTCATTCTACTGTTGCCTTTGAGGAAATTCTACGAATGAATAAGGCATCAACACTGAAAATAATTTAAACTTATACACAAAAGGGTCTTCATTTCCATTGCCTTCAATCACTTCATACCGAATAATAAGGCTTGGAAACGGCACTTCGGAAAATTGAGACTGAATTTAAAATCTGTGAGCATGGAGTTCAAGGGCAAACTAGAGACACCCAAATGATGATTCCACCGACTGCCAACCCAGACAGGTCACAGCCCAAAGGCAAGATGTTTCCAGCATGTAATAAGAGGCTACAATAGCTCATTAATCAGATGGCAGAAAATAGCACACCTAACATTATTATGACTCTGAATTTCAGAAGTATGCCAACTACACACTCAGTTCAAAAGTAAAAGCAACAATATTCCCGAGATATTTGAAAAATTAACCAAGCAGGAAGGGAGGGTTTGGGCTTCGTAAGGACATATGGGGACAGCCCTCTACCTCCTTAAACAACGGTAAGACTGTTGTCTGGAAGTGCGGCATGTATCCCGGCTAAGTTCCAGACAGAACTCTGTCTTGAGAAGTACCTTTTTCTTTCTCGCTGTATCTGCTTATGTTGCTGTTGTCACTGTACAGAGGTCCTGCGGTGGCGTGGGGCTTGCAGCTATGGTACTGCGCATTGAGTGTATTGACTGTTATGTGAATCAGGTGTAGCAGGCTCTTGCTGACATCACAGTCTCGGTACGGATACTGTCCAATGGGGAGAGAATACAAGTGGTTATTCCAGACGATGCTTTCCCAATGATCTCACCGGGTAGTTTTCTTAGAGTTCTCATGCTCTAGAGAAATGTGCACCAGAGTATCAGCATAGGTTCTGATCATAAACTTGTTTTATAGGGTCCCTGTCTCTCCTTGCACCAAACCACTGGCAGCAACGTGGGCCAGATCCTTAAAGAACACTGGCATGTTCTTGACTGTCACTACTTGACAAACATAATTTTAAATATCATCTTTGTTTTCTGAAAAATAATCAGATAAAAATATGAGATTCCGAGCATAGAAGTAAGTGATGATTCTTAAAAGCGTTTTGAAACCCTACAGTGACATGCCCTCCTGTTTCTTTTTCGAATAACTCTTCTCCTCTCAGCACTGCCTGAATTTCCTCTGACGGTCAGACTCTGATCCATGCAGCCCTCATCCGTCAGGGACCGTCCGGCACTGTACTCCCTAAGACAGCCTTCCATCCCAGCAGCTGGAGTACAGACACTCACCTTGTAAAGGATGACGAGCAAGGCCTTCAACCACATCTGCCTGATATGAGGCTTTAAGGACCAGAGGGAGCAGCGAGGTGGCTGTTGGAAATAATGCCGTAGTTGAGGACAAGAGCAGTATTTGAGCACCTGGACCACGAGGGGGAGAAGGTGTTTGCCCAAGTTAATGTTATAGTCCATAACCTGAAATAGAAGAATATTAGTAACTGAAAGAAAACTATAAACGTTCAGAAGTGAAAGAAAAAAACACAGGGGCACCTCACAAAATACCAGCATGAATAGGCAGCATATACATGAAGGGGAGATACTCAACCTCACAATAAAATTTGATGCTTACAAACTGATGGCGTTAATCTAATCATCTATTCCGTTGTGTGTTGAAAATAAAATTGTAGCTAATTAAAATAACTACCAGAACAATTAACTAGGATGAAAACAAAACTCTGCATTGACCATATAGAAAAATGAGATTGTTTGGACGCATCTGGCTGGGCTAGAAAGTTGTATAGTCTTCTAGAACAGAAGCTTAACAAAATGCATTCAAAACTAAGCAAAAGTATACATCCTTTACCATGGCAACTAAATCTGAAGGAAACAATCAGACAAGTGTTCCAAAATGTATGGATAAAGACATTCAGCATGGTGTTACCCGTCTGAAAATTTCCCACATTCAACCACTAATTAAATATCATTTGTGCCAGGTGTGGTGGTTCATGCCTACAATCCCAGCACTCAGAAGGCTGAGACAGAAGGAGTGTGACGCCAGCCTGGTCTACATGGTAAATACAGGTGTGGGATCCTGTATCAACAAACAAAAAAAAAAAGTAAAACAAACAAACATTATTTGTACAAAAGCATACTTTGCAGTCACTAAATGGGAGGTGATATAATCTTATACCTATGATGCAAATTTCATAATTATTAACTTGGTTTTAAAGCTATATATATCAGTGCATATAATGTTGTATATATTTATTTTTTAGTTTTTGAGACCAGTCTCATGTAGCCCAGGCTAGCATGCGGCTTACTGTCTTCCTACCTTTGCCTCCTAAGTTGAGGGATTACAGGCATTATGCCATCTTACCCAGCTTATACACTCCAATTTTTTTGTTTGTGTTTCAAAACAGGACTTCTCTGTGTAGCCCTGGCTATCCTGGAACTCACTCTGTAGACCAGGATGGCCGCGAACTCAGAAATCCACCTGTCTCTGCCTCTTGAGTGCTGGGATTAAAGGTGTGCACCACCATGCCTAGCTATACATTTTTATATAAAGTGTGTCAGGCCAGTGAGATGGCTCAGTCAGTAAGGAGCTTGCTGCCAAGCCTGGTGGCCTGAGCTCAATCCTTGGAAAGCACATGGTGGCAAGGAGAGTCAATCCAGGGAGTTGTCCTCTGAGCTTCACAAGTACGCCATGGCACATGAAAATAAAAATATGAATGCAAAAAAAATGTTGTCAAAGTAAGCTTTAGAAAATGTGTATAGTTACAAACATTTGTGCATGTATGTGTGTGTATACCTGCATGTGTTCACATACATGTGGGCATACATATATGTGACACAGTTCAGGAGGAGCATTTTACAGACTTTTTAGTTCCAAAACATGATCTCTAAGGTAAAAGCACAATGTGGATTCAGAGGAGGGAAGAGGAGCGAAAGGGAAGTGGTGGTGTCAAAAATGGCTCAGGTCCAGCTGTCTCAGCAGAGTGGCTGCCTGCAACGTTCTTGTCCATGTTCCATAACCGGGGTTACAGATGCGCACTCTGTCTACACTGCCCAGCACTGGGGTTACAGATGCACATTTCTGTCTACACTGCCCAGCACTGGGTTACAGATGCGCACTCTGTCTACACTGCCCAGCACTGGGGTTACAGATGCACATTTCTGTCTACACTGCCCAGCACTGGGTTACAGATGCACACTCTGTCTACACTGCCCAGCACTGGGGTTACAGATGCACACTCTGTCTATACTGCCCAGCACTGGGGTTACAGATGCACACTCTGTCTACACTTCCCAGCACTGGGGTTACAGATGCACACTCTGTCTACACTGCCCAGCACTGGGGTTACAGATGCACACTCTGTCTACACTGCCCAGCACTGGGGTTACAGATGCGCACTCTGTCTACACTGCCCAGCACTGGGGTTACAGATGCACACTCTGTCTACACTGCCCAGCACTGGGGTTACAGATGCGCACTCTGTCTACACTGCCCAGCACTAGGGTTACAGATGCGCACTCTGTCTACACTGCCCAGCACTAGGGTTACAGATGTGCACTCTGTCTACACTGCCCAGCACTGGGGTTACAGATGTGCACTCTGTCTACACTGCCCAGCACTGGGGTTACAGATGCACACTCTGTCTATACTGCCCAGCACTGGGGTTACAGATGCACACTCTGTCTCTATTCCCCAGCACTGGGGTTACAGATGCACTCTGTCTACACTGCCCAGCGCTGGGGTTATAGATGCGCACTCTGTCTCTATTCCCCAGCACTGGGGTTACAGATGCACACTCTGTCTACACTGCCCAGCACTGGGGTTACAGATGAGCACTCTGTCTATACTGCCCAGCACTGGGGTTACAGATGCACACTCTGTCTATACTGCCCAGCACTGGGGTTACAGATGCACACTCTGTCTCTATTCCCCAGCACTGGGGTTACAGATGCACTCTGTCTACACTGCCCAGCACTGGGGTTATAGATGCACACTCTGTCTACACTGCCCAGCACTGGGGTTACAGATGTGCACTCTGTCTATACTGCCCAGCACTGGGGTTATAGATGCACACTCTGTCTCTATTCCCCAGCACTGGGGTTATAGATGCACACTCTGTCTACACTGCCCAGCACTGGGGTTATAGATGCACACTCTGTCTCTATTCCCCAGCACTGGGGTTACAGATGTGCACTCTGTCTCTATTCCCCAGCACTGGGGTTACAGATGCACACTCTGTCTACACTGCCCAGCACTGGGGTTACAGATGCACACTCTGTCTACACTGCCCAGCACTGGGGTTATAGATGCGCACTCTGTCTCTATTCCCCAGCACTGGGGTTACAGATGCACACTCTGTCTACACTGCCCAGCACTGGGGTTACAGATGCATACTCTGTCTACACTCCCCAGCACTGGGGTTACAGATGCACACTGTCATGTTTTGCTTTTTACTCGGGCCCTGGAGACTGAGCTCAGGCTCCCATGCTCACCCCATTGGCATCTCATTGAGCTAGCATATTGCCATTGTACACTTAAGGCTCTTCAATATTGTGTTACATATGTTTTATAAACATTATTACACTACACAAAGCTACCAATTCCTACCCCATCTCTGTATCCCCCCTTTAAAGACGTCTGCCTGATACCAAGTAATCCAAACAAACTTTTCCACTCCACACGTCTAAACGGAATGGAATACCTTGTTTCTATCAAAGCCCACGACAGGCCTCCTGAAAGTGCTATTACATACACTTACTTGGGCAATTCCTGCAATAAACGCATTAAAGCATGTTGACAGGCGCATTTTTTGGGGTGCGATCATGAAGCAGCCTTCCTGTTGGTCGTAGCCAAGCAAGACATAGAGGTGCCTCTTGACCGTGTTGAAGGCCTTTGCACTGCTGATGTCTGACTCAGCACTGCTCTCGTCCTTGGCCATGAACTTCATGAGCACTGTAATTAACTGGTGAACCGTCTGGTGGTCAATGCCAGCGTCTTCCGGGAGCAAGTCCTTGATGGTGTGGTCATTCTCAGGGGACTGTTGCCCTGTGAGTGTAAACAACATAGTCAGAGTGCAGCTATGCCCCCTCAGGCGACTTTACATTTAATTGCCACCCGACGCTGACAAACTGCCCTCCTTTCTGCTTCTGCTAAGCATTTAAAAGTTCTGTTCTAGGGGAGAAATTAAAGGCACACTAGCTCCTAAGCAAAGCATCGTTCCTGGGGTTAGGTAGCCGCTACCGCCATCGTTGACCAATTTACCCAGGAGTGAGACAGGAATAGAAATAAAACTGAGGAACTGTTCGCCAACACGAGCCTCAAAGTGTCACTCAAACACCTAACAAACTTTGCACTTAGCAATTCTTAATGCAAAGTTATGTCCTCAGTGGCAGAGACAGAGACGGCTCTGCCCAGTTTGTATACTACCTTAGGAAGGTCAGCCCCAGAAGTAAGAGACTAAATTTCACTGAGCATAAAAGGATCCCCTGGGGGGATTTTATTTAAATTATGGTCTCAATTCAAAAATGTTCATGAGTCAGATGGGGCAAAATAGTATTTTTTATTTCAAATATTGAGAGATTCAGCAGTGTGTAGCCTCTGAATTATAAATGGCCAATGATAAGCCCTGCAGTATGTAATGAGAGACACAGAGGGGAAGGAGAAATGGAGAGAAACATGAGCTCTCAAAAACATTTTCAAAAACAAAACAAAAAAAACACCAGGTGAGCTGAGAGTTCCCGTGGGAAAAAGCACCCTAGTCCTTGGCTTCCTCTTAAACTACTGGTTATACCTGAATCTTCTAGCCTGCCCCGCCCCCTTCTTGCCTTCTAGCATGCCCCGCCCCCTCCTAGCCTTCTAGCATGCCCCGCCCCCTTCTTGCCTTCTAGCCTGCCCCGCCCCCTCCACACTTGGTCAGATTTGGTTTAGGACTTTGAGGGAAAGAAGAATCTTATTTACTCTCCTGCATTAATGTATGATTTGGGGTGGTTTTCAAAGCACTCTGCAAACAACAATAGAATTTCTAAATTAAAATTTAAGCTTTTGTACCGCGGGTTATTAGAGCCGGACACCAGCATCCTCATCTCACATGCAATGAAAAATCCAGTAGAGTGAGGGGACAAGCATTGGGCACAAACTTTCACAAACTAGCCTTGGTTGCACCTTTTATAATTACGCAAATTCTGTACAGTATGATGTGAAATGATGCAATAGAGATCCAGGGAGCGATTTATATCCATTAGTGCCTCAGTTAATTTGGCAAAATTCCTATCTTTCAGGGCCCTGAGAAGAGAAGCAAGATGGAAGCATTGCTTCTTAAAACTGCAGAATTTATCTGTCTAAAGGCCCTCACTCTGGGACAGTAGTACCGATCTGTATAACGGCCAATTACATTTTAACAGGGCCTGCACAGGAGGGAGTAGCCTTGGTTAGCTACTTTCCCTGTGTCTTCAGGAGGATGCTGGTCTACCCACAGATATAGAAGAGGTAATTAACAACTCAAGAGGAGGCAGAACCACTCAGTCTAATGGCTCTAACATAAGGGGACCTTCTGAACGTGTCATTATGGCCTCGAGACATTAACATTTTCTGTCTTCTGAGTCTGTCCACAAAGGCATGCATACATGCAATATGCACACATGCAACATGCCTTAGGAATTCCCCCCATTGAAATCATCTTTATAGCACTTAAGAATTTGTTTCACGCATGAGTAGTTCATAGTATCATTATATTGAGGGATTTATTACAAATCAACTTATGTGAAAGACCAGAGAGTCCCAACATCCAACATCATCACAAATTACAGTTAGCCTGAATATATAAGATTTGATTAAAAGCAACTCTTATGTAAGTCTCTGAAAAACAGAACACACACATATATAGAAAACTCATTTTTTTTTCCTCTTTGGTGTTTTTGAGACAGGTTTTCTCTGTGTAGCCCTGGCTATCCTGGGACTCGCTCTGTAGACCAGGCTAGCCTGGAACTCAAGTGCTGAGATTAACAGCGTGTGTCTCTACCACTCAGTGAAAGGGAACTCTTGGTAGTATTAAAAAAGAAAAAGAAAAAAGAAAAAAACCTGTCTGCTTTTGGGGATAGAGATCTGCCTCATCGGTTAAGAGTCCTTGCTGCTCTTGCAGAGGATAGGGGTTCAGTTTCTAGCATCCACACCATGCAGTTCACATTCCCCTGTGACTTCAGATCCAGGGACTCTAGCTCCCCCTTCTGGCCTCTGAGGCACCTACATGCATGTGATACACTTATAGACAAGCAGGCGCACAACACATAAGTAGAAAATATATATATATATATATTTTTTAAAAAAACTACTTTTGGTTTCCCACTTCTGAAGTATTATTTTTCAATCAGAAAACTATTACTGCTTCAGGCAAACTGGTTAAAAATATGTGTGACAAGTGTGTGCATCTCGGTTCCCTGTAGGTCCAATACCGCTACAGCAGGACTTCGGCATTCAATCCCTTAGCTCTGGGGTGCGGGCTTTAGGAGAGCACACGCCTCTCAGGCCTGCCTGGCTCCTTCGTGGCTAGCATAGCCTGACTCCTAAATGGAAGCAGGGATGCTATAGCTACTTTAATTTTTAGTCCTACGGACATCAGAACAGAGAGAGTCCTGGCCCCATCTCCTTCTGCCTCAAGTCACAGCAAGGAAACAACGCATCAAACTCCACCGTAACTGTTCTCAAACTCTCCTTCCTATTGCAAGGGTCGTGATTTTTTTTTTAATTCTCAGCAAATCTTCTATTTCAATATCATTTCTTATGTGTCATCATTCTAGGGATCAGTGCTTGGGGGTGACATTTGCAACTTTTAGTTCCCTCAACATAATTAGTCATTGAAAATACCTATCCCTGTGCATAAAGTAAAACGCTATTTCTTCTTCCACGATCTGCCCCTCCCGCCCTTGGACACTCCAGGTCTGCATTTAGTCCATCATCTTCTATTAGAATCAAGTAAGCTTACGAGAGATAGACACTTCCTAAGGGGAAGTGACCCAGGCCAAATCCCTATGAGAAATGAGCTGCACAAACTGGATGAACTGTTACTACTACTTGAATTATCTATAAAAGATGGACAGTTTCCATTTTAAAACTAAATACCTACCACTAAAGGCATGACAAGTAGGACACCTGCTAGTTTTCGATTCTAGTCTACCTGGTGTCTTTATCTTCCTTAACCATGGTGATTTGTGTTGAAAGGTTTGGTTTTATTTCTGCAAATGAAAGTATAGATGTCACTATAATCCTGGAGGCAGAGCCAGCCTACCATGATTTAGTGTGGGCTGGGTTCTCCACGGCTCCTTCACAGAGTGGAGTAACTGAAACTCTGAAGCAGAATACAAATGTCACGGCAGAATCTGCTTTTCCTGATGTATCTCCCGGCCCTCCCTCCCCACATACCTGACCGCTCAGCACTCCCCCAAGCTGGGCTGCTTATGGATCTCAGAAGAACCAATGCTAGTCCAATGCTCACAGTGATCTGCCTTGCCAGGACAGACTCCTACGCGTTCCCGTGTTTTGTGCTATGAATCGACTCCCCAGAAGCTAATTCTTATTCCCTATGCCCACACCCCCTCAGTAATTGGACGTTGTCCCCGTATTCTGTTGTGTTCCAAAGATAAGAGGAGAGGGGAGGGGGAGGCAGGAAAATTTCCTTTAGCATTTCCCAAGTCTCTTTTATACAAGGCAGAACTTCATTTGTTGTTTATTTTTCCCTGTAAAAACATCACTTGGAGGCATGTGCTGCGTCTTATCCATCTTAGCATCCTTCACAGAGCACAGGATGCTGTCACATACAGTAGATACTTAATGTCCGTTAGGTGTCTAAGTGAACCGGACTCAAGTAATGGCCCAGATCTTGTCTTCTATATAAGAGGAAAACTGAGGTCGCCAAAACAGAGACACTAATGTGGGGACGCGCCTCTGTGTGAACTGACGTCCCTTTCAGCGTGACAATGGGGCAGGGAAAGCAAAGCCCACTTTCGTGAGTTTGTTCCTACCTTTGCCCAGAGAAGCCAAAGTCAGATGCTGCGTTCCAATCTCACACCCTCCCTCATCTGTCAGCTTAAAGCTTTTCTTATAGCAGTGCGTGTGTGTGTGTGTGTGTGTGTGTGTGTGTGTGTGTGCGTGTGTGTGTGTGTGTGGTGTGTGTGTGGTGTGTGTGTGTGTATGTGGTGTGTGTGTATGTGTGGCGTGTGTATATGTGTGTGTATGTAGTGTGTGTGTGTATGTGTGTGTGTATGTGGTGTGTGTGTGTGTGTGTGTGTGTTGTGTATGTATGTGTTCATACTACTGCAGGAGAGCTGGGAAGCTAACCTCCTCCTTTCTGCCTTTGCCTCTTCCTAGCCTGTGTCCTTATCGACATGTGTTTATACTGTCTGTGCTGGTTATGGGTTTTTGTTTTGTTTTGTTGTTTGTTTGACAACTTGACACAAATTACAGTCACTCAGATGAGTGACTCTCATCTGAGAAAATGTCTCCATCAGATTCCTTGTGGACAAGCCTGGGGAGCATTTTCTTGATTAATGATTGATGTGGGAGGATCCAGCTCACTCTGGGAGATGCCATGCCTGGGTAGGTGGTCCTAGATGACATCAAAAAGCAAACTGAGAAAGCCATGGAGAGCAAGCAGTCAGCAGCATCCTCCATGCCCTGTTTCAGTTCCTACCTCCTGGTTCCTGCCTGGAGTTCCCACCCTGACTTCCTCCATGATGGACTATAAGCTGAAGTAAACCCTGTCTTCCCTGGGTTGTGTTCAGTCATGGTGTTTTATCACAGCAACAGAAGACAGACTGGGACAGTGTCTGCCAATGAAAATCTGGATGAAAGCCCCCTGTGGCTCCAGCTGGTGAAATGTTATCCTGCTGCATCTGACCGGATGGCGACTTTCGCTCCAGATGAACTCTGGCTGATGGCCATGTTTGTTTTCCTTACATGCCTATCAGCCAGTGGCATGGTAAACACCTCTCGTGCATCTTTGCCCTCTCTGCCTCCTGGTATATATAGCACATGCAGAAATGTTTGCTCAGTAAAAGTTACTTCTCAAAACTATTATTATAAACACAAGTGTTCCTATAGAAACAACGGGTACCTCAGTGCCTAACAGGCACTTTGCAAGTAAGTGAAGGGAACAATAAATCACTATAGGACAAGAGAGCCCAGAGAAGCTGCTGGAATTTCCCAGGCTAGGGCACTGAAGAGGAAGCAGGAAAAGCCAACAGGAGACACTTTGACCAGTTCTAACTAGCACGAAGCATCTTTTCATTTAAGTGTATAAGTGTAAATGTAACAAGATGGCCAAATCTCTACAGGCTAGAAGACTACCTGTCCTGTGAGGACTAGAATAGCTCTGAACCATCCCGGGCAAGGACTTTTTTTCTGGACCCTGTAGCAGGCCTGCCGCTGTACCAGGTCGCACAGACCAGAGTCCTCACGTGCTGTAAGGCAGAAGTTGGTAAAGAAAAAAAAAAAAAAAAAAAACAACCATCAGGAGGCTCGACTGTGGCGGAAAGCAGGCAGCCAAGTCTCCTGTGTGCAGCAAATTTACAGGTATCCACACATTCTGTAAAGCCAAAGTTAGGCCATTTGTGTAAATACACAACAGGCGAAGAGACATAAAACGCATTTGTATACTTTTACTGTCCACTTATTCATGGGATGAGAGACATGGTAGGATTAAGCATTTCACGTCCGTGCGATTGGCACTACCCATTCGGGATTGAGCTGCTAGACCTTCTGAACCACGTACCCAACTAGCCTTCAGTGGGCACTGTAGACAGCCAAAGCTAAAATGCTCACAGTGTTCCTGAAAGCACAACTGTACATGACTGCACAAATGTCAGGCCAGCAGTTACAGAGTCTGAAATCTGAAGGAACAGAGTGGTGAGCTCCTGTGAGTACTGGCCATGCATGCATATAAATAGGGAGTTCAGGAACTCTGCGTATAAGACCCAGATCTGTCACCAACAAACTTGTGACATTTGTCCCTTTGTGAGAAGCTCAGTTTCTTTTCCTATACAACGGGAATGTCAGTGCACCTCCAATGTCAGCTATCACACCCCATGAGTTAGTTACATGCACAAAGACTTTGGTTTGGCTCCTATACATTACAGAGGAATGCAGCTTTTTACCGGCCATACAGGGTATACCATCTATCTGTAGAAAACCTTCTACTTTATTGGCTAACGTTAGAAAATCATATGTTATAAACCCAGAGACCCAAAGTTCAGCAAAATCACAAATTAGAAAGCTTTTTACTGTGTCATCAAATCATAATTAAATTATTTCAGGCCTAATCAATAGCAAGTCTGCACAGAGGGGCTGGCTGCCCAGACTAAACATCAGTCTGTTTGTTAAGCGGCAAGCTCTTCCATTTTATTCTATCCCACACCATCTTCTGATGGAGCACACCTTCACTTCCAAGGAAAAACATCAGCATCCAATAAAGGATAATTTAAAGATGCAATAGTTGTTCCGAATGCCTCAAGAGCTGGGCCAACTGCTTCAAACTAGGCTTGTTTTCCTGGTCCTGCCTGTTGTCACTGGGATCCTCTCCCGGGGAGTCTCAGCTTCACACTTACTTTAAACAACACTATCTGCCTCTTTCTGCCTGGTCCTTTGGGTGGGATGATGTGTTGCTTGAAGCTTTTCTTAGTCTCAGCAAACTCACGGACATTTTCCTTGGATGTGAGGGATTCCTTTGGTTGGGTTGTTAGGCTGGCCTTTCAAGGATGCACGAACAAAAAGACCAGCCTCAAGATAAAGTGACGGAAATAAATAAAACTGCCTAAGAATTTTCTCCAAAAGTCCTCACTGGAGGGGAACTAGATGGACCTCCCATTTTGTTCTTTCTTTAGAAGAATTATTTATTTTTACTTTATGTGCATGAGTTCTTTGTCTACAGGTATACAAATTCACTATGTGTGGCCTATGACTGGTGCCCTAAGAGGCCAGAAGTGAGGGTCAGATCCCCTAGAATTGGAGTTACAGACCACTGTAAACCATTGTGTGGGTGCTGGGAATTGAATGTGGGTTCTCTGCAAGGGCGGCAAATGCTCTTAATCACCGAACCATCTCTCTGCCCAGACCTCACTTTCTAATGACACCGAGTGTCCTTATAAATTCTCCTCTCCTTCTCTATCTTTCTTTCTCCCCAAAGAGACAGATTTAAGTCAAAGAGGGGCCCAGCCACATGCTTGTCATTCTGTGGCTTTTGATCCCTTTCAAAAGAGCAAGGAGACTTTTTGCTCCCATCTTCCTCCTGAATTCATAGTCTCCAGAGCCTTTGCATCGTCTCCCCCATCATCCTCCTAAATTCACAGTCTCCACAAGTCTTTGCATCGATCCCCCTCCCGAATCCCTGTGTGTTTTGAGTGTCTTCTTTATAATATGCAATGCTCATGATCTTCCAAGTCTCCTTATGTAAGTTTTTTTTTTCCTCTGCATATCAGTCAATACCATTCTGAAAAGTTTTCACTTAAAATTACACCGGATAAAAATTCAAATGTGTATAGGATGATACATAGGTGAGTTGGTGAGGTTGAGGAGACAGACATGCAGGTAGGTATTCAGAAGCTCACAGTCCTCTCAGTGAATGGTGGCACTGTGTGAACAGCATTCAGTTAGTAATGTCCTTACCAATATCTGCTCAACACTTGCGATACGTCATGCTAAGTTATAACACAGTAACGTGACGTGATAAGATACACTGTGTCACCCTAAATAAGACCTCCAAACAATGGGAATGCTCCTGGGAAACAGAAATGCACAGACTTGGGAAGAATTAAGAGCAGCTACAAGGATGAGCAGATGGTGGTTCAAACGTAAGACCTTTCTAAATGCAAACGAAGAGCATGTTTTACCTAAAGAAAATGCTTATCTATGAACATGGTGTTTCTATGTGTAGCTCACACATACAAACATAAGTCATATAGTAGCATGAAGCACAAGCCTAATCGCGCCTGCTGTCCAAGGAGAGGTGGGCAATTGGATGCTTCTTACTGGACCAAAAGTCAGTGGGATATGAAGTCATCTGCTTAGAAAACCATATAAAGAATTGACACACCAGCCATTCAGACAGTAGAGCATCCAGAGTGAGGCCCTCTGGGGGTCCCAGGTCCTAAAACCACTCTGGTCCAGTGAGAAACACTGAGCTCTTTACCTTGTCCACCTATGATAGAGACACTTGCCCATGGCCCTTAAACGTCAGAAGTACCCACCTGGCGTCTGTTCAGGTGTCCCACCGAGAGCTGGAGCAGACTGCTCATGCCTGGTCAACCTCACAGCTTAAAAATCAACAACAACTCTATTTAAATAAAGCATTAAAGACAACTTGAGCCTAGAAAAACACTCAGTGCTGGCTGATCTGGATAGCAGAGGCAAGCTTAGTTTTCTTATTTGTAATTAGCATCACATAAAAGATGTTTACTCCAAATGTTTGTGTTTTGCGCCTTAACTCAAGAAAACCCCTTAATGTCATTTGGATTCTAAAAGCAGCTGAATGGCTGTGTGAATTAATTAGTTAATAAGGAATAACAATAAATAAAACAAACACCCCGGACTAGTCAGTTAGGGTACTAAAGGGCTGAAAACTCATATAAAAGTTGCAGTTAATTTAATCTAGGGTGTGTGCCCTTCACCTGGCAGCAATTTCCTCTGGCCACTATGAATTACTCTCCAGTGTGATTCGCTTTGCTCCCTGAGAAGCTAAGGCTATAAACTACTTAAAAGGCTTTCTATCGACTCTTCTAAGGTCCAAAATACCACATACTCAGAGCTTGTCATAAGAATGAAAAATGTAGCAAAGAAAATCAAATCATATTTATGGTTAACATGATTATGTTATATAAAGTTATTCTCTAATAAATGCCAATGAAAATGCCAATCTTTCTGCTTTGGATAGGAGAAGTGTGCTTAAGGTGTTCATGGGTGGACATCATGGGTGTTATTTAAGATTAAATCATCTAAATGTACTCATTCATCCATACAATGACTTAATTCTGCAGGCTTTATTATTCGCCACTTATGTGCTGGTGTCAAACACTGGTGTCTATCTACTCATTTGGTTATTTAAAACGCACGCTCTTTTTAAAAAATGTAATACAAAGATCTTTTTAAAATAAGTGTGTGTGGTCTTTTTAAATTGACAACAAAGTTTATTTCCATTTGTAGGTTATCTGAAGCTGACTAGGAATCCAATTCTCTTCAGTCTGATTTTTCTTTTTCAGAAGTCACCATTGTTAGTGGTTTTTCTGGAGGCTTATGTGGTTGTTCCTAGCACTCCTGAAATGACAGTCATTCAAAGTCTGAATGCTACCATTTTATCTGCATGGCTTTTGTTATCTAAGTGTCATTCAGAAGGCACCAGGTTCCCAGGCTGCCCTGACGCTGGCCCTTGTATTCTAACATTAAAAGTAAATGTCTTCTCTAAACCTTGTGCCAAGCATCACGGATTCTCTTCCTTCTATGTTTCAAAACTATTTCTACATCAGTCAGGATTTTGCTGAACCCACAAGCTAAAGAAAACCACCCGTGACTTTTACATCCTTGGGCTGATTTTTCCAGGGACTCTGAGGGCCAAGCTTGATGGACAGGCTCCATTTGCTAACTGCTACTCTCTGTGAACACTTGACAAGACACGTTAGCTCCAGAAAGACATTAAACAGATGCCACAGGAGGAAGAAGGAAGATACTCAACGGATTTTGGAGGTCAGGGTCTCAGGGAGAGAGAGTGCCCTTTTGGACTCTGCAGGCCCCTTCACACTGTCCCTCAGAGAGCGCACACTCTTCTGGCGGTTTCTTGCAAAACGTGCCCTCTTAATCTTCCACAGTGCAGCATCACTGAGGTTGGCAACATTGGTTCTCACAGCGGTGATGGCTTTGCAAAAGAAATTAAAGATATTATTCTTTTTCTTGGCTGGCCATGCGATCCAGTTATTTTGAAATAATCCATCTGAGTACAGTTTAGGATCTATCATATGTTCATTCAGCATCCACCACCCTCTAAGACCATTATATGTTTTACTGTTTAAAAAAAAAATCATGACTACTTTCTATCATGACTATCATTTTCCTGTTTAATTCATGAGGTTTGATTATCTAATCTTGTTATATTTTCCTCATGAATTTAGAGCCATAAGCAACTGAAAATCAGCGGACAGGAGTTTGCACAGTACAAAGGTGTCTCACGAGACTGCTCACAGATATTAGCAACATAACAACTGGGTGGCGCTTAAACAGTCACAGATGGTTACTACAGGTCCTCCAGAAAGGGAGGAAAGTTCAGATCTGAAACCACTGCAACATTCTGAAATCTACAGGTTAGCATCACAAGCACTCAACAGTTGATAAACTGAGGACATGAAATCAAGACATTCTCTTCCAGGTAGGGAATGAGCTACATGCCAAGTGTCTTCTACTTACCTAATCAAAAGGGGGGTCTGGGGGGCTGTTTCCAGCAAGTCTTTAGTCTTACTTACTTGTAGGAAAAGGAAACTCTTTGTTACAATCCAAATGCAGCTGAGCTTCTAAAGAAAGTGTCTCGAATCTGTTGACAAAGAACTCCCAGCTTAAAGCCGGGATGTCTTGCTTCAGGAAGTGCAGGAGTGAAAGCTTGCTCAGGATGGTAGGGCGGTCTTTAACAACAGTGTCAAACTGGAAGTCAAGGCAGAGACAAAGGCCCTGGAAAGGAGGGATCAGACAAATGTCTCAGGTGTCAGAGAACAAATGCCAGGCAGACCACGGAGCAAGACAAAGTGCCCCGAAGCAAAATTACCCAGCCAAACTCTTTCTAATTCCGAGTATTGGAAGGGGAGTTTGTACAAGAGGGTTTCTCCTGGTTGCAGAAAACTTCTTCAGTTTGATCCAGAAATGTAAACTAAATGTGTGCTGCTTGTCTTCTAAATATTAAATAACATTCGCTTAACCCAAATACCAGTGCATCATTTATGTAGCTGTAGCTTTCATCATTACATTTTATTCTATTTGTGTGTGTGTATGTGTGTGTACCACGTGTATGAACATGCATGCACATGCCAAGCACATGTGGAGGTTAGATAGCAACTTGGAAAGCCTGCTGTCTCCTATAACAATAGGTTCAGAGACTCAAACTCAGATCCTCGGACTTGTGTCTCGAGCGCCTGTACTTACTGAGCCACCCCCTAGCCCCCTAAGCTAAGACACATAAAGAGATGGTCATTAAATTTCCTTACAACCTTAAATTCTGTGTTTGTAAAAGGGCAAGTCACTCTGCTCCTTGTAATCTAAGCAGAAACATATTATACACGTTTAAAGGGGGGAAATGGGGGCATGGTAGCTTGAGTGAAAATGGCCCCACAGACACAGAGGGACTCACAGGGAGGTGTGGTCTTGTTGGAGGAAGTCTGTCACTGGGTGTGGACTTTAAGGTTTCAATCTGAGCCCAGGGTCTCACTGTCCCTCCCTGCTGCCTGAGGACCCCGGTGTAGAACTCTCAGCTACTCTCCAGCACCAAGTGTGCCTGCACACCATTGTGCTTCCTGCCATGATGATAATGGACTGAACCTCTGAACTGTAGGCCAGACCCCAGGACATGTTTTCCTTTACAAGAGTTGGTGGCAGTGTTTTTTCACAGCAATACAACACTGCCTTAAGACAAGGTGGAACGTCTGTTTCTCTAGTCGATGAATCTTTCTTTTAAAGGTATTGAAATTTTAAAAATGTAGCTTACCCAGCCATCCCTCTCAACCTTTCTACCATTACATAATGGTTATCCCTGAGCAAAGGTAGTGTATCAACCGCCTGGAAAGTCCAAAGCTATCTAGAGAACAACCAAGTTTTATAGGCACATCGTGCCTTGGACAGCACAGCCCTGCATTTTTCCAGATCATACACAGGTGGCTCCTTCTACTGCTTAGTCTTACACCAAATGAGAAACTCTATACTGCGGGGAATGAGGGAGGAGAAGAGTGAGAAAAGGAAGGGGGAGGGAGGAGAAAAAGTTAAGAGCATGTGACTCTGAAAACATGACTCTGCCTTTTCAACTTCAAGCTTCCCCAAATGTAATAATGGGAATATACAAAAAGCTGTTCCACGGGGTAAAGGAGGCAATGCACAACAGGACCCTTCTACTACACATCGTGCAATGCAGTGCATGTCTGGCAAATGTTAGCTCTTGCCATTGGTATTAGTTTTGATAAAAATAACAAATTTCAAACTAGTATCAGTGTAGAAAACCAGTAAAGACCCTCGTCCTGGCTGGTACTAAGGCAGTGTACACTTGCTAAGCCCATCATCTCTCTGAGGCTTGCTTTCTTATTACAGTAGAAGGTTATCATGTAAGATAAATATTCAACCCTCTCCAGGTCACCTACTGTGTCTCTTTGGATTTGATTCGTGAGGTTTCATTTGGTGGCATTCTTACCTTAACATATGTCCCTTCAACCCCCCCTTAGCATCGAGCCTCTAATAGCAGCTCCTGGCCAACTGAATATTAAGAAATGAATCAGCCTACTTTAAAAATGTGCTCCCCTCTTCCCATCACACACTAATTCCATCTGTCTACAAATTTTATCACTACATGAGGGAAAAGAAACACATTTTAAAAAGTTGTATCAATAAATAAAACAAGTTACCTTTAATAAGATATGGTTCTGGGATATTTTTCGCACTATCCAGGGAGAGTTGGGAGTAAAATAAATCCCTCCTTGTTTTCATGATAAGATAACAAGCACATATTCGGACACACACAGATCTCTGCTCCCACCATCACTGATATTATGAGTTTGCATGGTGCTGTAGTCTGAATACTTGTATCCACTACCCTAAAGGGTACATTGTGCTGAAACCCAACCACTTATGTGACAATATTAGAAGGCGAGCTTTTTGTGGGGGAAGATAAAGCCATATGGACAAAGTCCTCACAAATAGGCTCCTTGTCTTTAAACAAAGGCCCAGGCACAGTTAAAGGCATAATCCATCACCAGACACTGAATCGACAGCACCTTGGTCACGAACCTCTCAGGATATAGAATTATACAACATAAGTTTCTAGGTTTTATAAGTTAGCCTGTTTGCGGTTGTTTTGATAGAGCATGGCTAAACAGGACATCAGGGAGTTGGCGGTGCGGACATTCTGTATGGCTGATAATACACACGTCCCATCACCTGCAGTGCCGGCCTCTTGATGGTATCGAGCAGGAGACCCGCCCTGGTGGCCACCGCGGGGTTGACATCCTCCACAGCTGTCAGGAAGCAGCAGAAGGCGTGTGCCAGTGAGTACTTCAGCAGGTGGTTTTTGGTCACTGAGTGAATATCCAAAAACCTACAAATGACAGCGACTTTTTCCACTGCAACGTGAAATAGAGGACAAAAGGTGTTAAGTGTGTATATCAATGTATACTGGAAAAATTATACTTATTTATTTGAAGATAATTCCGTTTATTTATTGGCAGGTGTGGCATGCATGTGACACAGGGCATGTGATATCAGAAAACAGCGGTGGGAGTTGGTTCTCTCCCTCCACCCTGTGCTTCCGGAAGACTAAACTCGTGTCTTCAGGCTTGGAGGCAAGTACACTGACCAGCCATTGAGCTGTCTTACTAGCCACGTATTGACATCTACTTAGGCCTCATAAGAATGGAACCCCATAAGAAAAAAGTTAACTTGGGGCTCCCACATGGAGATTTTAAAGATCAGCAGTAAAGACCAAAGCCAGATTTCAAACCTGAGCTTCTGGTTTACCTTATGACCCAGAGGATTTTGAGCGAATACAGAAGTACCTGCTTCAAACCTCATCTTCCAGTCTTTGCTGTTGAAGTTTCCGTTTATGATTGTCCAGAATATGTCAGCACCATGAGGAAGTGACAGGGCATGAAGGAGGAGAGGGACCGCCAGTGAAGACAACTGAGAGAACTCGGACTTCACGACTCTCCACAGGCTGGGAAATGAGGGACAGCCAAGGCGTTAGTCATCGCCACCTTTTCAGAAGGAAAGAGCCTAGTCCCTTAACTCTGTGGCTCTCAACCTACAGGTATTGACCCCTTTGGAGGACGAATGACCCTTTCACGGGGGTCACCTAAGACCACTGGAAACATGCTTATTTGCATTACAATTCATAACAACGGCAAGAATACAGTTACAAAGCAGTAAGGAAAATAATTTTAGGCTGGGAGTCACAGCCTGAGGAACTGTATTAAGGGCAGCGACGTTAGTAAGGTTGAGAACCATTGTCTTAAGGTATGTATAAAACGGTGGGTGATGGAAGGGCAGCAGAGGTGAAAATGATTCATCCAGAAGACTATAATCCGCCAACAAACATTTATGTTTACATCTGTTACTGTTTTCTGAAGAAATTACTTTGATGTAACCTTACTGGGGGAATTAACATAAAGATTTAATTCCACATACAAATTCAGCTATGAATTAAATAATATACAAAATTAACAGTTACATTGAGATGACAGTGTGATGAAACTGTTTTTGTGTGAATTGTTTTAAAATTGTTTCTCATGTGAATAACTAGAGTCTCATTGTTTATTTTATTCTTTCTGCCCAGCAGCCTTTCCCCTCTCCGAATGGCAAAGAATAACTCCATGTCCGCTAACAATAGCCTCTCCAAAAGCTGTCAAGACTGTCATGCCCATACTTCCACTCTTCCTACCATAAGGATGAGCAAACACCAGGTTTACCAAGGCACCTCACTGTCCTGGACTCAGGGATTAACCTGCAAACGAGCAGACATATGACCCAAACTTAAGGCTGTCAGAATCCTTTTATCAGGTCACAGTGTGGACTCTGAGAGCCAGGGGTCTGTCTGTCCTTCAGAAACTTCATAACTGATGACAATGTCGATCAAGACTGCCAGAGACCCATCTCCCAGGGTCAGATGGCCTAGAAAGAAGCCGACACTTAGTTTGATCTAACAAGATAAGCTGGTGTTGGGCTAAGTAACGGAAGGATGGAAGGAAGGAGATGAGAGATGCGATTGAGTACACCCGGTGACCACGGCTGTCACTCCTGTGCCCCTCCGCTCTAGACAAAAAGAAATCCAAACCCTGGAAGCAGGTTAGCTCCCTTCAGCGGGGCTCTGAAGAAGTGGCAACTCTGTTATTTCTTATCCACCCCTGTTGCTGCCCTCCTGCTGGCTGTTGTACGCTTTCTTCCATGTTCTTGGGGCTCCCAACCCAGTCTCTATGTCGTCTCTGTGGAGAAACCTGCTACCCTTACTCTCCTTAAAACTAAACCTTCTTTAAATCCTCCTTAACACACACCTTTCTTTACCTCTGAATTTATCTTTCCTCCCAGCATCCTCTCTCCTCTCCACTATGCCCTTCCTTCTTATTTGTCCTCTGCCTGCCTGAGCCTGGCTCCTCTAATGCTGGCCCCACATTCTCTTGTCTGGGCTCTCTTCTGTCAATCCTCCCCCACTGACCTTAGATCTACCCAGACTTTCTCTTCTGCCTCCCCCAAGCCTCTGACATCCACTGCCTTGCCTGTTGCTGCTCATTTACCAGCAAACTTTCCAGAGAAAAGGTGTTCTGTGTTACATCTTCACAGCCCTTGAGTGCCAGAAGCGTGTTCTTCTTCACACTTTCCAGTTAAGGAGCAGTGCTAACTCTGTTCAGTTTTCTCTACTCCATCCGTCGCTAAACAGACACTATCTCCAAGACTCCTTGTGCTTGGCCCTGGCCTACCTCCCTGGCCCTTTCCTTGTCTCCCCTGAAACCACATCTTAGATGATGCAGCCTGTATCATGGCCTCACTAGTGTTTCCCATGTCTTCCCGCCTCCCTCCCCTTTTTATCAACTCCACCATCTCTTTGTCCTTGACATTCCTGCTTTCCAAAAATGTCCTATCCGAGTTACATCTCTATTAAAATCCAGTCCCATGATGCTGACTCAGATGTACCTGCTACTGAGCTTCTCCCAGTCATTGATCCAGAATGTGCAGAACAGTTACTTACCACATGGCACTAAATTGTTTGTGACTTCTGTGTACACAGGACAAACACACATTAGATCTTACTCTTGCTTATCATCTGGAGATTGTTATCAAGTCTGCCCCTTTCTTCAGCCCCCAAATAGACTGATTTATGGTGCAGGTGTGTGTGCTCATGTGTGTGCTCTATGTGTGTGCTCTGTGTGTGTTTGTATGTGGGGGGGGTGCACGCAAGCCACCGCACATCCATATGTGTGTCAGTTGCCCATGAGTGGAGACCAGAGGTTGTCTTTAAGTGTATCCTCTGTTGCTTTCCACTTTCCTTCTTGTGAAAGGGGTTCTCTATGTACCTGCACTTCATGGTTTTCCTGAGACTGACTGACCAGCAAGTCCACAAACTGGTTTGTCTCTGCCTCCTACAATGCTGGGGATGTAGATGCCATGCTTGCCTTTTATGTGGCTAGCTGGGAATCCAAACTAAGGTCCCCATGCTTATATAGCAACACTTTATCCTCTGAGCCATCTCCTTGTGAAAAGTACACAAAGCTAAACAATGAAAGACCTGGTCACCCTTTATGTTTGTTATTCATTGCTTCTCAGAGCAGACTGAAGGTCCCCCAGGTACTGTAATAGTATTATGATAAATAAAAATACAAATAAGTCATCATATTTGTTGAATGAGTAAATAAATGAAAAAATAGTAAGGGCAGAGGCTCTACTTGATTTTGTTACAAAGCATGAACAAGCCTTTAAGAATCAGACTACCCTCTTTCTTACATTTAAAATGACCTTTTTCTGGCTTGCCTCCAGGAAGACTATTTCAGTTCTCAGAAAGAAAGCACCATAAACCTAGAGCACTATTTTATTATTATTCTCAAAATGCCTCTATCTCTTGAAAGCAAGGCTGATGGCACCCAGAGGGGTTCAGTATCCGCCAGCATTTCTAGTTCGAGTAAGATTACTATCTTACAAAAATCACACTCGGCAGCATTGTCTGCCACTGGCATTTTTCTAGGGTCTACTATATTCATAATTCACCTAACAATGGAAAATCATAGAATGATCCTTATTTTACCTATCTGGCCCAACAGAATCTAATAAGCAAACATTACCACCTTCCTGTTGGCGTACTTAGACAAAATACAGGAAGGGAAAGGTGAGTGCAGAGCCTCACACCTTTTCTCTCAGCACTCAGGGGACAAGGGCAGGTGGGCCTCTGTGAGTTCAAGGCCAGCCTGATCTAATGAGTTATAGGCAAGCCAGGGATACACAGTGATATTCTGCCTCAAAAAGCAAAACAGGCCTGGGGGTTGGTGGTGTATGTCTTTAACCCCAGCACTCAGGAAGCAGAAGCAGGCAGATCTCTGAGTTTGAGGCCAGACTGCTCTACAGATTGAGTTCCTAGACAGTGCGGACTACACTGAGAAATCCTGTCTTACACACACACACACACACACACACACACACACACACACACACAAAGGAAGGAAGTTCTTTATCAAATTACTATCCTGGGAGAGAAAAATCAAATGAAATAGAGTTTTACTTTCACTTTAATTCTTACAACTGAAGCCCAAAACAACGATTTGAGCAATACATACCTTGCGATCAGCATGTGGTCCTGAATGTAGGCTAAAAATTGAGGATGGTCTTTCCTCGCAGTGTATAAACACTCTCCATGCAGACAGAGAATCTTTAGGCAATTGAGCATATTAAAAAGAATGTCTGGCTCTTCAAACTTAGCCATTTCCTATGCAAAGAGCACATGGTCACTGCATTTTCCAAAACAACAAATAGCTTAAAAAACAAACCAAATATTCAAATATTTCAGAAAAATCTACCTGGAAAATGGTATATATTAGTCTCAACGTTACTGGAAGCTGTTGGTAGCAAAATTTTCTTTCCGTGTCATTCTTTATTGCTATGGAAAAATAATTACACAAAGGTTAGACTGGCTCCGTTCCTCCCATCATTCATTGGTTCATCAAGATCATGAAACCAGAGAGGGATGAGAAGGTAGAAAGTGCATTACACATTTATAGGTTGTTTTCACATATTATCATGTGCCCACTGGTTTGGTAACTCACACCTTTAATCCCAGCACGTGGAAGACAGAGGCAGGTAGATCTCTGTGTGTTCAAGGCCAGCTTGGTCTACATACTGAATACCAGGGCAGCCAGAACTACATAGTGAAACCCTGTATGAGAGAGGAGGAGGAGGGAGAGAGAGAGAGAGAGAGGGAGAGAGAGAGAGAGAGAGAGAGAGAGAGAGAGAGAGAGAGAGAGAGAGAGAATACCCTTAGCATGTGCCCTTCTATGAGGAAATCTCAATCAAAGATTCACAGCCTCCACTTTTCACCGCAGATCCTCCATGTTATCCTGGTCTCCTTGGCTGCCTGAACTACCCCCAGCCCTACTGTGTGCTCCTGTGGGTGAAGGGACCTGGGGCTGGCAAGGCATACCCTCACAGTTAAAGGGAGATAGGAAGGTATGGGAGAGGGAAATGCAGATGGGTTAGCACCTAAGGAAAGGCTACGCTACAGACTATCAAATAAGGCACTTTGAAACAAAATGATGGTTCTCAAAATGAAAACACGGCTCACGGCTGTCCCTTCTCGTGAGGTTCTCCAAACTGGGCCTCCACATGGGGCAACACTACAGTGTACATACACTGTGCATACAGTGTACATACAGGCATGCTTGAGTTACCAAGTTAGCCAGCTATCAAAACTAGTGGGATATTATAGCATAGAGAGGGAAGGGAGGGTTCTCTGGACCCTCATCCCTGGCTGAGGGACTTTTGACCTCCGATGGCTTCAGTGGGAGTGAGTCGTCAGTTTTCTGGCCCTTGGTAAGTCTATCCAGCTCCAGTGGATGGTCTCACACTCATAAATGCATGCCCAGCACAAACAGGAGTCTATGGGCTTTTATAAAAATTGGAAGAATGGGGAGGTTGGGGTGGGTTTGGGAGGAGTTAAGGAAGAGTGGGGATGAACAGGATCAAAATACATCATAAGAAATTTTCAAAGGGTTAATAAAACATTATATTCTTAAAAACTACTGCAAAACGGGCACAGTAATGTGCCACTGTAAGTTGTGGCAGTTCCTAGGATGGAAGACGATGAGAGCCAAATCCTCTCGGCTAATTCACCAGTCACTTTCTTGATGACCTTCTACTCAAAGGCATTTTACATATTGCTGCCAGCACCCAGCTCCATTTCAGTTCATGTGAAAGTGTACAAATAGCTTTGGTGACAGACATCCCTAGTATCTGTGAGAAACAGATCTTCCTGCAAATGCAGACAGGGGAAACAGGTAAAGGATGTGAAGATTACTGATTCCCTGAGCAGAACCACCACTGATGGCCACAGGACAGAAGCGGCGCCAGTTTCAGAGTGGCAGGAAACACTGGTCCAGGAGAATATTAGAGAAGACATGCATTATTCTGGGTTTTTCCACATATTTTTTTTAAATTTTTATATAAGAATGTCACAATATACTCCAGAATGGCTCAGAACCCATGGTCCTCCTGCCTCAGCTTCCCACGTGCGGTCATTACGGTCATAGTCAGGAGTGAGTTTAGAACTGTGTCATACACGGAGGCAAAAGACAGGAGGAAAACAGGCTGAGGCTGTGACAGGAGCCTTGAAGAAGGACCTGGGGGTGGAGAGGGGCACATGTTTTAAAAGGTAGAATGTATACCAACTTCATAAGTAATATGAGGCCTCTGTTACCGCAGCCCGCACACATGCAGACTTAACAAAGCAAGGCTCACTGGGGAGCCAGGCTGCTTCTGCTCTGCATACACAGATGTTTATTTCTTTTAGGCCATTGTTCTGTAAACAATATGGGGCTTTAGAGTAACTCAAATGGAGCAGCACTTGCCTAGCATGCACAAGGCCCTAGGTTCAATCCGTAGTGTACTGTAAAACAAAATTAAAGATGGTAAGTAAACTGATGCTAATTTAAAAATAAGTGGGAAGATATATATAAATCATGAATGATTACTATCCCATTTATATCAGAGACTGGGGTACTTCTAGAGAAGAAGGTGCCGCGTGCTAGAATCAATGTACTAGAAAGTTGAGGTAAGAGAATTAATGCAAACTCAAAACCAAACCTGGGATTCATGGTGTGTTCCAGTTCAGCCTGGACTACCCAGTGAACATCTGTCTCACAAACAACAAAAATAAGTGATAATCACTTGTGTTGTGTGCTATGAAATAAAACTATTTCCATAGAAAGAGTATAAATTATGGGATTCTGATAGATATAAAGCTTAATAGAGGCATAACTCCAGCCCTGTGTCAGCAGCTGCAACCATAAAGCAAGGCCATTGCCATTGCTTCTATTGCTTCTAAGAAAGGAGGAGGCCTGGGTTCCAGCTCCTGCCCCTAGAAATACTACAGTGTTTGATTTCCTGCCCACTATGGAATCAGAAGTAGAGTCTAGGGTCTTGCTCTTTTTTGGGGGGGGGGTTATATATATAGTGTACATTATTAATGAATTACACAAGCCATTGGGCCATATGCAAGTTACTTAGTCTATCTAGAATTTGGCTTTTCATTGTTGACTTATCAGAGATGTGTGTGTGTGTGTGTGTGTGTGTGAATATGTATGTATATATGCACATATATAAAGAGAGAAAGAGAGATTATTTATATAGAGAGAGGCATGGCACTCTCTTGGAAGTTGGATGGGAGCTTCCTTATTTGCTTTCATTTTCCCACCAATTCCTACTCCAAAGGAGGAGGTTACAGAGGATGTAACATGGAGTCTTTACTACTACAGAGCCAATGAAACATGTCACCTTCTCCCAGTTCTAATTTTCAATAGCAGTGTGAGTCAGATAGTCAGAGTCTATTAGCCATTTATAGCATCCATCCTCGTAGAAGCAGATAGTTACAGCAAGGATTTTGTATGATAATATAGTTATCATGAACCACAGAAAATACTCCCCTAAGAATATTTGCTGTTCATCAAAAGGGTGAAGCCCATGCTTCCTGATTCTAGAGTGGACCTCCCAAGAGCAAGACAGTGTAAGACAGTAGGAGTAGAAATTCTTAGAGGCTGTCCAAATCTCTTTCGGGTCCTGTACAAACCCCCAGAGCATCACCATTCAGACCTAGACATGAGGCTTTCCCATGCATGAGGGCACATGTTAACTCTGTGTGTGAGGAGTCAGGGAATGATTCCCCAGTCTGCCTACCATCTTGGTGTCCTTAATTCACGCATCAGTAGCCTTTAGAGACATTACAAAGAAGCCATTCTTCCAACTAGAAGGGATGACCAGCCCTGGAGCACACCTAGGCAAGGTGCATCTGTCTAGGGTCTTGACCAGTCTCCCAAGATTCAGATGCTATGTGGACACAAGTTCTATTGCGTCTATCCAAAAGCATTTGGCTTTGAGCACATGCCCCAAGTGGCTATTGAATCTGTTAGCATCCTCCATCTCAGCCATTCTCAGCCACTTCATATAGAGAAACAATGCAGTATATAAACATCACATCAGTCTCTATATACCAGGATGAGTTTTTACTAGTAACAAGATCCTGGGGCCAGGAAGAGACTTGGAGGCTGGCACGCCTCTGGGGCCATAACAGAGCTGTTCTCTTCCTTGTGTGGTAGGAAATGCTTTATCTATACAGTCTACACTTAGGAAGCAGCATTGAACATCTCCAAGTTGCTGAAGTTGTATAAACCTGAAATTGCACATTCCATACTTCCATCAGTCAAGTTCACCTACCAGCATGTTCTGAGGGCGTTGTACGGGTGCCTGGATTCTCCCCATGCTTGGTGGCTGGATTCTCCTCCTCCTCTCCCTCAGGCCCTATAATGAACTCTGGTCTGGAAGAAAGGAGGCTATCTTCAAGGCTGTCTGTGGGCTCCTGCAATAAATACAAGCATCTAGGTGAGGGGCCATAAAGAACAGCTTGGTTTAAGTAGGCAAAGTTCTCAGCCTATTCTATGCAACTCTGTTGGCCAAGAGAAGAGCCCATACCTAAACTTACACCCACCCTACTGAGGGATGTGCATGGGCAGCTGGCGAAACATTTGCTTTCATTTGAACTAGATACAGGAAAATAAAACATGGAAAACATTGCCTGACCTGCTTAGACAGCTTCCCCACCTTCCTTTAGCCCCAGACATCCCCACTCACAGCTTATTTAGGAGTTAATGTTTTTAGACATAACGCCAGTTCTGCTTACCTGGGGGAAGCATTAAAGGGAGAAAAGGCATACAACTCAAGTGTCTATCAGCAGACAATGGATCAGCAAAATGTCTATCCACACAACAGATTGTTACTCAGGCTTTATAGGGAGATACCGATGCAGTCTACACCAGAGGAAGCTTGAGGACATGACATCAGGTGGCATAAGCCAGTCACAAGGAACAAATACTGTAGGCACTCACTTAGACATCTACAGTAGTCAAAGTTATAAAAACAGACAGAAGGAGCTGGGAATGGAGAGATGAGCAATTGTTATTAAAAGTCCTAGAGATAGGCTGGGTGGTGGTGGTGGCTCTCATCTTTCATCCCAGCACTCGGAAGGCAGAGGCAGGCGGATCTCAGTGAGTACAAGGCCAGCCTGGTTTACAGAGCAAGTTCCAGAGTCATGTGCATATGCCAGTATCATTCACATAGAGATGGATGGATGGATGGATGAATAGATAGATATAGATAGATAGATGATATATATTTACACGTGTAAAACAAACTGCAAAGAACAGAAAACAGAAAGTAAAGAGAAAATAAAGGAGGCAGAGGTTGGATGAACCAGAGTTCAAGGCTAGCCTGGACTACATAGCAAGGCCATACATGAGGTATGGCTGTTATTTAAATATCTAGTCTTTAGTTATCTTACCCCTTTTCTTCCCAGTGTTATCTTTCAATATCCTCTTCAGAAATTATCCTTCTAGCTAACACTTTAACCAACAATTACTCTTCAAGAATTATTTGGCAGCCAGTTCAAAACAAATAGGCAAAAAGATCGGATAAAGGACATCAGAAAGTAAGTAGTGCTAAGACAGTGGTTGACCGTGTGAGACTAGGGATCAGACAGATCAGAGATAGGAAGAGAGGTCCCAAATGGCTAATAAAGATGGAAAACTTGCAGCATTTCCCTCATATTCATGACCAGACACAAAGGGATAAAGGTCTGGTGGGCTTCTTTTTCCCCAGTAAGAGGCCCCTGATGTGGATCGGTTGGACAAGTTCATGCCCTGATCAGGACAGTTTGGAGCCCATCAGCTTTCCTATCTTTGCTTAGATTGACCAATCCTATATCAGAGCCTTGAAACGCCTAGCCTGGCCCTCCCCTGCTTTATCTATGTGTCCCTCATGAACACTCTCCCTCCCTCCCTCCCTCCCTCCCTTCCTCCCTCCCTCTCTCTCTCTCTCTCTCCTGCCCTCCCCCACCCCGTGTGTGTATGTGTGTGTGTGAGTGTGTGTGCGAGTGTGTGAGTGTGTTAGTGTGAGTGTGTGTGAGTATGTGTGTGAGTGTGAGTGTGTGTGAGTGCATGTGTGAGTGTGTGTGATGTATGTGTGAGTGTGTGTGAGTGCATGTATGAGTGTGTGTGAGTGCATGTGTGAGTGTGTGTGATGTATGTGTGAGTGTGTGTGATGTATGTGTGAGTGTGTGTGAGTGCATGTGTGAGTGTGTGTGAGTGCATGTGTGAGTGTGTGTGAGTGCATGTGTAAGTGTATTGTGAGTGTATGTGTGAGTGTATGAGTGTGTGTGAGTGTGTGAGTGTGTGAGTGTGTGTGAGTGTGTGAGTGTGTATGTGTGAGTGTGTGTGCGAGTGTGTGAGTGTGAGTGTGTGAGAGTGTGTGTGCGAGTGTGCGAGTGTGTGAGTGAGTGTGAGTGTGTGAGAGTGTGAGTGAGTGTGAGTGAGTGTGAGTGTGTATGAGTGTGTGTGTGTGTGTGTGTGTGTGTGTGTGTGTGTGTAGGGAAGGGAGCATTGTGTATTACCTGTTTCCTCACCTCTAATAAAAGTCTTTCTTTCCCTGCTCCTTCTGTCTGCTGTATCTGAGATTTCCCCGCAGTCACTTGCTGCACTGGAGAATTTTTCTGCTTTTTAATTCTTTAACTGACAAGAAAATGAACTCCATCAAGGTCTCTGAAAAATACCTTTGCCAGCTTCACAGGTTTACTGAGGCTGACCTGTGCCTATGAACAAGGCAGCCAGTCACATTGTCAGCTGGGTTTCATATAGGCAGTTACCTGCTGTTTGCGGGTTTATTTACAAGCACCAGGAACCCACAAACCTGGTACTATGACAGGACTGGCATTACCTGCCTTGAAAAGCAGCTCAAGCCTTCTGCAAGCCCATCCTCCATGTGGTGGGTATCGACCCAGGAAGATGAGGAGAGGCCTAAGAGGGCCAGTACAGGTGGTCCAGGACAGCCATCTTGTACTCAAGAAAGCATGTCTTCCGGGTGATTTTCAAAGAAAATCAGAGCCCTTGGCTTCATCTCCAAATTCATATTAAGTAAACAAATTTATATCAAGAATATTGTGAGAACACTAGAGACACAAAGGATTGCTTGGGCTGGCTCAGGTTCTCTATATATTTATGCTTAACTTTCCTCTTTGTCTTAGGTGATGCAAGCTTGCTTGGATGTGCTCAGGAAAACCCATGTGTCCTCTTCCCCTTACAGTTCATCCCCCCAAAGAGACACCTAGGATTCATACAGACACTTCTTCAGTTGGCTTGTTCTCGAACTGCGAACTACTAGAATCTGCCTTCATTCCTGGTTACCACCATCCCCAAGGGCACAAAGAACCGGCCAATTGCAGAATTCTCTGGGCATTTTTCACTCTCCTCTCCTCGGAATGTGAGGTTCAGTATTCCCTCCTGTTGGGCACTGTCTCCTGCCTTGATTTCTTTGTTATCACTCCCTCAGTTTTTCTCAAGGGACTCTGGCCTCTTTTTGAAGATTTACGTCTGGTCTTCTCTTCCTCTCTTTTCCCCTCTTAACAGTTGGTTCTTCCCAGAATTGGAGTACATTGCTCCAAAGCATTTCTTTCTTTCCAATCTTTCTCTTGAGAATGAGATCCAGCACTCATGATGCATGGCAGCTCTTCTTGGATATTCAAGCTGTGTGCTAGTTTGTACCCTCTAAACCCTGATGAGACTGTCCCCATGTGATATTGAGGTGGGACCAGGATGTGGTTAAAGCTTTGCCACTAACAAATCAATGCCCATGTATCTCTAAGTCTGAATACTTTTCTGTCATCTTATTGTTATCATCTTTACTGCAGCTATGAACTCAGGGATTATCTCCCTCAAAGGACTCCTGCCCTAGGCTAGCCTCAAGTCTCTCTTCTAAGCCTACATTGTTCATATCTTGCTACAATATTGTCACACTGGCTTGTGGTTTTCCATTTTCTTGGGTATGCTCCCAATCAGACTTTCAGCTTTGTTGTTGTTGCTGCTGCTGCTTTTATCAGTGCTAGGGATAGAACTCAGGGCTCTGTGGATGCTAGGCAGACACTCTACCACTCCAGACAGACCCTACTTGGGTTCTTTGGCTTTAATCTCTATTTCCTCACTTTCCATTATTGTGGCTGGTTTTATTTTGGTTTGGTTTGGTTGTTTTTCAATTAAATATTACCATATGCTGATAAATTGACAAGGATGAACCTGGAAGACATTGTGCTATGGTAATAAATGAAGCAGATCAGGCAAACGCACCCTATTCTCACTTGCATAAGGGAGCTAAACACCTAAGCTCAGAGTGATGGACAGTGGACAGTAGTTAGAGAGAACAAGGGGCTGTGGGGAGAGCGGCTTATAGTACGTTCCCAATGGCTGTGTTAAGACATTGACGGGAGATGTCATTCTGTAAATATGTTTCTCTTAATGGTTAATGAATAATGCACTGTTGGCAAATAGGAAGGCAAGATAGGCAGGACTAGGAGACAAGGAGGATTCTGGGAGAGGAAGTAGAAGAGATTCAAGACGTAGAGACTTAAGAGAGGAAGAGGTGCAGACCCTCTCTCCGGTAAGATAAGACTACGTGGAAATATTTATATTGATAGAAATCAGTTAATATTTAAGACAGAGCTAGCCAATAAGGAACGCTAGAAACAGGCCAACAGCTTTGTATCTAATACAGCATCTCTGTGTGTTATCTGGGGCTGACGTGGCTGTGGAACCAGGCGGGCGGGAAAACTGCCCGTGACAAGACATAATATTATATTAAGGTGGGACTAATAAGGTGAATAGATGGAAGCTGAAGGCAGACATTTTGCTTATATGTGATACTTCAAAAAGTGTTGAAATCTTTTTAAGGAAGTAACTTTTGACCCTAAATAATCGGTGAAGAAGCAGAAGAAGGCAGGGAATGGCTTGGATAACTCAGTTTTATCTACCTCTGATAGCCTGAGGGTATTTTGGTGTTATGTATGACCTTTAAAATATGCAGCTGAAGCATTGAGTCACTGAAGTATGGCATTCATCATCTGTCAGCTCTTTCAGTGATTTTTCCTAAAAGCAAACCATGAACATAACCAGAAAAGATAATGGGTTTTCTTCACTGTTGATGAAGTTGGTGCTCCTTGGATCAGTATTCACTCACAATCTACTTCATATTTAATTGTACAACGTACTATGTCCACTATTATTTAAACTTCATAAAAATAACTGAGTGAGAAAAGTCCTTTAGGGATACCAGTGATGTTCCGTATTTGTGAAAACCCTATGGGTAGAGCTGATACCACTCAACTTTGGCCACTTACAAACATGCTGTCCTATGCCTCCGTCGTCTCCTAGCCTAGATAACAGTTAAATAACCCCCATCACACCAGCTTTGTTTATGATGAGTCATCTCATTTCTTCAAATGCTTACCACCAGCCGGCTTTCATCTTTGGGAGCTAGTCTCTCCAGGAGTTCACAAGCAAGCTGGTAGCAGAGGATACTAGACTGGCATAAGTTACATTCCTTTGCCTTTTTGTCCTTCTGGCAGCTGTGAGAGCCCCCCCAGGGGGCCTGGAAGACATTGTTGATGATAGAAATGATGTCCTTTGACAAACTGTGCTCTAAGCCCATAGTGATGCCATCATCTTGTAACTCCATCTGAAAGACACACAAAAGGACATGGGGGCAGGAGGTGGGTGAGGGGCGGGAGGCAGAGTTCGGTCCATAAGCCAGCATTCTATTGGCATAATACTTGTCAATAATTAAATTACTTTGATACAATATATGCTTAAAGGCCATGAAGACACACTGCTTTCTAGCATCCATCTAAAAATAACGTAAATACATGATAAAGCAACAGATTATTCTTAAAACCACCTGAGTTATCACGGATGGTTCCAAGCCAACATGTGTTGGGATTCAAACCTGGGTCCTCTGGAAGAGCAGCCAATATTCTTAACCACTGATCCATCTCTCTAGTTCCTGTAACTTACTGTTTAATTTGAGGTGGGGAGGGTTGTTGTTGGGATTTTGTTTTGTTTTGTTTTTTATTCTAGAACAACCCAAGATTACTTAGTGTAATTATTTGTTGTATTTTCTACTCTCTCTCTCTCTCTCTCTCTCTGAAATATGGTCTCACTATTTAGCCCTGTCTGGCTCAGTACTCACTATGTAATGTAGACCAGGTTGACTCTGACCTTGCAATGGCCCTCCCGTCTCATTCTCTCAAGGGTTGGAATTAAAGGCAGGTGCCCTTGTACCTGTTGGGACAGTGACTTTCCATCCCTGTGGTGCTGGCATTTGCACTTAGGGCTTCCCACACACTTAAGTAGGCACTGTGCATTGAACTGTGTCGCTAGCCCTTTAGTCATTGTCTAGAATAGTCCCTTGGTCATTTTAATTCCTGCCTGTGATTGCTTTTTTGAGAATATAGTCCTGTTACCTTGTAAAATGTATTTCAAATAGAGTTTTCTTTTTCCATATTAATTATTTTCAGCCACACATTTTGGGGGAGGGCAAGAAGGTCACACACATGATGGTATATCCTCTCTAGTTATTGTATCAAGAGGCAGGGGCTCTTGTATCAAGAGGCAAGAGCAATGGCTCAGCACTTAAGAGTATTTGCTGCTTTTCCAGAGGACCTGAGTTTAGTTCCCAGGACCCGCCTCAGGCTGATTACAACTGCCTGTAACTCCAGCTGCAGGGGACCGGATGCCTTCTTGTGGGCTCACACTGCATCTCTAAGCAGACATATATACACATAATTAAACACTTTTAAAAGGCTTACATCAGGAAGCATGGGGTCGAATTACTGACCAGAGCTTGTGATCTCACCATCTGCAAATCCAACTACACCCAAGGACAAAAATAGTTGGAAAAGGTCCTTGCATCTTCCCTGAATATATACAGACTATCTCCTTCCTACCTATACTGTGTAGTGTAACAGCTATTCAGATGACACACACATTGAGTTAGGTGTTACAAGTATCAAGATATGTGAGTTGAAGCACAGGATGTACATAATGTTATATTAGGTACTGCTGTACACAAATTCCATGCCATTTTCTATATGAGACTTGAACATCCATGCATTATGGCGTCTGTGGATGGTTCTGGGATCTCCTGAAGACACCAAGAGAGGGTTCCTCTTTGCCTTCTGTAATTAGTACATGGCCTGTATGACTTCTGGTTTCTTATCAGACTCTGCTACTGGTTTTAACCTGGTGGATGGTTTATGCTGAGTCAATTGTTATTACAATGGCTTCAAAATTACCATATTCCAAATCCATCCCTTTTTCCTGTACTTACTGATGTATAGCGGGAGACTTCCCACTAAAGCAGCCTGTCCCTTCTCTATTGCTTGCGTGCTAGTCATCTGATCATTCCTGTGCCCGTGGAGTCACACAGTCTGCAGCCATGACTAGTTATTCTACTGCCCAGGCCACTCTGTGTCAGGTGAGTGTGAACTCCTTCAGACTGCCTGTTTCTTTTAACACATTCACACCACGTTCTTTCTTTCTCATTTGTGTTATCACGATTCGACCCGAGGCCTTGCACATTTGAGGCCCCACGCTACCACTGAGCTACATCCCAAGCCTTCCACACACTTTTAAAATAGTTCCTTGATTTCTGGCACTGGAAGACTTTCCAGATTCTTCCATTTCTCTAAGGAGCCCTGGTTCCTTTCCTTGGATACTAGTACTTAGAAATCAAGATCTGGACAGTAGGCGAGAAGCAACATCTTTTGAATGTGTAAAATCACAGTGATGAGTTGCAAAAGATTTATCTTTACAAACACACATGCAGGTAACCCACACACACTAGATAGATAGATAGATAGATAGATAGATAGATAGAAAGAAAGAATTTAAGTTAGGCTGAGTTTATTTTTTGTTTTGCTACAAATATGACAGCTATACTAATTCTAAAATGAAATTTTCCATGAGATAGTTATCCTTTCTGATTTGAATACACTCTGAAATGTGGAGATAGATACCTTGAATGCAATATACTCCCAAACAACTCACTAAGAAAACAAGAGCCAACAATGTCTGGAAAGTTTGAGAGCTGGGTGTTGGGGCCTCTCTGGATTATTCTTGCGACTTGATGCAAATCCAAAATAACTTCAGATTTTCTAATTACAAGGAAATGTCTTTCTCATCCTCTCATCAAAGCTGCTGCTGCTGCTGCTTTCTCCTTCTCCTTCTTTTTGGTTTTTTGAGACAGGGTTTCTCTGTATTGCTTTAGAGGTTGTCCTGGAATTTGCTCTGTAGACCAGGCTGGCCTCGAACTCACAGAGATCCGCCTGCCTCTGCCTCCCCAGTACTGGGATTAAAGGTGTGTGTCACCAATACCAAGCCCTCATCGGAGCCTTTTCAACTTTTAAAATTCCCTTCAGAAATTAGTTTATAAAACATAGCTAAGTTATCCCCATAGCTACAAAAGTCTCTGTGATCTTCTCAACAATAGCAGTATCCAGTTTTTTCATCCAACTTATTCAACCAAAACAGTGTTTCTAAAACTCAGATCTATTTTCACAAAGATATGCAGAGAGTCACATTAAGTCTGAAACTGTCTTAAGTGATGTTGCCCCACATCAATGGGAACAAAGAGGGCCAGCCAACAGATGGAATCACTAGGACAGGGCCCTGTTAATGCCCACCCTGTGAATGAAAGGGATCGCATGCTCCGCTACCTGCTTTAGGAGAAGATCAAACATGAGGATGAAACAATTTAGATTCATGTCATCATCTTCACAGTCAAAATCAATAGTCCTTCCTCCTGGGTGTCCAAAATTCTTGAAAGGACTACGAAATGGACTACGCATGGGACTCCGGAACGGACTCTGGAAAGGGCTATGAAATGGACTCAACATATTGTGCTGACCTCGTCGACCAGGATCAGAAGCGACACTCACCTGGAAGAAAGCAAACCAGCAAATGCAAATGACCTCAGGAAGGCTCCAAAGGCTCTCCATGGTGTCTGCTATCATTTCCCTCCCACCAAATGCTGTCAGAATAAACTACAGTGGCTAATTACTAAAACACATTGAGAATGAGAAACTGTAAAGTAAAATATTTTCAGATAATTTTTAGAGTTATAAATGGAGACTTCTAGATTGGAAGAACTTTAGACTGGCCCTGGAATTATAATGATCAAACTCACACAAGAAGGTACAAGGGACCTGCTGTACTTGCTGCTTCCCATGTACCCACTCAAGCCCCTCCCAAGGTCCTCACTGAGCTTTTCTATGCTCTGAACTGTGTCATCTGGCTCCTCTGCTGTCTGGTGTCCAGGTGGGTTCAGTCCGTGGGGGGCACCAGAAGAACACCAGGGCTGTAGAAGCAAGAGGTAGGAATATTTCTTGCCACTTCTGCCTGCTCTTCAGTGCCCTTGTGGTCATCACTCTATGATGACCTCTGTCAGCCACCTAGGGGAGGTCCAGCTCCAGGATGGCTGCTGGAGTCCCTCACCCTTCAGCCCTGCTGGTACAGTGGCTATCACAGGCTGTGGGTGCTTTATCATCCTTGCCTTTAACAGTGTTCATAACTTCACCAGCAGGATCCCCACTGAAGCCTCCCCCTTTTACTAAGGGTGATAAATTCTACGGTGGAGTCCTGTCCTGTCCAACATGTGCATCATGTTATGTCTGTGCATCATGCTCAACTACTGCTCTGTGCCATAAGGACTGTTCCAGTGGTCAGGAAGCACAGCGAACACTGTTCAGTTCCAGGTAAAGGAGATCACCCCTTATGATTTAGAATGCAACCTCACAGTGTCACCTCACTGGATCTTACAAGGTTCAGTGTCTACAAAAAGAGGATAATGGGTTCTTACAACTCTGTGGCATTGTTCAGTGTGAACCCTATACAGAATGAAGAGCCGTGTGACGCAAGCTTGCTATACAACCTGTGAGTTGCAAAAGGAAGAAAACGAGGTAGGCCACTGGGTCCTACCAGACAGGCGAGCGATGATCTTTTTCAGAAAAGCACTGAGTAAAACCTATGACCCCATGATCTCGTTAGGGTTTCTGATCCCCAGATTTCAGTTGAATGGCTTTGGGAGCATTCTGGGGACAGGCTTGCCATGCAGAGAGTTGAGATCTCAGGAACTGGCCTCTGAAGAACTACTCATGGTCTGAGAATATCCTTCTACCTACAGAAACTCCTTCAGGTCCTCCATGGACAGATTACAAAGACCACCAACCATTCCTGGGCACCTTTCTCAGCCACAAAGATGTAATAAAGGCCGCAGCTGATTTACAGGCATAGTATCATTTAAAGTCCCCACCAGTTGACCGTGTCTTCCCCAACACAAAACAAACACAAAATAGTCACCCCAGTTCCCCCCTCAGAGTGAAATATTGATCTGCCAGTAACTAGAAAAGAATTCCTCTTTACCAGGAAACACCCTACCCCCAGAGGTAGAATATAAACACACACACACACTTACTTGCCCTCTCAATGGCAAGAGAAGGCAAAATTAAATTAAAAAGACATGAAAACAGCAACTTACTGATTAAAGGCTATATCGAGTCTGTCTTTAACAAATGTGTTCTTATTTAATGTAATTAAAAGATTAATGGACTGGAACATGATGATATCTTTCCAAACAGATATCTAATGATACTATTTGGAGGCCAGAATAGCTAATCGATGCTTTCCCAAGTCTTAGTGAGTGGGACAAGAACAGTCGAGGCAATAATTACCCTTCGAGTTGCGGCGTTCCCTGACAGCTCATTGGCTCTTGATTTTCTTTGATTTGCCAATTCTTTGACAGAATTAACCCCATCAGAAAACATACTTATCAAGAGTTGAAGTGGAACCGTGATATCTAACTCCGACAGTACCTGAGGGGGAAAAAAATCACACCCATCCCCAAAAAGTAAATTTTCAACCTCAGAAAGGGAAATGTAACATTTTCTCTATGCAAACTGCTGAATGTAAGGACAGTTATCATACACATATGAGCACAGTCATTTTCCATTTTCCACAAGGGAGCCAGCCGTCTTCGGAACCTCCGTTCTCCCCTCCCACTGTCCAGTAAGCTCTCGCATTCTCTCCACTGTCTCCCGTGATGCTGTGTCCTCCTCTCTAGCATGCGCTGTGGGGCCTTTACTCTCAGCTAGCATCACTGCAGCACTGACCCTGGCCCACTCCCACTCCGACTGAATGCCGCATGCCATCTTGCTTCCTGGAGTAAACATCCTCTCGAGGCAAATACACCTCATCTGCAATGAACTTTCCTTTCTTCCGTCAGAATAAACCCACCCTCCTCTCCTCTTAGAACCCTCCTCGTGGCTTTCTGGAAGTGATCACCACAGGTACCATTCCACCCTCTGTCAGCTGCCTGAAAGATGGAAGAATGAGAAGAGACCTGTTTCTAACCCGCCCTTTACCCGACTGTATACAACAGGTCAGCAAGTGTTCCCACCGCTCGTTATTACCACGGGCCAGTTTTGAGCCCTATCTTGTCCATTCTCTGCAATGGTTAGGCCAGTGCTTTGAAGCCTTCAATTGCAGCATCAGCCTTCTGAGCAACGTAGAAGGCCCTGAGTTCGATCCCCAGCACCACAGAAAGCAAACTTGTAATCATAGTTAAACTGTGGCTCTTCCCTCATTTTGGGCAGAGCCTAAACTTCATGGGAGGGTACTCATTTTCACAGTTTTTAATTATTTTTTTTTAAACTGAGTGTTCATTAAATAAAATGCATATCCAAATGCTAGGAGGAAGGCATGGGTGGGCCATAAAGTAAAATAAAAAGGTGTGGTCCCTGAATTTGAGGGTTTGTAAGCAGAGGAAAACCAACCCCTATAACTACCCCCAAAAAACACTATTCGAAAGGAGAGAATTCACTAAGAGAACCCGCCAGATGCTACAGGAAGGAATGATGATCTGGGTGGACGGAAAGCCATAGAAAACTTGAGAGGAGGTAATTTGCGAGATGGGCTTTAAAAGATTAAGCTTGTGCTCTTTAATGGAGACAGAAGTGGAAGTCATCACGGGCTGAGGGGACAGCACAAACCATTCCATCCTTGATTACTTCTCAGTCCTTCCAGGCAAAGGCAATTTCTCTAAACCCAGAACACCTAGGCAAACCCAAGGCCCTTGAGTTTGGTATCATTACCAAATCTGTTTATTCACTCTAGCTACAGCTACATGATCTGAAACTTAGCCGTTTATCTCTGCGCATGTGACATTAGCCTTCAGCACTCTTATAAACACGAAGATTTGGAGTCTCTGCAAAAACCTTCCCCCCTTCCCCTAAGCATCTAAAGCTTGGTGGCCAGAAGCTTTAGATGGCTCAAAATGGTGACATTGTTCACTTACATGAAGCCAGAGTAGCGCTTGCTCCTGCACCGTGGAAGGATATCCTGTAAACCGGCAGCTAATAAAGCCAAACATCTCTTCCATTGAAAACGGCAGAGGACACAGCTCTATGTCAAACATTTTGCTGGAAAGCAGAGCAACAGAACTAAGTGACCGGTGGGCACACACCAAAGACTACTGGTGCCACGGAAGTATCCCTAACTATAACCTTGGAGAGCTAAGGCCTTGTGTCCTCATTGGACATTCACATGTTTCACTACTTTAAGTGGAGAGTTTCCATCAATAAGTAGAAACAATCCTAAGGTCATGATAAGATTGCATTAGCATTCATCCCCATACAGGACTTAATAGAAGAAACTACCCCAGCATCTAAAGACATTTCCCTTTATACTTTCCAAGCATATCCCAGCAACCATATCCGGAACTAAACAAAGGGAATGATATACATGCACTTCTCCCTGAGAACAAGTCCTTTTCTGAATAGGTTCAAGCCACCTTAGCTCAGTTGTGGCAGCATTTGATCTGAGCACCTCACATCCCTCCACAGGTTGGTTAGCTGTAAAGACTATGTAAGATCATCAGCAGAGAGCCTGGCATATAGTACATGCTCTGTGAGTGTCAGATAGAGCTACAGGTAGTGACTTCATTAAACTACTTACCCACCTTAATACTTCCCTGAATTCCTTTAACTGGTTATCAGGGACTTCTGTCCGGATGGCTTCCAGCCACTCTGGCATGATGCACTCCCACACAGACTGGCTGATCACATTGTAAGGGATCAGGCAGAGAATCCTGTTGAGACCTTCCTTTAACTGAGTCACCGTGCTGCAGGACTTATCCCAGTATCCGCCAACCTGACAAAGGCAAAAGAAACAAGACATACTCCTTACAATTACTGTCAAGGACTTCTTAGAAGTGAATAGGCCTATTACGAGTCACAGGCCAAGGATCTTCGGAGCGAGATCTGTGAGAATCCTCAAGTCACCATTAAGATCCATCAGTGAATATCAAGTGTCTCTGCAGGAAGACATTAAGTCCTTCGGGGAAATGCCCAGCAGTGGTACAGCTGTGTCATATGGTAATGCTATGTCTAATTCTTGATAAACCTCAAGATAGATTGCTAAAGACGCCGCATTACCCTCCACTCCCACCAGCAATGAGGGTTCCCCTTTCCCCACATCCATGTCAGCGTTTGCTGCCACTTGTATCCCTGATGGTGGCCATTTTGACTGCTATGAGACTGGATTTTTTTTTTTAAGACAGGGTTTCTCCTCTGTGTAGCCCTGGTTGTCCTAGAACTCACTCTGTAGACCAGGCTGGCCTCAAACTCACAGAGCTCTGGCTGCCTCTGCCTCCCCGCTGCTGGGATTAAAGGTGAATGCTACCACCTCCCAACAAGACTGAATCTAAAGAGGCTTGAATCTGCATTGCATAATGACTGAGAACACTGAACACTTTTAAATTTGTGTTTCTTCTTTGGAGGCCTTCACACTAAACTCCATAACAAAAAGAAAACACAGTTACAGATCAGCCCCAACATTGACCACAGACTGAATTTGAACTATTTTGCTGTGGACTTCCAGAGCTCATGTGAGCTGTAATTCCAAAGTTCTGCTCCTAATGTGATGAACAACAGTGAAAAATCCCCTTTTAAAGCTGTATCAGTGTGCAGTTGCTCCTGTCTGCAGAGAGACACAGGACTACAGTTTCCCTTTATGAACAACACAATACTGTTTCTCTCTACTCTTCATATTCTGGCAATAGGTTGCTTTTTTAAAGAAAGTCTAAGGTCTAGCTGGGTGTGGCAAGACACTCCTTTATCCCCAGCTCTCAGGATACCGAGAGATCTCTGAATTTGAGGCCAGCCTGGACTACAGATGGAGTTCCAGGACAGCCTTGGCTATACAGATAGACCCTGTCCTGAGAAAAGGAAGTTACAGGGGGCGCACAGGGCCACATGTGTCTTTTCATGTGGATTCTGGTGCTTTGGACTCAGGTTCTGACGTTTGCCAGGCAAGCACTCTACCACTTTGCCATCTACATAGTCTGTTTCTAAATTTTCTCTCACCATCCTGGCCCAGCATCAACAGAGAACTAAATTCAGTTGTCCAGATTCTTACTATGAGTGGGTATTCTTGGGTCGACAAGATGGCTCAGCAGGTAAAGGAACCTATTGCCATGCCCAAGTCTAAGCTCCACCTCTCAGATCAGCATGGTAAAAGAAGACACACACACACACTCTCTCTCTCTCACTTTCTCTCTCTCTCTCTCTCTCTCTCTCTCTCTCTCTCTCTCTCTCTCTCTCTCTCTCTCTCTCCCCTTTGGATGTACACCTGTCCAAAACCGTGAAAGGTTTTTTTTTTTTTTTTTTTTTTTTTTTTTTAAGTACTGGGTAGTCTTGTCCCAAAGCCTACAAGCTGAAGCTCAAAGACTCAAGCCTCAAAAGATTTATCCACAGCAGTTCAAGTCCCTTGGGAAATGCACCAAATACCTACAACTTTCACGTTGCTTACGGGAAACAAGCATCACTGTGACACTAACATCCTCACTTTGCTACTGTCTAGAAACCTTCATTCCTGGCTGCTCGCCCTCAGAAACAAGGTCTGTGATCTACCATGGTTCTCTGCTCCTCAGGATAGCTCTAATCTCTGACCCCCTTTGTGGGTTCCTAGTCATGTAATCATTCTGACTAGAACCCTCTGCACACAGTCTGCCTGGCATCTTTGTTACAGGTAAAATGTCAAAGGAGGTCACAGAGAAAGAGGTATGGAAGACACTCAAATTCCAAACTGCTAAACAGACTGTTTCAAACTGAAAACACTTGAGTTAAAAAATGAAAAAGAAAGCATATCTGCCCAAAGCAGAGGGTTTTGAAAATGCTCTCCCATTTATCCCCTTCAAAGAGCTTGTCCTGAGAGAATTCAGCCACCCGGAGGGAAGTCACTTCTCCAGCTTAGCTTCAAGAAGGCAAAGCCATATTGCGTTTGGTATGGAAATCTTAAATCTCTGACAGTTCAGGGAGTAAATCTATCATCCCTCATTATTCTCATCCACGCGCCTTCTCTCCTAATTAATCCATTGTTGGCTCCCTCGTAGGACCCACTTTGGAAGAGGAAAAGTTTTGCTTTTTTATCTCCCAGAATCACAACAAACCAGCCTTCTATAAGAGAAATAACGGGAGCATACCAAAAACACCACCAACTGGAAATTGTACATCATGTAAAAAGTCGATTTTACAAATGAGTCAGTAGGTGGCAGCAAATATGAAATAAGTAAATCATATCTCTGTAACTGCTCAGCCATCTGGATCCTGGAATCAAAGCTATTCCCGCAGATGCTCTGTACTCTGATTTCTCCTCCAGTGTCTCATTTCAGCACAGCTTTAAAATGAAGATGATCTCGAGGTTCTTTTTCAAAGAAAACAAATTATTAAAAATAAAACCTAGAAAACACGTTGAAAAACAAAACTCACGGAATGCTTCCAAAAACTGACTCTGGGCCTCCGCCTTTCGGGGTTAGGCACAAATTATATTGTAATGAAGAAGTGTGGGGTCTTCCCCAGCTAAGCATCTGCAACTAGTGATCCACTGAGGTAGCAAGAGAAGAGGCACAGAGAAATCTGTCCTCCAGTGCAAGGACTGGGGATTCTGATAGTTCTAGGAACCAGTTTGGCGTTTTAAACGTCATGGAATAGACTTCCACTGTTACTGGAGTAACAGTGAGGAGAAGCTAATTTGGGGCAGATGGACTGGAGTGGATTCCCAACAGACAGACTGGGTCTGTCCACGCCTCCCAGAAATCAAAGCAATGACTGAAGACCAGAAAGGAATTCCATATCGGGGATGACCACGCTGGGAAGACAGAGAGGGTGAGGGCTGTGTTCTGGAATATTGGCAGAGGCAATCGGAAGAGGCAAGGAGAAAGAAGTGAAGCCCACGTGATGGAGCCGTCTCGGTGAGCTGTGGTCTTGTTGGCCATTACCTCAGTTCTGCTCACACAGAGTGTTAAAACCCTGTTAAGAAATGTGCCCCAAAAGAGAGGGAGGGAGGCAATCAGGCCGTTCCCCTTAGCTCCCAGGTCATGTGTCTAACAGACCTGTGATGCTGGAAGGGGGGTGATCTGTTTCCTGTGCAATGCCTGTCCTGATTGAGGGGTGGCAGTCTCTCTTCACGGGGTGATACGCAAAGCTCAGCTGTCCCTGGAAGGTGTGCAGTGATTACTGAAGTCTTCAAGGAACCATCACAGAGACCTGAAAGCAGGACACCTTACAAACTGGTGGTTGACCACTTGCTGGAAACACCTTTGGGCTGCTTTTATCTTGGTGTCTTGAGCCTTGCAGAGGCCTAAATAACTATTACAGCTCACCTGTAGGCACAGTTGAGCAGGTGGGTATCTGACCTAGAGACGATGTGTGGAAAATGAAGCTAGGGATGCCATGCTTTACCTGCTTTTAGTGATCTACCCGGGCATGTACAAGCCCAAGTAACAATCCATTGCTTTTACTAAAACTTATCTCAGACTCATTGTCATTCTGCCATAACCTAGAAATTCACAGGAAGCTGCAGAAATTCTCCTCGTTGGCTGTAAGCCAGGAAAGAACTGAGCCCCCCAACCCCACAGAAACCATTATTATTATTTCTTTCTCATCTAAAAACAAGCAACACCAAGAATGAACATATAAGTTATTAGACATCTCAATATCCCATCATACCATTCTTCTTGATTCTGAACCAATGCCAAAATGGCATATCACCAAAGATGTAGGTATTACACTAACCACCCTGTTGTTGGCTTGTGTGGATTTGCTTTGGATTTTTGACACAAAGTATTGAATTATAGCCCTGACTAGCCTGGTACTCACTGTGTAAACCAAAACACCATGGCCTCATACCAATCCTCTCTCCTCAGTCTCCCAAATTCTGGGGTTCCAGTTATATGCCACCACACCCAGGTGAACTAACTGTCTTTGGCTGTTAACACAAAGAGAGGGAAGGTCAAAGGTGGCATTCCCCACCCCAAGTCCTCCCCAACAGCAAGGTTCAGATGAATGACCTCTACTTACCCTGGCAAATTCCATGGGTTTGGGAAGAAGGCACATGACCATGACATCAAAACGGACATCACATACTGTCTTTAGCCACTTGGTAACAAACTGAGGCTTTAGTTTTTCCACTAAGCTTCCAACTTCATCATCCATCATGTAGGCTGTGGAATGAAACCACTGAAATACCATGGCCACCAGCCGGGCCAGGCTCTCCGTGGGCGTGTTCTCACTGGGTGTGCAGAGACTCACCTAGGGTAGGCAGAACAGACCTCAGTCAGGCTCCACCCATCCAGCTTTACAAAATTATTACAAGTATATTTAAAGACCCCCCCAAAAAAATGACGGCAAGGTCCAGATGATTCAAAATCAGAATGTTAGAAATGATTATCACCTGTCCAGAACTTGAGTCCTTTCTAAACACATGCATGGGTTGCCATGGTAATATCCCCTTAGCATCCAATAAGCATTGCTTTCCTAGTGTAACTCTATTATGTAAACTGAACTAGAAAAAAGTTCCAAAAGATTAAGTCCATGAAGTGATATTTCACTAATAACATCAGTGACAAAAATCCACAAATATTTAAGTTCTCAAAAGATCAGATTCAGGTAACAATTTTTTACTGGTAGTAATTCTGAAACCTCTCAATTTACCATATTACAAGTCATTTTTTAAAACATCTCCATTAGAAACAATATTTTATTGAGCACTTGGAGGAGTCCAAGAATACAAAATTAATTAATTAGTTCATTAATTAAAGCATTGTTCCTGCCTTCTAAGAGTTTTCAACAAAAGGTGCCACCATGCCCCTATATAATAAGTCCTTGGAAGCAAGACATGTAGAATCAACAATTAATTTCCAATTTGGTAGTCTTTTTTTTTTTTTCTTCCCAGATCTGTGCAAGCATAGAAGAGAGCAATCTCTATGGAGACAGAATCCTTGACTCTAGCAGTCAAGGAAAAAAAAGCCTGCATCTCCACAGAATGGGCTCATTCAGCTGGGTCTTTGCTGTGTTCGGTCTCCACCGGATGAGTGGTATGGCTGACTCAAATGTAACCCACTCACTCAACAGCAGACTGACAATAATACTTATGACACATAGAACCCATTAAATAAACGAAAACTTGCTTGTGTACAGAAATGATGAGATATAAATGATCTGGGGCTTACATTGAATCCATACTCAACACCCTGCACTAGCAACCCTCCACTGTGTTTTGTGAGGGCTGTGCGCTTCAGTCTGGCAAGGCCTTGGCACTGTGGGCCTCGATGCCTGCTTGTCTGTTAAAGACAAACTCTGTGAGCGAGCACTGACAATCTCAAAACTAAAATACTGATCCACTCTGAAAACTTTAAAGACGTTCTGCATGCTAAAATTTAATTGTTTGCATAAAAACTAACGTGTGTATCCATCTCATTATTATGTAGCTTCTTTCATCTTTAATAAATGATGAAATCATATGAGTACCGAAAATTGGTTGTAAAATAAATTTCTTTATAACAAAAAAGAAAAGTTCCCAGGATTCTGGAGATGAATCTGGGCGTGGGGCCCTTCTAAAAACACTCTGGGGTGAATCTAACAGAACTGAGAACTTCTACCCTGCCTCTTGGGGGTTACCACCTATTTAAAGGGTTAATTCTTCACTACTGTGTCCCTTCAAAACAACAGGAGACATTCCTCATCAGACCCAAGGAAGGAAGGAAAGCATTGTGACGGGCGGGCGTCTTTTTCTTACTAGGAACCATATTCCGAATTGGCTGAGCAGCCTCTGGTCATGCTTGTCGTCGTCCTTGTTATCAAAGTCAGCATTGTCCAGGGAGTGGTGGGAGGAGGAGAGGCCCAGCTGCCGCCGGCGGTTCAACTCATGTTCCCTCTGCTCTGCGTGGAACTCGGCCTCTTTCAACAAACTGCCCAAGAAGGGTGAGTTCCAGTAAGACAACGGAAAACACAGCCCAGGCAGCCTACCGCTCCCGATTGCCTCACCAGTCACCCTCCTCCAAGTTCATGTCACTCGCCCAGCAACCCTAGCTTCATTTTCTTACTATTTTATATTCCCCATCTCAAAGATTAGCCAAGAGACTCCTTCCAAATGATCACACGGAGGCTCCTCAGCCCCCCACACAAAGCCATTTGCACCCAGGTGAAGAAAAGACAGCAGCTGGTGTTCAAGGCTCTGGAAGTGAGGCGGTGGTTCCTGCCCGAGCTTACTAAGCAAGTAGGGACAAAAAGTAAGGCTAGCTAATGTTGGCAAGGGGTCAGCAAAAGCAAGTGACTTCATGCACACTGTCACACTGTTGGCATTGTAAACCGATACTCAGGCTTTCAAGAGCATTTAGGTTACACGTTATGAAAACTCTGACCAGCTAACCCACATCTGAGACTATAAGGAGGCACAAAACACCAAAGAGTTGTTTATGAAATACATAAAAAAAAATGAAAACCATCTAAATATATAATGGCACAGAAAAACAAATTATAACTCTGTGTGTGTGTGTGTGTGTGTGTGTGTGTGTGTGTGTGTTTGTGTGTGTGTGTTGATATGTAGTGTATACACTGAGTTGGGGATATGGGTATGTACACCTGTGTGTGCACTTGCACAGGCCAGAGAAGGACACTGAGGGTTCTTCCTCCATTGCCCTCTCCTTTATTCTATTTAGAGGGTACCCTGCTAAACTAGGAGCTCACCATGTTCAGGCTGACAGGCCAACACACCCTCAGGATCTGCCTGTCTGCTCCCCAATGTCGCAGTTACGGGCACAAGTAGCCATCCATGCCCAGCCTTTTACGTGATTGGTGGGATTCAAACACAGGCCCTCCTGCCTGCATAGAAAACATCCTTACCCACTGAACAGTCTCCCCCAGCCCACTCCGTGGAGTTTACATATGGACCATAAAGTAATAAATATAAAAACTTCAGCACAACATGAAAAGAGCAGCTTGAATGTTGACTCAGAACGAACCATGGGTTCACCGTATTCACGATCATATAAACAAAACATGCATAGAAAACAACTAGGTAATGTATGAACCTGTACAACTGCATTTCGATCTTTGTTTTCTGTAATGCTATTTAGTGATCATCGCAGTTCTATTATGTGTTTGTCATTGGTATGACAGAAATAGAAAAGACACGGTCTCTTTAAAAAACGGGCATTTCGTGCTACTTCATCTCTAACTATCTCGTGATTTTGGGTAGTATCTGAAAAGAGAACAGATCCAGATGCTGTGGTGTGAAAGGATGCTTTCTCTGTCATCTAACAGAGCCTTGAGCAGCCCGGTAGCCAGAGCCGTCTGACTCCCTCAGCCTGGAAGTCTGCCTCAGCACCTCACCACCTGGCTCTCCCGCGCCTAATTACTAACAGACAGGAAGAGTGGTACCTCTGGGCTCTGCAGCCCTCCTCCTGGCTAACACTGCCATGGCTCAAACCCTCACAATGATGGGAGCCCCCACTTCACCGCCCCAACATCTCTGCTCATGCTGCCCTGCCCTCGCCTGAGCCTACCACAATTATACGTTTCCGGTCCTCTAGTCCCTGCTTAGGTAACTGAAGGGCACTTGTGTCTCCCAAGTACCTGGCGCAAGGCCTTGAACGTGATTGTCATTCAAACAAAATATTTATTGAATTCATAAATTTTATTAGAACATCTCCATGGCAAGAGAGGGCAGAGCATGAGGAACCAGAGAGAATTAGCCCACCTCAGCGTCTTCGGAGGAGCCCAAGGTTACCTGATCACGGCCTCCACTGCACAGACCAGCTCCTCTGCCCCGCACTCCCGGGTGTTGATGGGGGGTGGGGAGGTCTGGTAGAGGTGTGTCTCTGCGGTGGCCCCCACCTCATTACTGTGGTGATTGGAGTGGCATCTTTTGCAGTACCGAACAGGCCTGTTTCCGTGACGACCACAGCACCCTGCGGAAAAGCAGGTGACGACTGCCCTTCTGACATGGGAGCTGCAGTTCTGCAAGCAGAGAAAGTCGAGCCAATTAAAGGCGGTGGCTTCTGAGACAAACTCAGATGAAACCCTGGAGCAAATGGAACCTCAAGGGACCACCAGAAGTGACCGAGTTTCCAAAACGCAGGGTGTCTAGGTGTTTTATTCTAGTGGAAAGGGTAGGTATGGTCTAGAAAGCAATGGAACTGAGTTAGGAAGCTGAATTATTTGAACGTAGCGCTTAAGATTTTCCAACAGAAATTAAAACTAAAAAGCAAGAACCATGACGCAGAGAAAACACATGACAGCACCCCAGAATCAGCAAGAAAGAATATCAACTTCCAGCATAATCCTTTTAAAAATTAGTTTATCTACCACTGGCAGAGTACATTTCCCCTGCAGTTCATCTGTCCTTGGCATTCAAGGACGGAGGGAGGTTATGCTGTGCTGGGCTAACAGGCCCACAGCAGGGCCATCCCCAATCCACCACCAAAGGCTTAGAGAATACACCACACGGCACTACAATTACCAAAGCACTGCTAGACCTAGTCCGAGAATGGCCACTGGCATCAACCACAGAAGGACCAACAGGAAGTGAGGGCAATGAGAAAAGCCACAAAGCAGGAAGGAGAGGCCTTTGCATGGGGTGGGGTGTGAGGGGACCCTCAGCACTGCCCTGGCAAGAGGCAGGGGAGTGTGGGGAGGAATCTGGGAAGCTCTGGGGCAGCAGGAAACACCCTGACAGCAACACCACCCTTAGACGAAGCCCACATGCTTGACAGATATGAACATCTCAAGGGCAAACAATATCCTGGGTTTCACCAACTCGGAGTTTGTGAGGAGTGGGGCACACTCCTGACAGAAATCCCAGGGAGTCAGGAGGAAGGCTCCAAGCACAAACTCTCCGTCAGCACAGGAGTGATCAAACTCTCCATCAGCACAGGAGTGATGCGAAAACCACCTGTCAGTAGGAATTGCCATTTCACTTCTAGTACACTAGCGTTAGAAAAATCTTTTTTTTTGTTTGTTTGTTTGTTTTTGTTTTTAAACTCGGGCCAATAAACCATCAAAGCAAGACAGGGGCATTTAAATCTTTATGCTTTACACAGCTGCAGTTTTTCTAACAGACAGACAGCAGCCATGTGTTTGTCACCAAGTTTAAAATATTTGTAGCATATTCTTACTAGTTTTTTAAAAAGCTGCTGAGTCTTCTATTAAAAGTCCCTGTGGTTGTCAGTACTGTAGAGCACTATCCTTGCAGGATAATGGTCCTCACCCTCCTCGGAGCCACTGTGACTCTCTGAATGAGAGCCTCAAAGTTAGGCCTGTTGACTGTTGACCTCCCCTCACAGAAGGAGGATGGGGAGGGTCACCAGACCCTTGTCTGAGAGTCTAGACACTCCATCCTGCACTTCTAGCCAGCTAAAAGCAGTTCTGCCTCAGCTGCAGGTGCCTTATGGTCTCAGAAAATGCTAGAGTCCAGAGAGTGTGGAGTATTAACTGAAGAAGGGAATCCATCTATAAGGGAGTTGTCACACACTTCCTGGTGGTGTTGCTGTTTTGGGGTCAGCCACACTGACCTCTCTTTAAGTGACCTCTCTCCCATTTCTACAGACAAGCCTTTGGGTCTTGATGGAATAGTACTTTGGTGTTTTGTGGGTGCCCTGTCTGGGGGGGAGGGAGGAGACATTTGGGTTGCCCTGGGAAATGTTCACTCAATGACCTTCCTCTGTCAGACTCTGAGTTTCACTCTGTAAGCACAAGAGTTCTTATTAGTTTAGGGTCCCCTGTCAACCCCCCCAGCTCACCCACCAACGGACATCACCCTGTCAGGAGAACACTATTTCTCAGCATACATTCTTAGTGGCCTTTCTTCCCTTGTAGCTGCTGCTATGACCTGAACCCCCACCCCCAAACTCCCTGTATTGAAATTTTAACCTCCACATGATAGCATTAGGAGGTACAGTCTATAGGAGGTGGGTAAGTCATGAGGACAGAGCATCAAAAATGGAATTAGCATCCCTGTAGAAGAGGCCTAGAGAATGCTAGCTAGGAAAATATGACACAGGAAGATGCCACACTTGGGGAGCAGACATCACGTTTACCAATGCCCTGACCTTGAACTTTCCAATAAACACATATTGCTTGGATAAACCCAATCCATGACTGTTTGTAGCAGCCCAAAGGGACAAAGAAAATTATAATTAGCTTTAAGTTCCTTTGAGGTTTTCACTGTTACATAAATAATTGGGTGTGGACATGATATCATCATTAGCCAGAATATCGTCCTGGAGTTTAAGGTCAGCTATTTCCACCCCCTACTTCCAACTGTCCATATACTCCCTAGATCCTAGCATCGTCTTTAAATTTTCTGGCTTTTTGCTGTTAGATTTCATGGTTCACCATGGAGCACCACATGGAGGTGCAAGGGCATGGCAGAGACAGCAACCGGGCTCTGAAGAGGAACTCTTAACAGATGGTCCTCAAATGGCAGAAGCGCTTGAGCAGGTAGGGAGATCACATGGGAAGCCAGACACCAAGAGGGGTCAAATTTTGGTCTTCCGTAACCACCATTCTGTGGGAACTCACTGGGGCTCTCTGAGACTGTGGAGAGCTATGCAATCTGTTCCAGAGGCTTTACTGAGTCACTTCCCCCTAGGCACCATCTCTTAACATCATCATCCTTGGGACCAAACTTTCAACACATGAGCCCTTAGGAAACAAACTACATCCAAACCATAGTACTAGGTTTCTCATAGCACATGGGAAGATTCTGGAGGGACACCCTGAAAGTATGTGCTCAAGATGACCAGGAGTAAGATGTATGACGTTTGTGACCCAATCTAAGTCACACAGAGTCACTTCTGTTACCTGAAGACAGCCACATGTCCCCAACCCAAGAGGAGAAGCATGGGTTCTGCTTCTCACTGAGAGGAGAGTCAAAGAAAGGCATTCTGACCATAGCCATTCTCTTCCTCTCGCCTTAAATGTACTCCTCCTGCAAGGAGCCCCCAAGACTCACTGAGACCACTGTCCCAGGCATCACGGCTCATCTCTGTCACACACCATTTGAGCCCTCGCCCAGAGAATCCGGTCTATAACTAATGCCCCTCCCTGCCACTGATGCGCAGTTGCTCCGAGTTTGGAAGAGAACTGAGCACCTGGCAGTGTGGTGCTGCCGCGATTGATAGACAGCTCACACCGAATGGCTGCCATGATAGACAGCTCACACCGAGTGGCTAACTTCGTAACCCACAAAACTGGAAAGTTTTGAAGACATGGTTAGTAGAAGTCAGATACGCCTCAGGGAGGGCTTAGAGGAAATGGAGAAATATTGTCATGCTGGGAAAAAGGAACACGCAGTAAAATGTTTTGCTATGATGCTACGCTGGTTGTGGGAAGCAGGAAAGACAGGCAAGGGAACTTGGAGTTACAGGTAACACCTATGTGTTTCTTCTTAGAGGAGAGCCGAGGAGATGGCTCAGTGGGTCAAGACTCTGATGCCCAGAAGCTGTGGGAAAGCTGGGCGCAGTGGTTTATATCCAAAGATGGAGATCTGGGGGTGGACGGGAGACAAGCCACACTGGAGTCTCACTGGCACCCAGTCCAGCTGAAACCAGACTCCAGATTCACTGGGAGTCTGTCTCAAAACACAAGGCCGAGAGTGATGGAGGAAGACACCTCATGTCAGCCTGTGGCCTCCACATGCACGTGAAAAGGTAAGCACGATTGCTTGCACACACACACACACACACACACACTGTGAGAGGGAAGGTGAACAGAAGAACTAATAGTTCTAGTTACAACTAGAGTTTAAAGAGAAAATATTGAGCCAGGACACTCTTTCCAGTCACTGGTTTAAGATTCTCAAGGTAAGAAAAGATTCCTGGGTAAACACTAGATCCAGGGATCCATCAGGAAAATGTCTTGGGGGGGGGGGATGATGACAGGGTGAGATATAAAGCCATGTTTTAAGACTCAGAATGAGCACACACTTTTAATCCCAGCACTTGGGAGGCAGAGGCAGACAGATCTCTGAGGCCAGCCTGCTCTACATAGTGAGTTCCAGGACAGTCAGGGCTACATAGAGAAACAGCGTTCAAAAAAAAAAAAAAAAAAAAAAAAAAAAAAAGAAGAAGAAGAAGAAAGGAAGGAAGGAAGGAAGAAAGGAAGAAAGGAAGAAAGAAAGAAGAGAAAAGACAGAAAAAAAAAAAACCACTCGGAATGTGGTGTGTTACATCATAGTCTCTTTAGGCAAAGACCTGAAGATTTTAAGGGCATACTCCACTAGCCTTGCTACTAAATAATAGATTGCTGAGACTGTGAGGCATTAGTCCCAGAAGCCTCGAGGAGAATACAAGATATAGCCAGGCTTATCTCACAGAGATGGGCCTTTAACTTGTATTTAATGAAAGAGGTTTATAATGGGCACATAAAAGCACACAGTATTTCTTGTGGGTTGTCAGGGTGGACTGAGAAGGATAGGGACAGTCTGAGAGGAATATTCTTTCAGGCTTGCAGGATTCTGAGGGCAAAGAGTGAGCTGCTAAATCTGCTTATCCTGGCCAATTTTATGTCACCTGGACACAAGCTAGGGTCACCTGGAAGGAGGGAGCCTCGGTTGAGAGAAGGCCTTCATAAGAGCAGGCATTTTCTTAATTAGTGGTTGGTGTGGGAGAACCCAGTCCATCCCTGGGTTCTGGGTTCTGTAAGAAAGAAGGCTGAGCAAGCCAGTAAGCAGCTTCCCTCCATGGCCTCTGAATCAGCTCCTGCCTCCAGGTTCCTGCCCTGTTTGAGTTCCTGACCTGCCTCCCTTGGATGATGACTAAGGATTGGGAAATATAAGCCACCCTCTCCTCTCCAACTCACTCTTCCCCATGGTGTTTCATCATAAAAAATAGTACCCAAACTAAGACAACTTGGTACCAGGGTTGTAGGGTATGGAATCCGGGCTTATGAAGTATTAGAGGGAAGTTTAAAGACCGTATTGGGGTAATTTGTTATTGTGAATTAAGAATCTGTGGCTCTGGTTAGCTGGGGCTGAAGAATCAATGGTTATTAACAGAACACAGACTTTGCTGGGATACTAGATGCTGGCTGGCCAGAGCTGAGAAATTAGCAGTGGTTAATAAGAGACCAGCATTGTGGAGGTGAAATCTTAGGAAGTGCTTCCTAAGAGCCAGCACACTGAAGCTGTGTTCCAAAGGCGGCCAAGGTTGTAGTGAGTGCTGGCAGTCAAACTTGGTAGTGTTACTGTGTAAGGAGTACGGTTTTTTACTCCCGCCGCCACGCCAGCCCCAAATAAAGCACAGAGACTCTGTATTTGATACAATGCTATTGGCCAGGTGCTAGTTTCTTATCGGCTAGCTCTGTCTTAATTATTAACCCATTTCTATGTATTTCCACGTGGTCTTCTTACCGGGGAAAGGGGCCAGGGTCTCATCTCCCCAGTCTCTCCATCTTGGCTCCTCCTTACTACTTCCTCTTTCCTCCTTATCTCCTAGCCCCTCCTATCTTCCTTTCCTATTGGCCAACAGTGCTTTATTCATTAACCAGCATGAAAAACATTTACAAAATGACATCTCCCATCAGTACTGGTTTTGAAGACATCAATGGGGTCACAGAGAGCAGCTGAGGCTTGGCACTGTGAGGGGCCAGGAGAGGCCATTGGTGAAGGTGCAGCCTCAGTGGCAGCTGAAGGCCCAGGACTGAAGGGCTCATGCAGAGAAGTTGAGGCATGGCGCCATGAGGAGAGCCTAGGAGAGGCTTTGGTGAAAGTGCAGCCCAGTTGCAGCAGACAAGCGCAGTTTTTAGAAGATGTCAGAACCATGGGATGACCACCGAGAACAGCGGCAGCCATGGGATGGAGCCTGCCCAGGCTTAGCAGACAGGCTACGTGTGCTTCAGAGGGCAGAGCTAGGAAGTGACCCAAGCCCTTTGGAGGAGCCCAGGAGATCGTGAGTGAACCCCAGACATTGAACACTGCACTATTTACACAGATGTGATTTTGGTTTGGCTTTAATCTGGTTCTGACTGTGCCCTGGATCTTCCCTCTTGAAATGAGAAAGCATCTAACTTATTTTTTATTATAACTGAAGCTCACAGCTGAGAGACTTAATTTTTAAGGAGATTTGGGGTTTTAAAAAGAGACTTTAGATTTTTAAAGGAGACTGAATTTTGAGGTGTTTTAGTTTATAAAGACTGGGATTTTTAAGTTTGCAAAATGTTTTATGTTGTGATGTTGATGTTAATTTGTGATCTTGGAGATGAACAAGGAAGGAAAGGCTGTCTTGCTAGTGATGGGTTTGTGTGTCAAATTGACGAGGGCTCAATTGTCGTGGCTAATTTTCTGTCAACTTGACCCAGCTAAAGTTGTCTGAATGGAGGGAACCTCAAATGAGAAAAAGCCTTCATAAGATCAGGCTGCAGATGAGCCTGTAGAGCATTTACCTTATCAGTGATTGATATGGGAGGGCCCAGCCCATTGGGGGTAGAGCCACCCCTGGCTGGCCTTCTTGAGTTCCATAAGAAAAGAGGCTTGGCAAGCTGTGTAGAGCAAGCCAGTAAGCAACCCCCCTCCATGGCCTCTGCATCAGCTCCTGCCTCCAGGTTCCTGCTGTGTTTGAGTTCCTGTCCTGGCTGGCTTCGATGATGAACAATGATCTAGAAGTGTAAGCCACCCTTTCCTCCCCAGTTTGCTTTTGTTCATGGTGTTTCATCATAGCAATATGCCTAACTAAGACACTTAATCTGCTCACAGATCTCCCTCTACTTTGTGCTGACCTTCAAGTTGCTTTACCCAGTGGTTTGCAGCAGAACTGGTGCTGTGTGACATTTAAGCATTAAGTCACAGAGACCTTGCAACCTCCTTTCCAACTCTTTCAAAACACCACTGCCTGTGCACAAGCCCAGCCTAGCCTCCTAGAAGATGAGACTTCTCAAGGAAGGAGGGAAGCCTTGATACCTCACCATCTCGGCCATTCAGCCAACCTAGCTAAGGTCCCACATATGCTATGTGATGATCACCATCTGTTATCAGCCAAGCATCATTCTTTACATTCTCTACCTGTCACTCCCCCACTGACCCCCCACCCACCCACTCCCACCCCCCACTCCCACCCCATCTCCACTACATACCAACAACAACCTAATGTAAGCACAGAAAGGAGCCTCGAGGAGTTCATTAGCCAAATTGCCAATCCACAAAATTGCAATCAATTGATTGCAATAACTGATTATTGCTGGTAACCACTGAAATTCAGGACAGTTTGCTATATATCAATAAATAAGCAAGACAGCCTTCAAAGGTGTGCACTTAAGATCAAGCTCCCTAAAAGTTTAAATGAACTGAGCAAAATTCAAATAAACAGGAGAGAACAGAGTGAGCCAGAATCCAGGTTCCCCCACCAGCAAGTCAAAGCTCTGTCATGATAGCATGCTGCTTCCTGTCAGCTTTTCAACTACTAAAGAATAAAAGAAAAATGGAATGGAATGTCCTAAAGGAACTACGTAAAAGGTCAAAAGGAAGTTTCAGCAGTGGAATATTCAGCTAATCATATCATTCAACTTATACTTAAAGGAATATTCTCTACATATACTTATCTAGGTGCATTTTGACATATATTAAGCTATATGCATCGAGTTTCAAAACAATAACTATTTTAGCACATAAGAAGCATCCTTTCCTAAGATGAAATCACATGAATTACATCACCATTCACACTTTTCTGTGACTAGACTTCCCCAGAACTACACATAAGCTTCCATTTCAGAGTCCCGAACAAAGACATATGACGGTGAGCAAAAGCAGCCACGGACATGGAGGCCATGAGGACATTGCAACCTTTCATGCGCACAGCACTCCCTCTCTCCTTCACAAATACACTGACATGTGCACAGAGGGCAACCATGGTGCAGAAATGAGGCAGATGTCAACGGATGAGTTTACACACAAACACAGGGAATCATGCCCCATCACACAGAAGGTGTGCGCTTACCTTTTTCTGACATATAGCAGATATTTCAGCTGTAAGGGGAAGGCACACAAAATATCAACAAAGAAAGAGAGCCCATTTTAAATAAGGGCAACCATGAAGAGTAATTTTAAAAATACAGTCTTAGTAACGCAAACCAGTGGACCTCGTCCAAAAGCTTTGGATTTGCCTCGTGAACTGCCGTCCACATTTACTGGCCTCCATTCCACCCCCCAAAGCACAAAATATCTCTTTCTCGCTCTTCTAGTAGTCTTTAAAGTTGTATTGCATGCTGTAACTATGTCTCCTACTCTCACGTCTAATCTAACCTTCTCAAATATATTAGGGAAGTCAGTCAGGTTATAGCCATACAACTTTGATCTCATTGGACAGTAACACTCGGAAGACTTACTGGGGACCACTGAGGCAGTCAGTGATGAAGCCCTGAGAGCAACTAAGGACTCTGAGCTTCCTGATTCAGCTCTTTGCATGACACTGATGTAGAGTGATGGGCTATGCTTAGAACACCTCCAGGAGATGGTCTGAAATGTCAAGACTATAGGAAACACTTATCAGAGTCTCCTCTGACTTGAGCTATCCATATTAACTAGTGCAAGGCAGCCTTGTGGTTACTTATGAAAAAAATCCCTTGTCAAACATGAGTAGATCCATTGGAGCAAGACAGTCAAACTGCTGTCTACTAATAAGACTGACTTTTAATGAGTGCATAAGAATTCTTTTCAGTTGGCATAGCAAGTGTTTCCATGGAAACTGATATCTTGAGAGTAGCTGAAAGTAATTTTTCCGAGAATCTATCACTATTTCCCTTAAAATAGTAATGCCCCAAGAAATGGGCTGACACTTTATTTATAGAATAGTCCGTGTTACACTAACTCAAAAGATTAAAGGAAGGTGTTTCCCAGACCCTGCCTGTAAATTAGGAATTAATGGATACAAAATCAGTAAAATGTATAACTTGGTGTTTAAAACTCATTTTATATAACCTTTTGATAACCTATTCTATGCACTAAATAATCTGATGTGAATGTCACACCTCTAGGTAGATAAACTACAGCTCTGTCAGTTCTTCCCCAAATAAGCATCATCTAAAAATGAGGGCCAAATTCAGAAACATGCTTGATATTCAGCAGGCATTAGTATCTTGGAAACTGAACACAGTTACATGTTCCTATAGAACCAGCTACTCAGGAGACAAGGGGCTGCTTGAGACTGGGAGTTTAAGCCCTACTTAGACAATATAGCCTATTTGGTTATGAAAACAAAACCAAGCCATCCAGGGAGGGTAGGCTATGCTGTGTTCAGTACTCGGGAGATAGAGACAGGAAATTCAAGGGTTCAGTACCAGCCTAGTGACATCAGTAAGAGCCTGTCTAAAAAGAAACTAACAAAATATAGCAGCATGTATTTCTGAATGTGGCTGTCCAACATCAGGGCACCAGAGGCTCCTAAGAAAAGTGGCCCGATTTATGCCTCTGTCCACACTATAAGCCTAACTCTTCCTACAGATGAAATAAATTTTCAAAATGTCCCTGGAAGGCAGTAGGGAGTGATAGCATTGTGCTGCGTTATGGGGCATTCATATTGATTTCTGTCTTAAAGTTGAGATAACCGAGTATTAAAAGTTGGATTTCGAAGAAGTAGTATATTCTAAATTAAAACAAGAGCTCGTGGCCAGTGTTGGCATCCGGCTTCCCATGGCCTCTCCTGCTCATCCCTTCACTATCTATAGTCACAGTCTGAGCTGTGTGCACGAGCTGGGGTCATGATGCCTCTGGATTTCCTACCCATGTCTATCATCAGCACTCCTGAGCATTCTTGCTTTCCCACACAGCCCTGATAAGAAGGTTGGAATACCCACTTCTCCATGTGAGATGACCTATCAACTCCTAGCAGACTCCAATAGGCTTCAAGGGGCTTCATACATCTTATCTTTTTATTACAACAAACTAGATACACTTTGTCCCCATCACACTGATTGGGAAACAAGCTCTCAGAGCAATTACAGAACACTGCCCCCCCCCACAAAAAAACACAGAGCCAGTAATGGTAGCAAGAAAAAAGGACTAGGGTTCGCTTTCTGACCTAGCACAACAACGAATCATTGGTAGCATCTGTTCTACACACAAAATATTCCTCAAGACACAACTCAGCAGGGCTTAAGTAATGACGCTGGTTGTAATATCTAACCTTAATTTTTGGTAGAATTGATAGCTCCTTCCCTTGTTATTAAGTGTTTAGGCAATATTATAAGCAAGACACTGATATAATGCTTCAGGTCAGCGAATATTCCTAAAATATGAGGCTTTGGTTGCTGTCTTTATAAAATAGCACAAAAGGAGATAAATCAACCATGTCATTAGCCATGATTACTCATTATTCATCCTTTCCGAAGAACACCTTACCTTGTGGCAGGAGAACATCAATCAACCACTCGCTGTGGTCCCTAGGAAGAAAAATGAAATTGGTTTCTGAGCTTCGCTGGAATGTTCCCCCTGCACATGCCCATCTGTGAGTTATACACTTCCGATCAAGGCATTTCATAGGAAGCATGATTAAGGGCACTATCCTGATAAACTTTTAAGGCATCTAAAGCATTCCAGTCAATCTATAAATTACAGGCATCTCCTCATATTCAGTTGTCCTTAAATGATACTTTCCAGATGTTAATCATGCCAACCAAAACACAGCCAAAATACACAAAGCTGAGTGAGGCCATGAAGGACAACTAATAAGGACAAAGAGCCCACTGGAGCGGTGGCACGCTGGCTTTGGAAACTCCAGGTCTCATCAGCCTCAAGCTTTCTCCTTCTTAGGGGAGCTGCTTCTAAATCAGAGCCACTCCATCCCATGGACTTGCTTTCCTCTGTCCTGTAAAGACAGATGTGCCAACTTTTCCAAGCTGAGATTGTCCAAATAACAGCTTGCCGTATTAAACATCAGACAAACTAATCTCTAAAAACCACAGCAAGGCTAGCAGGAAAGTCGAGTAGCCAACAACTTTCCTTGCCATCTGGTTCAAGGACTCATACCTACCCTGCAATCCTCTCGCTGCATTCTTCACAGAGATACAGTGGAGGTGGCTTATCACCCAAAGCTACCGACAAGGAAGGGTCTATACACATCTGAAACAAATGACAAGACAGAATCACCTTTCCCACTCCTATGTACCACATCCCCAACCTATGAGACGCATACCACACGTGGACAATGGCAGACTAAGTATCCAGGTAGAATAAACTGTTTCAGTAAACTGCCATTCCTGTGAAACCACTGCTCTGCTGAGGAGCCCACACCAGGGATGCAAATGTGGCTGCCAGGGTTCCTCTGTCTGGCTATTTGCAATTCAAGTGAAAACACTGTCAAAAAAATCTTCCTTCCTGCCACAAAGCTGAAAAATCCCCTTTCTCGGGCTGCTCAACCACGTTATGTGGGTGACAAACAGTGTGATCTCTCTTTAGGAAAAGGAAAATCCATCATTAAGATTTCCAAATCATTAACTGACATCAAAATGCTGGCAATAGAGACAGCCACAGGAAATCTAGCTTGAAGGGGTGCCTTTCCTCACTCCTGAACCTCAGCTATGACTCACACATTCACTGTTCAGCTTCACTTTCTTTCCGCTGACCACCTACAGCTCATTTACCCCCAAGCCTTGTTGTCTAAGCCCAAACACAGAGGCACAAGTGTTCATGTTACAGTGTCAGGGTGTCTGGTGTTTTGAGTCACGCCAACAGTTAGGTGACTAACTGTGCTTAAACTTTGCACCAGTTAGTTTCTAGTATTTCCAAAAGCCATCCTGCATTCTGTGCCCATGTTCGGAAATAATATGCCTATGATCTAGCCAAGTGCCCAGGTATGCCTGGTACACAAACCCTTCTGGAATGTCACTGTCTCTAGCTTTTTTTTACTGACTTGAAGGAGGAAAATGACCCACATTTACAACCCCACTTACAATGCAAAGCCAAAAACCTTGAGTTGTTTTAGTGATGGGATCAATATCAAAAATTGCTAGATTTAAGTAATTAAGCCAACAAAGTTCATAAATTGCACATTAGCTGATGCTAACAATCTACTGTGTAATATTTCCTATGCAAATTTCATAATCCTTTAGACACACTGAATAACTATTGTTTGGTCTTCAAGATTGGCAGTTTTTCCACAGCGAACAAAGAGTAAGTATTTTAGGTTTTGGGAGCCATATTGTCTCTGTCACAACCACTCTGTAAGCAGATGAGCAAAGCTGAGTTCCAATGAAACTTTATTGACAGTGCAAGCGGCAGCCGCATTGGGACTGGCAGCATTAGCAGCAGTACAGTTTGCTGACCCTGTCTTACATAGTTCTCTGGGCTTCAGCCAATTTCATAAAGTGAACTTTACATGGAGCCAGGAGTAACTGAAAGTGGAATGTGATGTAAGACTAAGATGTTAAGTTTGTTTTCAGCCCTATCCCTATGGCAATGGTCGGCTCTTACAAATCCTTAAAGCCTCAGACCTCAGCGGTTAGGGCAGAGTGGTCTTTGCTGAGGACTCGTGTGTCCCCCTGAGCTTCCCGTGCACCCGTGCAGATCTGAGCACTGTTACTTCACACTCTTACCCAATAAGTCATCGAAACGTCTGCCAGACAAAGGTAAGTTTTCCGTTCCACTCTAAAGGAAATTTTCCTGGGATGTTAGAATGGTCGTCATTAGAGCCTGGCTACCTGACTTTTGACCTATTAGAGTACTTACTTAATATGCCTGGTTAGTTCTGTTCTACTAATATGTTTGTGTCTGGCTGTTGCATGAAGAGAAACAAACAGCAACAAGAAAAAGATGGTTTGTTAGGCCAGGCACAACACCCTTAATCCCAGAACTCTCCAAGTAGAGGCAGGTGGATTATCTTGGAGTTTGAGGCCAGCCTGATCTGCATAGTGAGTTCTAAGCCAGACAGGGCCTTATAGAGACTCTGCCTTAAAAATAAATAAATAAATAAATAAATAAAAGATTGTTTATAATCCATGGCCTATGTACAGGCTCAGGAAAACAGATAAGGAAGAATTTGAAATACCTCATGCCAGTGACTCACCCTCATTCATTCTGCAGTGACATTTTTTGTGGGTATTGCTGGCTGTTTTTCACTTCCAATGTGAACCTTTATCTAAATAAACTGAATCTGTGTCACACTGTACCTTCTCTCAGCTCTCCTTTCCAATACGCCTCAGGCGTGGGAGACCATACGTCTGTGTACTCTGTGACAGTGGGGGCAGCCACTACTCTTCACTTCCGTGAAGAGTAGACCCCACTGAGCCACGCGTACTATAGTGCAAAACATGGCCCCACATGGGACGCATTGCCCAGATTGTTAGTTTTCTAAAAAGTGAAACACTGGAGATTGTCAGGGAGGTGTGCAAGAAAAATGTCTTCTGAGCTGTAAACATTTGAATGTACTGAACGCCAACTGTTTACTTTCAAATGATGAGTTTTAGATTTAAACAATTTCTAGATGAATTTCATCTCAATAAAGAAAAAACGCCAAAGGCAGGATGGTTGTGCCTGGCCTCCAGGACTGAGTTTTTGGCATAAAAGTAAGGTCAACCCAAATAAACGGGCTGGGCTATCTGCCTAGAAGAGGAGAAAATCTAATTTCTCCGTTCTGTGATTAGATGGCCAGAGAGGATTGCTAACCAGGACGCCAGAGGACTCCAGAGAATGTGGTCTGGCATAAAAGTAAGGAAAAAACAACTGAAGAAACCTGTACCAGGCAAGAAGAAAGGAGACCTAAAAAAAACGGAAGTAAAGGGAGCCAAGTGGGTCTCACTGCTATGAAAAACCACCATTTCCATAAACCACATGTGAGCTAATGTCTTTGTTCATAGCAAAAAAAAGAGATGCTGAGCCCTACATCGTCTTCACCCCAGGATGGAGTTACATAAGAATATGCATCACAAAGCATGTGCTTCTGTCGGTGGCTAACACTCATCTACTCTTTTGTCAGAGTCGGTCAGTCTTCCATCATTAAAGGCAAGCATCCAATATGACAACACAAGGAAATCCGCATCACACAGCATACTGTTAGTCCTTTTGTAGTTCCCAGGTCTCACTGTCCCTGTCCTTTGTCCCTACACAGTGGCAGTGCTGGTTTTCTATTATTTAGGCACCAACACAATCTGCCTGGACAAGGGACACAAACCAATGAACCCAGTTTCTCAAAAGTGCCTGTAAATGCTCCTAACTTCAGCCAGCACCCACTCTTCACAGTGTGACATTAACCCATGTAAATCCTAACCTGTTCAAGCTACCCGTGTGTCCTGCGTCCAACAAACATATGATGAGCAATTTTGTTTTGTTAAGACATGTGATCGCTCATCTGAATATCCAACTTCAGAGACTCGGTTTCAATAGGATTGAACAATAGAAAAGAACGAGGCTCTGTCTCTAGCTTTATGCTAACCACCCATTGGCTCCATGGAAGTTTCCTGACCACTAGTGTGACCTACTGTGTGCCTGGATCCCAACACCTCCCAGTTAACTATCCACATCCACGATTTGAGCTAGGACTTAACAACTCTGTCTATTTTTGTCTTACCATTCTCAAATTTGCAGTCGCATAGAAAGAAGACCCTCTGAAGTGATACCATATAAGGAAGTGGGGGCATTTCTAAATGTTTTGGCTCAGATAGAAGTCAGCTAAGACGAGGTCTACATCAGTATTATTCTGATAATGAACTCAATGCTATACAACCCTTGGCTGTGAATTCACAGCCCTAGCTCACAGACACCATCGTCACTCTTGCCTGAATACAGTTGGCGTTGAACTCGGCAGAGCTTGAGATCCACCACAGAGCTCTGCTGTACAGAAGTGCATGCAACTGACTCTGTTCACTCAGCACTTTACTACCCGAACCACCGAGAACCCAACCGTGCCCCAATAGTGGGAAGCAGTACCTTCACAGCTGGCTTGTTAATTGCATTGTGGCATTCGATGTGTTGGCAGTGGATGGGATTCCAAGCTGTAACGCAAAAGAGAGCCAGTGAAGATCTCTCCCTGAGACTGTTTACGCCCCAGTAAAAAACATAGTGGATAGTTTACTAGTTTTCTTTCTCCTAAAAAGAAATGTCATCACATGATGTCCTACCAGCATCAATCACCTATGAAAAAAAAGTAAAAACCAGGCAAAGACATGGTGGCTCCATTACCTTCCCCAGGAAAGAAAGCCAGGAGCAGGTGGCTTACAAAGGACCATAATAACTTCACAATGCTATGGCACTGGTGAGTTCTCAGGGTGCCGCAACAATACTTTCACTGGATTCCCTAACAGCTCTACAGGTAGATATGGCAGATTATTCAGCCGTTATTATTATGTGGCTTGATATGGTCACAGACTGGATAAATGGAAGCTGAGACTAGAACCTGTGTTATGAGTAGGTTTTGCCCTGCAGGCCTGGTCCCACAGCCGCGCCAGCCCCAAATAACACACAGAGACGCTGTATTAGATATAATTCTGTTGGCCAGTTACTTGTTTCTTATCGGCTAGCTCTGTCTTAATTATTAACCCATTTCTATTAATCTAAGTGTTTCCACGTGGTCTCATCTTACCGGAGAGAGGGGCTGGCGTTCTTCTTTCTCCATCCTCCATCTTGGATCTCCTCCCTACTACTTCCTCTCTCTTCCTTATCTCCTAGTCCGGCCTATCATGCTTTCCTATTAGCCAACAGTGCTTTATTCATTAACCAATACGAGAAACATATTTACAGAATGACATCTCCCATCAAACCTGCAATGGCTAGGTTCCTGACTTTGGCTACTGAGCGGAGCGCTATGCAAAGTGTCCTCTGCTTTTAGCACCAGGAGCTTTGCAAATGGAAAATGACATGATGAGTCGGAAGCGATTCTCCACCATTCTGTCCCCCCCCCCCCCTTCTGCTTCATATGGAGACTGGAAAGATGAGTGTCTTGCCTGAAACACTGAACCTAAGCTAGTCTGCTGATACCTGTACCCAAGTTCCTAACTCAGCATGCATAAATAATGAGGGAAAATATGAACTGATCAGAGATGAACCAGGATGCACTCATACCCAGTACCTGCCCTTTACCCAGTCTAATGCGCTTACCAGCACACTGTCATTTAAACAGTGTAAACCGTGTAGGACCCTTTCTGAACATCCATATTCTAATCTTATAGGACAACAGGACAGTTCATTTTAAAAGGGGGCAAGAAGCACTGATTAGAAAACATTACTCTAGTTATAGAGTCATATTGACTTGCTTTGAGGGAAAAAGAAATGAGTGAGTAAACTAATCATCTGAGTACCCGTAATCAGATTTCTTTCCAATGGGTCATAAAAGCAAGATGTGAAGAATAGCAGTAAGTTTCCTTCTGCGATGAAACATCGCAGTCAACTTTAAACTGTAACCTGCGCAAATACATGAGACAAATGCCCTGTTTCCCAACCCAAACTCAAGAACGACATAACTAATCCACTACAGCATCCTTTCTGCTGAGTTCATAATGAATCTTTAATCCTTCTTCCCACTCCAGTCACCCACCACAGGTCAAAGCAGGGCTGGCATACACAGTGGCATCTGCTGACCCTCCCGGAGCCCATCTATTATGAGAACAAGTCATATTTAAAACCTATCTACAGCTATGGCAGAGTCACAATAGCATATGCAATAGCTGTGATACCACACCAGGGCTCTAATGACTTCTGCTCTGTGGGTAAGAGAGATGTATAGGAGGACCAATTCCTTTCCTCTCATTTTTTCTTTCAACCATTTTAGCCATGTCATTGAGTTAAGAACAGGTTCTAGGAAAGTCCACTTCAGTAATGTTTCTACAACTTTGATGAAATGTATTAACCCACAGATCAGGAAGTTGTTGTCAAGACACAGCAAAGGAAAACACATCAAAATGTATTAATATCATATTGATGGAAAACTTTTAAAGCAGCCATTAAAAACCAAAGAGACATTTCTTAGAGGAGAATAAAGATAAGAATGATCACTGATATTTTCTTGTAACCAATGCAAATTAGGACATAAGTGATCTAGAAGTTTCCTGCCTCCTTGCTAGCCATCATAGTGCTGGACGGTGCAATGCAAACTGTTGGGGAAAACTACCAACAGTCTCACCCAGCCTTAGGCCTCGTGTACAATACTAACCAGCCAGGCAAGATGCAAGCTATGTGACCTCTGTTATGAGTGTAGGCAACCAGCTCCTGATTGCATTTAAGGCTCGCTCCACAGGAGGGAGTTAACATCTGCTACTACAAACACAGTCAAAAGACTGCAGCTGGCAGAGGGGAGGGAGGGTCATAAGTGCTAGTGTGGAGCTATCTTGCAAATCAACAAATGCACATGATACGCTCATCAAACCGCCTTCTAAATAACTACATTTATGCCATGGGTTAGTGCTGCTATAGCTTTGATTGGAGATGCTTTCATTTGCAATGGACAGAAGTCATTGCAAAGACTCATGGCTGATGTAAGTGACCAGAAAAGGTGACTGTTGAATGTTCAGTTATAAACGGGGTGTACGGGCACATGCTCACGCGGGCACACACACGCACGCACGCACGTGCGCGCGCGCGCGCACACACACGCTAGGCTCAAGGGACATCATGGAAGAAGGGGCAGAAAGACTGTGAGAGCTGGAGGAAATGGGAGAGTGGTGAGGAATACTGACTTCCAGGTACAACAGGGGTTGAACTCACAACAGCTGTGATTACCTGCTCAAGAAAGATCTACACAAACCCTAACAACCTCTCACAGAGAGGGAAAGGGACCCACAGGGCTGAGGATTTATACAGTGAATGGTTGGCAGTGGAGGGAAAAAGTTTTCTGGGTGGTGGAGCCACTGGTAAGGTTCCCATGTTCCTGTAAGCAACCTCTCCTCCATGCACCTGTGAGCAAGCAACCTTGCTGAACTCATTAAGTCATCAAAAGAAAAGGCTATGAAGTAGAAGAAGGTCTAGCTGGGAAAAGGAAAGAAATCAGTGGCAGTTGGAGGAGCATAAGAGATGGTAGTGGGATGAATGAGATGGAAAAATTTTTGTATGTGTATGAAAACAGCACACTGAAATCCACTATTGAGTATAATTAATATATTCTCCAAATCATTTTTTTAAATTCACAACAGAAGACATTAGAACCACATCTTCCATAGGTCCCTCAAAAAGTCTCAGCTTAGAATTCTATATCTAATAAAAATACTCCTCAGAAATATATACTAAACAAAGGCTATTTGGATAAAGAAGAAAAGGAAAAAGTGCCAAGTAAAAATGCATTTTTATGTCAACATATAAATCAGTAATTATCATCTGAAGGTAGACTGTGAAGTTAAAGGTGCACAAACCTTACAGAAAAAAATTAAATAAGTAAAAAACTGTTAATCGATTATAGACATAAAATTGAATATTAAAAAATTAAACCCAAAAGTAAGTAAATAACCAATGACCCTAATCATAAAGCAATGGGACAAAGATGAACCCACTCCTCAACAATCACATTGTGAGTGACCTGGACGATGGGCACATTGCATATAAATTATCTAAAAGGCAGAGATTGTGAAATGAGATTCTTTCAAAGCGCATGACTCTATTATATGCAGATGAGAAACACTCAAAACACACAGAAAAATGGATAAACAGAAAACTATGCTGTGTAAACACTCAGAATCTGGAGTCCCTACATAAATGTCAGGCAAGCTGACCCCAGAACAAGCAACATGAGCAGGAAAAAGAACATACAGATGGGAGGGCCAAGAGAGCAAGGCACAGATCAACCATGCACAGATGCATTTGCTAAGTGGACAGAACAGGGAAAGGAGTCAGTAACTACAGCTGTAAGTTTCAACAGTCCTTCCTCAATTCAACAATTGATGACATGAAGCAACAGAAAGTCAATAAAACTGCATAAATGAAACAAGATTCTCACACAAAAATGAATAATAACACGATTCTTTGTACAAGCACCCTGAATACATACTGTTTTTAACTACACAAGTAACATTTACTAAGATACACAATAAGAATCAAAACTTTAGCTGGAATTACAGCAAACAAACAGGGTTCTTAAGTTCTTTGATAACACTGGAATACAACTGGAGATCAACAACACAGAGGTTTCTGGAAAATCACTAAGTATCTGCCAACTTGCTGGTGGCACAGGTCTTTAATCCCAGCACTCGGGAGGCAGAGGCAAGCTGATCTCTGCACAGGTCTTTAATCCCAGCACTCGGGAGGCAGAGGCAAGCTGATCTCTGTGAGTTTGAAGTCAGCCTGACCTACAGAGTGAGTGCCAGGACAGACTCCAAAGCTACGCAGAGAAACCCTGCCTCAAAAAACCAAAAAATAAAATAAAATAAAATACTTCTAAGCAGCACACAAGTTAAAGTTCTCCTTCAACTCATGCTATAATTCATGTAATTAACATTCACAAGAAATGTTAGAAAGTATTCAATACAAGATATAACAAATTCCTGATATACATAAAAATTTCACAAGATACAATGGAAACAACATTTAAAGGGAAATTCATAGTTTTAAATTCTTATGGGAAAAATACAAGAGGTCTAAAAATATTTGGGCTGTTTCTCTATGAAGTTGGAAAAATACAAAATCAACTGTAATATTAAAAAGAGGAAGAAAATAACACAGACACAGACAGAAGAAAATAACACAGACACAGACAGAAGTTAATAAAGCTAAAATCAGAAAAATAGTACAGAAAATGAATAAAAGTAAAAGCCAGTTCTTTGGGAAAATTAATGAAGCTGATAAGCTTCTAACGATCCTGATAAGAGAAAGGGGGGAAAAAACCCAAGACAATATTAAGTTACCCACATCTGAAATGAATGATAGGGTTTCTGCTGTAGACACCAACAGATCCATACACTGGATGAAACGCCCAGAATCTTCAAAAGACACAATTTTAAAATGTGTCCCAATAAAAACTATCAATTCCAAGTAACCCTACAACTGTCACAGAAATTGAATTCACAACATAAAA